TCACAGTGGATATTATGAAAATGCCTTGCTGACTGCTTCCTCTATTGGATATAGCCATATTGTGCAGATACTGCTAGATAATGGAGCAGATATCAATGCTCAGGATGGAATATCTGGGAGTGCCTTGCAGGCTGCTTCGGAAAAAGGCCACTGCCACATTGTGCAGATACTGCTAGATAACGGAGCAGATGTCAACACTCGGGGTGGACATTATGGAAATGCCTTACAGGCTGCTTCTAGTGAAGGTCATAGCCAGACTGTGCAGATACTGTTGGATAACGGAGCAGATGTCAATGCTCAGGGTGGTATATATGAAAATGCCCTGCAGGCTGCTTCTTTTCGAGGTCATAGCCAGATTGTGCAGATACTGTTAAACCACGGAGCAGATATCAATGCTCAAAGAAGACTCCATCGAAACGCCCTGCATGCTGCTTCTACTAAACACCATAGGTAGATTATGCAGGTACTGTTGGATAACGAAGGAGACATCATCGCTCAGAGAAGACTCTATCGAAAAGCCCTGCATGCTGCTTCTACTGAAGGTCATAGGCAGATTGTGCAGGTACCGTTGGATAACAGAGCAGATATTCATGCTAAGGGTAGAGAGTATGGAACGCCCTGGACTCAGCTTATTCTAGAGGCTGTGACCAGATTGTGCAGATACTTTTGAGCCATCAATTACAAATTGATGAACCGCCTTTGCAGGGACTCAAAGTCTCCTTACACACTTAACGCAGATATTCTTTGCAATGGCCTCAACATCTGCTTGCTACTTCTCAGTGTTCAGAACTCGGCTACATTTCATTTGTTTTCATGGTATTTCACCGTTACCTGTGAATGGCTCTATTGCGCTCTACAAAGGACTTTAGGCATTCCTGAGCCCAGCTAAAAGATTAATATGTATTAGTTCTGGGGGCGCCTGAACCCACCGACTCCGCCTGATTGAAACCAGATACAAGAGTGTAGGGGCCAGCCAGGTTTGCCAAGATCTGTACTTTGTACCAGTAATTTTGGCTTCTCAGGAATCGGGTATATCTACATAGTAAAGTATTTAATACTTTATTATTTAAAATATTGTCTATGATTAAATCCCATAGTTTCCAGTTCTATTATTTCTATATTAGTAAGTTGTGTTGTAGGTTGCTAGTTCTGTCTGTGGTTAGGGAGAATATCGCCGCACTAAGAGCATGGCGGAGGGACTGGTACCATGGTTGCGTCCGGTAGTGGACGGCATCGGCTGGGCTGAATAGGAGGTGCTTGTGGGCTCATTTTTCATCTGTTGATTTCGAGGAGGAAGATGGGGATAGGGGATGTTGGGTCGAACCTGGTTGACATCTGTATCTTGGTCTTGTTTATAAGAGTGGGATGTTCTGGGTCAGACCCACTTACGCGGTTCTAACTGCCAGGGTAACAGTTAAATGAGACAGGCTTTAGCTCAGTTGTGACTATATTGCCTGTCGTGTCGCAATCTACATATCCTTATCTTCCCAGGCCGTAGTCTAGCTGCTGGAGCGCGTACGTTAATCTGACTATCCAGCACTTGCTTTTGATAGGGTAGCAAAGGAATGAAATAGAGGCTTTGAATCAAGGAGGTAAGCCTATATCATTGAAACGCAAGGAACATCATTTACTTGCTTTCGTCCTGTCTATGATCTGTTGCTTAGAGACTAGCCTCCCAAGCGCAGTGATATAAGTGTCTTCTCCGACATATGCACTCAATGGTATAAATAACTGTACTCATCCACACCTCCACCTATACATAATATACATAACCCACTTCTATACCACGCTATCTAAATCTCAATAACAGGCCCCTCATAAACCCCCCTCGCCCGCACCAAATAATACCCCAAACTAAGCAGTACCGTCCCCCCCGTCCCAACCACACTATAATTCATCGACTCGGAATTAACATCATTAATCGGGGGCCAAAAGCTAAAGAACGTAGCAATGCACATATAGACTAACGAAAAGATATTAATTCCAATACCCCATACACCGGGAAGATGAAATGGTCCCCAGATGAGCTTGGCGCCTGCGGTATTTACCATCGTTTGTTCGGAGTTTCTCTTAGCTTGGCTGATTTCCCCTGTGCAGCGACGGTAGAGGAGAAGGCCTGCAGCGATCATGTAGGAGAGATAGAGACCTGAGGTGGACATTGAGACGAGGCTGTTGAAGGCAACGTCGGAGCCGATGTTGATGAGGTTCAGGAGGCAGCCGATTGTGCTTGTTAGGAGGACGGTGTAGGTTGGGATTGCGGTACGGGGGGTTACCTGTTCTTCTGTTTAGTAGACCGACGGAGTGAGAATTGGGGTATGGGTAGGGCGGGGCTTACTTTGCTCCATACACGCCAGCCGGGTATGCCTCTGTCTCGTGAGAAAGACCAGAATTGGCGCGAGGCCGAAGCCAGCATGCCCACTGTTGTGCAGCAGCACATGGCTTGGATTACGGATCCGGCTGCTGCGGTGCCGGCGGTTGATTCGGTGGCTTGGTAGAAGATGGAGAGAAATGGGACTCCGGTTGGGGATTTCAGGGATGTTTCGATATCTCCAAGGCAGAAGTAGAGGGCTATTAGCATGCTGAAGCCTAGGGTTCCGTTGATTAAGACTGTAAGCATTAGGGACCAGGGGACAGCGACGGTTGCGTTGGTCATTTCTTCCACCATCTGGTCGTGTTATGTTAATAATCGATCTGTCATGTTTTGTTTCTTTTCCTCTCCTCCTATTTCTCATTTTTGAAGGTCCACTCACATGTACTGCTGCATCGCCGCCTGCAAACGCAAACACAGGACCAATGATGCCGATGAAGAATGAAAGACCTTGAGTCGGCCAATGGCCCTCATTGATAAAGTATGTGAATACCTCCGAAGCAGGTTTATGCTCTGCCATGTATGTCAATGGGATGAGAATGGCGAAGAAACCCAGGATATGAAGGATAAGAATTGTCCCCTCAAACCGAGGCAGCAGCTTGCCTCCAATAATATTGATAGACGCTGCAAAGACTGCCGTGGCCCAGGAATAAAGTGTTTTACGCCAGGGTGCGGGCGTATAGTCGGGGTTGGTGAGAATGACTAGTGCCTCGATGAAGTTGCCATTCAGATACAAACCGGTGGCGTATGTGGCTTGCCAGCCGATGACTGTGAGCCAGCCCATACTGCTCTGTAAGTTCAAGTAGTGGCAGATTCGAAATTTATTCACATACCTGTGATATAGCTGCTGACTTTCATGACAGACTTGGGTGCCATCATTGAACACCAGTGGTATTGACCGCCTGATGTCGGTGCCCTATAGAGCTGTTGTCAGGATTATCGTGTTAGAGTGTATGATAGGGAGTAGCATACATTGATACCAGCTCAGATACTACGACAAAGGTTGCTGTAACACCGACCCAGACAAAGATGTAACCATATATTGAACCAGCCGGACCCCCACTACAACGGAATTAGCAAAAGCTTGCAGTTTGTACTGGGGAGACTTGACATACTTCTGGAATGACTGAAGAAACAAACTGTAGAACTGTCATTAGCTGGAGATATTTATCGTAAAGACAACGGTAAGTGCATGACCTACGTAGTTACGGCTTCCCAAGTGATAAGAATCGTGCAGCTGAAACCAACCATGGACATCAAACCGAAGTTTCTCTTTACAATATTAGTGACCACTCCCACTTTGAAACACAACGGAATACATACTTGCAAGACAGGACGCTTCCCCATACGGGCCAGATAGACATCATCCTTGTTCTGATGGGACGGTTGCCCCTCAATCTCCTGCAAAATTGAAGCCCCCATTTGCTTCAGCTCATGTTGAGCCATAGTGTAGGTGTAGGAGTTGATTGATCACAAATATGAATTTTTCGGCGATCGTATGATGACGATTAAATCTAAACGGCATAGAAACAAAGAAACAGAAACCGATAAAAATGAAACAGATTTTAGAAAAGAAGCTTTGCATGTAGAAATTTCTCGAGACCCTGCAGGAGACAAACATAGAACAAGGATTAAATCCTGTTCGCTGCGTTCTCCTTCCTATCTTCCGACAGATGCATGTTTATGGAGTGTCTTCCCCCGTTATGTAAAAGCATTGGCAGCATCTGCGCTTCGCATGTTAGGCATGGGATCCTTGAACGCCGAGGGTTGCGGAAGTGCAACCTTGCAGGGATATGATGTAGCTAGAGGTTCTAGTTGCTTGTCCGCCGTTGCCGCACGCTAATCCAAGGTTGAACCACCACGTAGTAGGTGGAGCCTGTCAAATTATGGAGGTAGGTATTCAAGTGGATCCTCGGTGGAGATCCAAATCTGGAACGTTTCGGAGAGGTTAGTGGAGCGTTGGGGTTGCAACGACACATCCTTAGCGCTCCAACCAGACAGGGATAAGACTGATAGTCTATTCTCTTACCCACAAGGGAGGGTCCAACAAAAGTACGAACACGTTAAGAATTTGAGATGTTACAGAGATTATAGAATGAATGAGTTTTCTATTTGGTTGTAAAGCCCCATTCGAACACCAACAATAATACAATGACAATGTAACCTTCCCGTGCCCTAATACGCACATTCCCTTAATGAGTTCCGCGGCGACGCAGTCACGGCCCATGTGTGAACCTCACGGATTATGTGAGCCTCGCTTGAATCACTGTCTCCATCCGAGTCCCGTTTCGCTGTGATTATCGTTGTGGTATGGCGATAGCTTTTGTTGCGACCAATCGAAGTCATCTCATGAACCTCCGCCGAAGGGTGATCTTGACTTTGTAGCTGTGACCTGATCCCCGCAGAAGAGTGGTTGTATCCAACGCGGGAGGTATCGTGGCGCGTCATTCCGTCAACTCGTAGGCCCGTCGAACGCAGGCTATCCAGGAAAGGTTTGAATTGAGGGGAGCAGGCGGTAACCACACTCAAGCATTGGGTAAGCTGCGTGCAGATCGTCAGAGACCAGGTACCAGAGATCGGATCGGTCGAATCAATAGTTTTATTGGCGTATGCGAGTTGGCCTATTATTGCGATAATCACACTTCTCTCTTATCAGAAATGTAGTGAGGCAAAGCACTGTACATAGATAGATATACTCACAAAATTCGAAGCCCAAACACAGTGGATAAAGTGAGCTTCTTTTTCCACCGCGCCTGGATGCGAGTAACAATCAGGATTGCATACGCTATAATGGCAGCATCGGTGAGAATGTTCGTCACTCCGATGTAATCCCACCACGCCCCAATGTTGAAACACTGCCCGGATAGGTAGTTCCATGTCTGAGGTGGTTTGCACCGAAATGCAGAGCTAATGGCACCGGTGATTGCCCACAGTGTAATCAGAGCTTCTAGCCCTGAGGCAATGCGGCGGTCTGAGGCAGCTGGTGTTACGCTGCGGATAAAGTGGACGAGGGCCAACTTCGAGAAGCACATGGTCAGGATGAAGAGGATGGTGGCGGCATATTGTGACTAGATGATTATCAGAGGGTACTCAACGATGGCAAACGAGTACTACCTTCATTATATTTTCAATGCTTGTCTGGGATAGTGTATCATAGTGGTCGCCGTATCCATTGGCAGTGGCCAGTGACACAGCCAGGGATTGTGCGGCACAGATCACCTAGAGGCAGATCAATAACCGTCGTTTTCGTCAAACTCACTCGCTTAGGACACTCGGCGCTCTCACCATTGAGACAATACTAAGATAATCATCAGCAGTCCACCGCCGAAAAATCCAGTATTTGGTCCCCAGTCTAGCAAGGACGCCAAGGATGGCAGTCACCATCAGAAACCAGGTCAAGACATTGACCGCAGGCTTCCAGGTATCCGTGAACCTCCCCATGGTTGTGTGAAGTTTGGGACAACACACGTCGTCAATTTCAGCAGTTGACGAGAGTTATTCGAGTACCTGAAAAATACCAGCATGCCCCTGTCTACTACGTCTGCTAATTAACCCAACAGCCAACATACCGGGGACAGCATGCCCTGTCACGAACACATGGCGGCAGGGGTATAGTCTGGGCAAACCAAGACCTACAAAGAAAGGATCCTTCTCGTGTTGTAGCAGCAACTGGGGCAACTGGATTGTATACTCTTATCTAATTCCATGAAGCATGGATATGATTCCTTTACTTGATGCTTTCCTTTCACGGATAGATGATAAATGACAAATTTCTAGACCTGGCCCCTGAGCAGGGATGTTGACAGAATAGAATTATGAACCCTGCACTGGAGGTGGAGATATGTTACATTGACTTCTCGGGCCGCAAGACTGTCAAGGTCCGTGATACCGTCTTACCCGCGGAGTGGCAGGCGTCACAGAAAGAAATACAGACTTAGAGATTAGGTCATGTACACAGTGGGAAGGCCTATTAGGCATCGTCGCTGTAGGGTCCCTCTTGACTTGACACGCTTGGTCTGATGCTCTGGCTAGAAACCGATTTGGGGCTTGGCACAGACACGATGCATATAAGGCTCCGCCGCCAAGCGTGACTAAACCAACCTGTATTGGAGGCCGTCTGAAGAGGAAAAATGTGACTTTTTTTGCAATCGAGAAAACCTGAGATATTGGATTTAGTGAACTGTAGAATATGCACGAGCCCCTGCCGACGAGTGACCGTAGAGGGATAAGGGAGTTGTTGAGATGGAAATTGGGTGTGTGATCCATATTCATTTTACCTCAAGTGGAATTCGGCCCGAGCCAGGGTTACATAGAGCTTAAGACGCAATCCGTTTGCGCCGAAATCCCGTCCAATATTCATATAATTTGGAGCCTGAAAGTGGTCCCTGATGTCCATGGCATCATTCGAGGCTTGCAGGAACGGAGTCAAAGCAGTGGCTCTATTCCGACATTTATAACTGGCGCCTTCCCTTTTTTTCTTTCTTTTTTTCTTTTGTTTTTTGGTGCTTTGTGTAGCATAGGCGTGCTACGATGGGAGAAGGATAAAAGGCAGGCGTGATTTCTTTTTTTCTGCAGATCACAAGTTTTGTTCAGCTTGTCTATTCCGCATTTTAACAAACAAACAAAATCTGTTCATGGGATAGTATACTTTCAGAGCAGACTGCACAGATCGGTCTTGAAGACCTTGAATACGGATCTTCTCCTATCCAACTCACAACTGAGTTTCGATCCAGACAACAGCAACCAGGAGGTATCTATCTTAGCTAAAAGACATATTACCGACTTAGGTAGACTGCGCAGAAGTATTAGGAAGAGATAAATCCCGCATGTATTTTTGGGAGAATGACGGTTGGTGTAAGTTAGGTATCAACATGTTAATACCATCCTTGCATAGACATGTACATACATTCCAGTACCATGTCTGCCCTAACTCCTATATCACTGATGAAACTGATGCCTCATCAGCAAGGCCCCAACCCGCACCCCGCTAGGCACACCTTCCCAATCCGGTAACCCAGCGTAACTAATGACTCAACATCGACCGAATACCATCATCGGGGTCCTGATGGTGCAGTGGGAGTTGAGGCTAGCCACTCATTCTCGGGCCTCACGATCGAGCCTAAATTCGACAGTAAAACCCTTTGGGGTTTTCGTAACCTTCTGTAGGCTGGCACAACGGAGCCAGACTCGGGAGGTGAGCTTTTTGTTTTTGTAGGGGAAAATTCCTTGGATCCTATAGTTGTTTTCTCTTTCTCTATTACTCTCGGTTCTATCTGTAATCCTCCGCTTTTCTTGTTTGAAAAGTGCCGGGCTTATTCGCGTTTATTCGTGTAGTAGAGGTGGGTTTCGAATCCAGGGCAAGATTCGGCCTGAGGTTTTCAACGATCATGTGCTTACCGATGATATCAACAATCGATACTTGGAACGTCACCAGTGTCTACCACTGACGAAGACGGAGGAGTGAATGCGGTCTAACAACATGATGACGCATATTCAATGCTGTAGAAAATAAGGTAATTGCTACCAGGATTCGATCAGGCCTTCGAGGTACTGCCGTTAGGTTCGCCCAATCCTTACCCCAGACTACCAAGGATAGCTACGAGAGATGAGGAGAGGAGCTCCGTAGGCGGTTCCCGGTCATAGCGCCGGCAGATAAGATCGAGAATGCCGTAGTGGCCCTCTCCTAAATGAATATTGAATACCAGATATGCGTCAATACTCTCGTTATATTACTCCTGTAGTCCTCCCGGATACGAATATTGGTCCGTGACACGAGGTCCCCACACACGAATCTTAGCAGAAGATTTGACTGGCCATTGGAGGATGGGAGACAGGGAGTGGGTAAGTGGAACGTTCAATTATTGCTTAATGGAATCTCGTCGGGACTGGTTGAGGACTTGGCACTGTGGCTGTGCAAGCGAGTCTGGACTTTTATATCAGGCGGGTCATCCCTTACCTCGACCGGATCTCAGCGAAATTGATTTCATCACACAATGACTCGGTCTCTCGCCTTTTTACCTTGATTTAATACGTATGCTAGACTAATTCCAGATGAACAAACTAATTCGAATTCTCGTTCTACGAGTTCAGATTCAACAAACTGCAAAGATGACCATGTTCATAATTCGTAAATGCTGACAGCGCCAACACCCGCTCTGCGCTATCGCATGGCAGCCCGTTGCATGGTCCGGTCGGCGGCCAGCACGCGGTAAACCCGCATCAAGTCCTCCATCGAGGCCAGCGTATCGGGATGTTCCTTCCCGAGGACCATCTCTCTGCCGCGGACAGTCTGTTCCGCCACTTTCTCCGCGTCATCCCATCTCCCTTGAGACTGGTAGATGGTACCAAGATTCGCCATCGTGGTCAGCGTATGGGGATGCGCGTCACCAAGGGACTTGCGCATCAACTGCAGCACTTGGAACGTCAACCGTTCCGCTTGTGGCGACTTGCCCTGCTGTTGATATGTCAACGCCAAGTTCGCCATCGCTGTCAAGGTCAAGGGATGATCCTCTCCCAGATGTCTCTGCATAGACGCCAGGACGCTGGCCCCCAGGTGCGCCGCCTCTGCAAACCGCTCCTGACAGCGATACGTGGCGGCCAGATTACCCGCCGCCATCAGCGTCTGCGGGTGATCCGCCCCTAGCACAACCCGACTAAGCTCCGTGACTTGCACCTCCAGCGCCTCTGCCTCCTGCCATCGCTGCAGATCCCGATACGAGGTCGCCAGATTCGCCATGGAGGTGAGGGTCAGGGGATGTTCCCTCCCCAAACCGGCCAAGCGGGTGTCCAGCACCGCCGACTCCAGCCGTACCGCCTCCTCCAACTTCCCCTGTTCCCGGCACGTAACCGCCAAATTCGATTTCCACGTCAACGTGGACGCATGCGTCTCCCCTAAGAGCCTCTCGCACCGCTCCACAACCCGTCGCTCTAATCTCTCCGCATCATCGTACCGTCCCAGACTTGTATACGTGGTCGCCAGGTTCCCGAAGGTACTCAAGGTGGAGGGATCGCCCTCCCCCAGTGTCCGTCCCTTCACCTCCAACAACCGTGACTCGATCGCCTCCGCCTCCGCGAAATGACCCTGCTTCGCATACGTCGAGGCCAAATTCGACATCGACGACAAGGTCTGTGGATGTTCGTCGCCCAGGACCCGTCTCCGGATGTCGGTGACCCGTCGGCCCAAGTCCGCGGCTTCCGACCACTGCCCCTGCCCCCAGTAAGCCGCGGCGAGATTACTCATCGCGGTCAGGGTGGCGGGATTCTCCGCGCCGAGCAGGGCGACCCGTGCATCGACGACGAGTTTCCCAATATCCGCGGCAGCATTCCATTGTCCATGTTCGAGGAAGGTCACGACCAGAAGGCCGAGTGTGTGTGCGGTCGCGATGGCGTCATCGTCCGGTGCCTCGCGCAGCTTGGCGAGCGCGGCGGTCAGGCGGGCGGACTCCTTCGTCTGGCCGCGGGATTGATACGTGGTCGCGATGGCAGTCACGGCGGATACAAGGGTGCCATTCGTCGGTGTGGCCATCGATTTCTTTTTTCCGTGACGGGAAGGTATAAGTATTTATTGGAATTTATCGCAGTGTCACAAAATGGAGAAATCTGAAGAATGCCACGGAGGAATTAATCCCGCCAAGAAAAGGCACCGAAACAGCGGGGAAAGATAAGGCAAACACGCAATCACCACTGCAATCAAACTTCAACTATCGCCGACTAAAGCACGTCGGTGGAATTGTCCTCGGGTTGTCGGAATCTAATACGGTCTTGATGGTGGAGGGACCTGACACAATCTCAAATTCGACCACGACGGGGGAATTTTCCTTGCAGCGGTCACCTGCTGTGGAGGAATTTCTTTTTTTATCCCCGGTGTCATCCGCTCCCAACTCTGGGATGGTGAACGGCTCCTCGCGGCTCCATGACTGGAAGATTACCCGTTCCATCTCCACCCCGTCAGCCCTACTAGGCTGGCATCCAGGGTTCTGATTGGTGGAGAAGCATGGAGTGGAGATCGTGGTCAGGCAACCATATTCTGGCCAATGGAGGGAGAGGATGGGGGTTTGTTTGGTTTTGTCTGTTTGCTGTTCGTCCCGCAGAACTGGCATCCTTTTCCATCTTATTCTTCTGTAGTAGATCACACGCACTTTGCAAGATCCACAAGGATATTTATAAACCAGGGGCCCTCCGCAAACTAGGTAAACATCGGTTACAGGATGACTCTATATACTCGATACATATACCTTCTGGCTTATTTCCAGGCTATATATCTCGAAGACTGTCGCTGCAACTGTTGCATTAAGTTACTTGAATATAAAATGGACTTAAGGAGGCCTACACATAAATAGACATCGACTAAAGATTTAGACGAATCCTGTTTCCAGTAGAACCGATCATCTCTTTGGAGAATGAACTGTCTATAAATTCTTAACATATCGACCGTCGCCGTGTGCGTGTTGCCGTTTCCAGCCCCATGAGCTTCTTGATCCCCTGGCATGGATAGGGGATATGTTGACGGACGAAGAAACAGGTTTCAATCCTACAGTTCCGGCATCCTATGAGATATCCATCATGTGCGCCCTTGTCATTACAGTGAAGGCGCGGAAGTACTCCCTGATCTCGAAGATTTGAAGAATAAGGTTATGGAATGAAAGAATTACCGAAAACATAAATTTGGGTCGGCAAATACTGAACAGATTCTAGCAATCAGTATATTTTTGTCAACTAAATTATCTTTGATGTATCCTCGAAGTGATTGTTTCCGAGCAATTCCACGTACTATCTGAGCGATACGGTATGGCTTCAGATGCAGATCTAGAGTTTTCCCAGTTCAACTTGCCATTATAAATGCAAGGAGTTGCGTGGTGGATCATGAGGACATGAAGAGAAGCCCTTCATATATATTTTCCTAACTTCTATTCCATTTACTCTCCAGGTTATGAGAATCTCTTCCCATGAGCACTTCCGGCTAGAGTCGGCATGACTTTAGGGCATGGATGCTGCTCTCATCTGCTTTCTCAGTTTCTGTAGGTGACGAGAGTGCCAGGAACCCTGATCTAACATATGATAAGCGCTCTAAAATGGATTAGCTACGAAAACCAGCTTGGGCTCTCGGGAAGTAAGTCTTAAAAGTTTGACGAGGAATTGGCATGGGATAGCAATTAATCTAAATATTCATGGGATCTAAATCTTAAATCTATATTTAATTTATGGATCGAGACTCTTAACCTAAAACCTACTAAGAAACAGATCGGGTATGGACCTAATCTACCAACTCGCAGGTTTTGGCGAGGTCTATATTACTGAATTCTCTCTGTAAATTAAAACCTACTTGCTGCTCTCTTTAACTCTAAAACTACTAGCTAAACTCAATTACTAATATTTCCTTAGCGAAGTATCGACAGAGTATAAGCTAATATATTATATCTTGAAGATAACTACAATATGCTTGAGAGTGGACCCGATCCTAACTCGGCGATTTCCGGGCGGGCCCTAGATTTGAACCTGACCCGCAGACCACTGCATGATCACGATCATAACAGCGATAATATCAGTACTTGATTTGTATTAATCGGGCACTTGATACATTGTGTCATTTTAAGTCCTAGTTTATGCAAAATTGGTCCAAGGTTTTGTGGGTAGCCCAATGGGTCCTGACGTAGTGAAAATAGCCCTGTTTATTCGGGTCCCCCATGCAGCGCTATCAACCCTAACCTCCTCATCGAGTGTAGCTGAAAGCAGTATCGACCCTACGAGGAGGACCTACAAACATACTTCCAGTACGGGATCAAGTGGTGAGTAACACGAAAAAAGAAAAAGGGAAATATGAATAGAAATAGAAAGAAAAATACTGCAGCTATAGAATTTGCTCTCCTGATTTGACTTCTACTCGTACCATCTCCTTTACGTGGATGAATCCAGACATGATAAGATTGTAAGGCTCAGAATACTATCTGGCCTGGGATGTGGGCCCTAGTAGATAAATCTCCGCGAAAAGTGTGCAGCGCTCGTCTCTTTGTGTGAAAGGAGTAAAGCAAAAGAGTTTAAAGCATCCTGAATAGATCGCCATGTTAACTCAATCTTGGTAAGAACTATAGTCCCAAAGCAACCTATTAAGCGATTCATAGGTTAATACATTTATAACTATTGATGTCGATCAATAAATAAATCTACTTTCTAGATAATAGTCTGCCGACCTCTATTTATTGAGCCATTAAATGTAATTAACTATTAACTAACTATACTTTATTATATAAGCCTCGTATTTTGACTCCAGGTTCACCATATATAAAAGGCAATACCATACCATAATCTCTTATAATAAATATTACTCAAGTCCATTATAATATTCACTACCCAGCATATTTTCACCTCCAAAGAAAAAATGAAGATCCATCTTCTCTTGTCGCTTATAGCTCTTGGTTTTACCCTCGGCGAGCCAATTCCTAAACAGGCTCTCTCGCAAAGTCAGACTGAGACAGTCGACAACAGCTCTAACCAAATAACTTGTGAGATCTGGACGGCGCAGATGAGCAAAGTACAAACGGCAGTAAGTATACAGGAAGGCGATGGTGACCTCACCTTACTAAAATATATATCAGAGAGACCGCGCAAACCAAGAATACCGGCGTACATTAAGCCCAGCAGCAGTGAAGGCTCTATCCTCTGCAAATAAGGACGTTGCCGACCTACTTGCACAAAAGTAAGTTATTATGTGACTCTTATTACTGATATTGTAGCTGATGATTACAGACCTGCGGATTGTTAAACACCAGAATTCGGATTTTTATTCTGCGTTGTCGACAATGGCGCTTACTTGGCTGAACATTCAAAATTAGGCTCTAACCGCCTAGCTTATATTACACAACCTCCATATAGAAAGATATATTCCACACAATATTTCGATAGACAGTGGTCTTTTAGTCCCCTTTTTCATTTTGCTTCGATACCCCTTTTTTCTAGTTAGCAAAGATATTATATCTCCAGTATAGAGAACTAGGATCGATAGATATTAGTAAACTACTCAGAGGCTAAATAAGCTGCCTGTCTGAACGCTAACCCTGTGTATCTAGTTTCGAATTAATACGAATTATTAATATATAGCTATGTCAGTTTAACAACTATATAGTCAATATGAGTAGAATAACTTAACTGCTAATAAACATGTACCATAAAAACAAGAAAGACCCAGCCTATAATTCATCTACTGTATAGATATGTCATTTTATATTTGTTAGAATCTCGGCCCTTGCTACGATGTCTTATATAATAGCGAATGGGCCAGTAAGCATTCACGAAGTCTTCGCCGGCTTACATCTTTCGCAAAACGGACCTTGATAGGAACAATTAGTTTATTCACATTGTAAGACCCTACAGGGGAGGAGTACGGACGAGTGTCACACAATACGAGGCGACCAATGTTGGGACGAAGTAGTGGATATGTCGACTGTCGGAGTGGAAGGAAGGCTTTTCTGAGCTTACACATAAGAATGTGAAGTTTCCGAAATCTGCTTAGATTGAGACGAGGCAGTGAGCCTGACTGCCGTATGAACTCGGTCGATAAGACATCTGTTCTAGGTAAGCCTTGCAAAATGTGGCTGTGGCATGTGGAGAGCGACCGAATATACTATTGCTACAAAGCTGCCCTACATATTTTTATACACGACCCCAGATAGAAAAAAACAATATACATTTATATAGGCACCGTCTATATATAATATTATCAACAACGGCAGCGAAATGGAAGAACTATTAGGTAGCAAACCAATGGCAAGCTGTAACCTAAATAAAGCCACTGTTGTTATACCTTCGGCAATATCAAAACATGCTGAATCACGCCCGAATCCCCAACATCCCCATCGACATCGCAATACGATCCATCCAATCCTCATTCCCACTCGGATGAATCTGATACGAGTCCCGGAGATACTCCGGATCAAACCGAACCTGCCACTCTGGTGCATCCGCATCCAAGGCACTCCACGGATTCGGCGATTGCAAACCAGGTATCTCAGGATCATCCCACAACTCTGTCACATAGTGCTGCTGAAAGAGGTCCGCGCGGAGTAAGACATGCAACTGCCTCAACAGCGAAATACCCAATCGTATACCATACAGTGAAGACTGCGCGAACGGATCGACAAAGTCCCAGGGAATAGGGCCGACGAATCTCTGCCAGTGCAGGATAGACGCCTGGCGTTGATAAACGAGAGCACATTGAAGCTCTGACTGAAGCTCATTCAGTCGGTGCCGGCTGATCTCAATTTCTCGCATTAGACCTGCCCTGGCCTCCGGGTGATCACCTTTTATCAACCTTTGTGTGTCCACTAGCCACCCGGGGCAGGAGGCGATCTCGATAAATGCTCGATCAACAATGAGTCCCAGTTCACTTCGTTTCGGGCTCTGGCTTTCAATATCGGCTAGCTCGCTCAGAAACGCCCTCCACTGGGGCTCGCCGAGGAAGCAGTGTTCCCCACGGATCATAGCGTCGGCGACTAAAAAGGCTCGACAAGATTTTAACAAGGTCAACCCAAACCCAGATCGGTGCACATCTTGTCCACGCATTTGGATCATCGTCGCCAGTCCGCGTGTATGCGTCAGCCACGACGCTCCCGTAATGCCATCTACCATCTCGTACATCGTCAATAGGATCCCAGATGCAAGGGCCTCCTCCGTAGTAGCGAACTTCGGATGCTGAATAACCCCAGCCAGATAGTTCAAAGCCCGGCTATACATATGTCGACTACAAGTAACCTTGTTCATATCATTATACTTCCGACCAATGAAAACCGTTGCCAGTGCGCGGTAGGCCCAGATCAGCGCCTGTGGCGCAGTGAGGAGCGGACGTCTCGCATAATCGATCCAGTTGACCTCCACCCGCTTGCCACAGGAGGCGAACTGGGCGGGGAAACTGGTGAGGAGGAACGTGCAGAAGACCTCCTTCTGTTGCAGGTCTAGGGCCGCGGCCGCTAGGTTCGGCTCCACCCGTTCGTCGATGCTTTGGCGCGCTCGGACCAGGACAGCTTCTCTGTGGGGGGGTTGGAGCTGGCTGCGGCCGTTATGCTGCTGGCCTTTTTGGATGGAGCTTTTGGTTTGGTGCATGAATTTCCAACGTTTTTCGTAGCCGGGACAGTCGAGATTGCGCTTGGTGCATTGTTTGCAGAATGGTTGGGTTAGGTCGCACTGTAGGTTTTGGACTCTATATTAGAGGAGGTGATTGCTTCCTGCATGGACGACACGTAGATCCTGGTGGTTCTATTGCAGGAATCTGGACCCCTACTGCCCATCACGGAGAGTTGACTGGATGAAAGCTGAGACTAACCTTAACCCGTCTGCGCAAGCATGTCCGACATGCATTACTTTTCGGAACTCCGACCATGGTATTTTACTCTATCTGGAACGACGATCGGGGGTTGTGTACGCCGGAGTTGAGGATATGTCTGGTGTCAGCTCGAAGAGGAAACATGCTGAGAATACGACTGCAGATGTGGGCCCCTGTCAGGGTCTTTTCACTGCCGAGACCGACTCTACCTGATCGAGCATGGATTGGCATCGAAATCGCTTTGTCGAGGTGATTTCACTCTCGATAGGGTTAGTGGAGGCTGTTTCTATCATGGGATTGGTCGAGAATACGAGGCCCACTTTCTACCGCGAGTAGACGGCTGCATTGAGGTCTAGTTTACTTTGTAGACTATGGGAATGCAATATAAGGCAATAGAGAAAAGATATTCATTGTGTGGGATGAATGATGTGAAAGGTGGGAGTGAAGAGGTTTGAGGACACTCTCGCCGTTGATTTTAAGTCTGGGGTTGGAAGTGCACGTGTTCAGGAATATATATTTCTGATCCCGCATGCCTCAATAATTATGAACAAAAATGCTATCGTACAATCTCATATGGAAAACTATATAGCACATTAAAAACTAACAAAACATTTCTCAAACTTGCAGTCGAGTCACCAACAATCGTAGCACCCAGTTCGAGCACCCAGTCTTCTGTTCCACTGACCCAATCTCACTCATAATATCCTTCATTAGCTTTGCCAATATCGAGTGGGTATACTCCATGCTTCCAGCCTGTCCCAGCTGTTGAAGAACACATTCTTTGAGTGGCAAACTCATGCCTTGTGTATTTCGCGATTCCCGCAGGATACCACGCAGCTGGAAGTTGTGCGGTTGCGTAGTGAGCGCATGGACTAATGGGAAGGAATATTTGCCCTCGTCGAGGTCTTCGCAGAATCCTTTTTGGGTTGTATACTGTTATACACTTGTCAGTTATAGTCGAAAAAAGTCGATAGTAGGTAAGCTCTCACATCTTCTGTTAGATTCTTGTAATCGTCGCGGATTTGGAAGTATTGCCCTAGTAGGCTGACGAGCGAGTCAAGTGTGGTAGTGCTACGGAGGACGGGGTAGAATCAGATCTATATTATTTAAAAGGCTGGCATGGGACCTACCTGTTGTGTTGTGAAGGTGCCTTTTCCGTCATCAGCCGAGCGAGTAAGCGAAAGAGGCCGCCTGTTTCTAGAAGGAAATAATCATCGGTACGTGATCATAAACGTATAACGCAAAATGACATACTTTGGCTAATCATCTCGAGGTATTCATTCTGTGATGGACACTCGCCCTGCCGAGTCCAATAGAGATCGAAGCTCTGGCCGATGAAAAGGTTCCGCATCTCTTCCACGAAAACATCCATGCAGCGCGGATTCTCGAGCTTTCGTACTTGGTCCATCGCCTGTATTAGTAGGTAGTTGGCTGAATTTATGGTTTCGCCCTGTCCAAATATCATATGGGCTGCTGGTTGCCCCCGGCGGAGTGGCGATGAGTCTTCGATATCGTCTAGCCTATATTGAAAGTATTATCAGTGGCCAGGAGTCTCTTGAAGCCATTGCTGGCATGATGAATATTCTGACTCACAGCAGAGAAGCGTTGTGAAGTGTTTCTGCGATGGATTTCACGCGGCTTACGACATCGTTTGGAAGGATTAGCCAGACATTCATCGCATCAACGAATGCTTCTCGGACACCTTTTGACGGAAGGGAGCGAATGTAGTCAGCCGGACCTAAGAGGTGCTAAGTACCAGATTATGTCAGACCCTTCTTCAAGTACACACTATAATAGATTGCCATGAGCCCTACCTCTGTGCCTAGCTGCTCCTGCTTAGGTAGTTGAATCTCTTCTGCGAATGCATCAATAGATGATGCAGACGACCTTTTCGAGGAATTCTCATCCGCAGTCCACACCGGCGACTTCTCAGATCCGGATGTATTTGACTGTCGCTCATGGTCGCCAGGGCGACTTAATACGTTGGTTGCCTTTTCAGAGGATATTTCATTCTCCAGAAGGCGGCCTGCCTCGTCGCAAAGTTCGGAATGGTACCTTGGACAACGCAAACTCCAGGCTATGTTGCCGGGAATCTGGTACGCCAACGCTTGCAAGTAAGTATGTAGCTTGGTAGCGTTGCGTCCTTGTCCCAGAATGAATTCCTCCACACGCCTTTGGTATTCTTCCTCGTACTGGTTTGTCACCTCCCGCACTAGTCTCTTTGCCGTTGTAATATCGACATTGTTCCACTGCATAAACAGCCATACTGCGCTCGTCATGGCACCTTCGTCACACACTCTCTCCTGGAATTCCTTCCACTCCACGTCGAATGAGAAGTAGTCGTTGGCTAAGCCTAGCGCCGCATAACAAGGTTTAACAATGGGGGCAACGGTCTTGATCTCTTCCTCTGTCAACAGGATGCCCATGCCAAAACGCATCAATGTATCGACGAAGCTTAAGGTTGTCAGAGATGAAACACGCGAGAAACTCGAGGAACGTTTATGCTTACGGCGCCCCGGTGTCAATGATTCGGTAGTCCACATATTCGTCTAGGTTACTGAACGGCCTTGCTTTGTCGTGCTTCGCAGTTGTCGCGATCATCGTTTTCCAGGAGTCAAGAACAACTTCGGCACACACCGGATCAATGGAGAGCAGTTCGAGCATCATCTTGGACTGAATCTGTTTTGTTCCTGACACCGATCGCACGGTGCGGTACTCCGTTTCATCCAGGCCGATATTATCTGCATGTGTGTTCAACTGTGTTTTGGGTTGTTGTTAGGCTCGAGCTTCATTTGGTACTATAATAAATTTCTCCTTGTATACTTACTATTGCTTTGGCAGATGATTCAACGACATTATCGTACAAGAAGGCATCTATAGAAAAACGAAATCCATTGTTAGCGTAAGGCCAGCTACAAGGCTGTAAAGGGAAATGGCCCATACACTCGAAGATGTAACTAATGATTGCAAGTCTGTCTGGCTTGCACAGCGGTAGGACCACAGAGCCGAAATGTCCTTCGTAAGGGTTGCAGCTTCCCCATCTTTCGATCGGACCGATATACTTCACCCAGTGTGCCCGGCATTGGAGGGATCCTAGGTTTGCCCTCTCCTCGTACTTGTGCCGGCGCAGGGCATAGTGATGACAGAAGCCTTCGATATCCGGCGCCGAACGCTCAACACGATACGATGTGTCGCCCTCAAAGTTCGAGGGTGTCTGTTCCATTGTGGCAGTTCAATATTCGTGTGAGACGCATGGCTTCCGAAGCTCGCCTTCATTATGGACCTCTTAAATAGGAACTTACCTAGTAAGTCGCTACACAACTTGCACCTTCATTACATGATGTCGTAGTTGCTCGTCAGCTTGATGAAATTGGCCGGATGGAAGAACCGCCCTATAACCCCATTATTCTGGGTCCGAAATCTAACCCAGGGAAGGGGCTGAAGTATAGTGATTTCAACCTTGTTTTGTACGAACCTAGTTGAGCCAAAAACCTGGTTGAGATTGTCGATCTTCTGCACAGGATCTCGAAATGCTCGTTGTGAGTGGTCTCACTGAGTGGATCTGCACCGGGAACACGAACCACGGCTCTCAATCTGCCAGAGCTTGGCCCACTCAGTCCCACCAGTTCGGTTCATGGTTCAGCAGACAAATGTTGCGGAATAAGACGCCGCTCGATATTGATCATAGTTTGACGTCAAGGTTTTGAGGGTCGGCTCCACTCTTGGCGTGTGTAGTTGACATCCTACCAAGCCTGAACGGTCACAATGCCTCTCCGCCGCCGCATGGAAACAAGGACAATGGTCATTCTTGAACCCAGTCTTCGCAATGGTTGGGGCTGTGAGAGAGGAGGTTCTATCCTGTCTCCACAGCTCTCACTTCCTCCAGGCCTCAACTAACGTCATACATTCCTTATTGAATGCAGACGTGATACAGCTGGACCTTCCATGGCCTGCACTGCGGTGGTCTAGTAATTGCTAATCCCAGTGTCCAAAGCTTTGTGGTTGTACGGTGTTCAGCCCAATTACACGGCGTACTGCTATAATGGAGTTGAACAAGGAAGAGACAGACCGCTTCGTGACTTTCAAGCGTCTATGTACGGCAAATGGGCTGTCGGAAAGACCCAGTGGCCTAGACGTGGAAGACATCCGGGATGGAATCAATGACGAAGTCACGTTACTGTAAGCTTCAACTGAGTGATGTGCCTTACTCACGTTGGTATTAACCAAGGTAGACGATTCTTCAAAGCAGGCCGTGCGAACGTTCATAGAGCTCTCCAGCAGGTTGAGGAAGCAACCAAGTTTCGCGAAGAACAACATGTTCTTTCTCTGTATGTGACCATCCATGTGGATGACTTTGAACATACGCGCAAGTTTGTTAGTCCGGCACCATTCCTATCTTGCTGCAGTGGACTGACGGATTTGATCCATAGTACCCCCATTGGACCGGTCGTCGAGACAAACGTGGATTACCAATTCTGATGGTAGATATGGCTCACTATGACCAGTCCGCAATTGCAGAATGGAGGAAGTTGCGGGATATGTCCTGTTGCACTGACCCAACTGTCACCCCCAAAGATAGGCCGAACATGTCTCAACAGGCATTGGTGTTTCACGATAGTTTGACCCGTTTCGTCCTTCCCCTTTGTTCGGCTATGAGTGACCGACCAAATCCCTCAACGCCCATCGGCAACGCAGTTTATATCGTAGACGCATCTGTGGTATGCGTAAAACAAGCATGGAACCTGAAAGACTTTGCACAGGAAGTCAGTTGGATACTGATGACATGCTACCCAGAAACCATTGAGCGTATCTTTGTGAGTCTATCAAGAGAGATTAAGAAGAGATGTACTGATGGGCTCTGAACTAGGTCTGCAACGTTCCGTCATATTTCTCCATGATATGGAACATCTTTAAGAAATGGGTGGATCCTGTTACAGCAGCCAAGGTGGTGATCTTGAAGCAATCAGAGGTTTATCGGACTCTAGAGAGGTTTATTGACAAAGAGAATATTCCGGCGAAATTCGGAGGCGGTTTTGCGTTCCAGAATGGAATGCTCCCAGACCTTGACCCTGGCATTCGTCAGCGCCTGCAGTGGACTACGCCAAGTCAATGCATACCATCTGGTCCTGTTAAGTGGATGCAGGCTGATGGTGGCAGGAGGATTGCAGTTGCCACTGGGAGTGTGGACGTGAACGTACCAAGAAATGTTGAAATCGCAGCGCTATTATGAGATTGGGAAAGTGTGTGAATCAGATAATTTATCCAATCCTCAACGCATGACCATATTTCCTAGACTGAAATGGTCGAAGTGTTATTCAGGTCACTTCTGTATCAGAGGCAAAAAGGTCTTCGTCGTCCGGGAGGTGGCTCATACCACGGCGCAACCTCTCTCCATCACTCTTGCTGCTCCAAGCCCCAAGGGCGACTTTACCGCAAGCAAAACGAAGTAATGTGATTTCAGAATATAGAGAGTCTATATAACCAAGTATTGTGTGGCTTTGTGATAAGCATGGATTAAATACCTCAAATCACGAACGGCGAGCGGTATCATTTGAGATATGACGCTGACAGGGCGCTGCAGTATGTAATTCAAATACCGTGTATTGAGTCTACCTAGCTTACGGCAATACCGTATATGCGAAAGCAAAAGAGATAAGACCAATGGACTGTATGCTCCCGAAAATTGTAAGAAACTGAAAAGACCGTCCCTCATTAAATCGTGCCAAGTCTGGGCGTCTGAGACTCCATGACTTCCAGAACCATCATAATGAGATCCATAGAGATTTCCTTCCCCTGGTCAATCGCCAAAGCCTTACACAGTCCAAACACATTCTTGATCTGGCGTCCGTTAAGCTCGCGCCGTGCCAGCTGATGGTATTCCTGCTCAGACAAATGAAGACCACCAATATACATTGCAAAGTTCTGCCAGATTTTCCCACGGGCCGCAACACTCAGGTTCGGGTATTTAAGGGTCATGTGGATACGGGAATGGAACGCATCGTCAATGTTCTTGACTCTGTTGGTGGTCAGAATTAGGATGCCCTGGTAGTACTCCAACAGTCGAAGGAAGACTGCAACCAGCGCATTATGTGCAATGTCCTTGGTTGATCGTTCTTCCATGAAGACGTCAGCCTCGTCAAGGAGTAGTACAGCGCGGAAGGCTTTCGCAATGTCAAGGGCGCGGGTTAGGTGCTGTTCCAGGTCTTGGGAGTGAGCACCCAATTCACCAGATGTAACTGTATACAGTGGTCGCTGGCTATACTCGGCAACAGCTATTGTGCGTCAGCCTAGCGCCTTGTAACTGAGTATTAGAAATCACCTTCGGCCGTCATTGTCTTTCCTACGCCAGGAGGGCCATGGAGTAGCATGATAAGGCCTTTTCCCTTGCCTGAAAGGGTTACCTATATTAGCAGTGTCTTCACACCAGTCATAGAAGCTAGGGTACGAACCTTTAGTAAAGTCGTCAAAGTCCACGCCATTGACGTGGCTCTTCACCATAACACGCACCAATTCCTTGGTAGGCCCTGGGAGGACCAGCTGGTGAAAAAGCTGCTGGTTGAACACGATGTCTTCGACGTCATCAATGCTCACAGTGCGACTCCTTTTGTCCTCGAAGGAGAATGCCGGAATTGTATCGGTACACAGCATAAGATGCTCCTCGGTCAGCTGACCATCAATAAGTTCACGCTCAAGATCGTGTACCCTAATTGAGCACGAGCCAAGGCGTTTCATAGCGGCAGTATCTATCATCACCCGGCGGAGTTTGTTCTGCGATGCATCTCTGTGGGCTTTGAAATGTTGGCCTTTTAAAGCCGCAAACCGCCGGCCTCGAGCCACCAAATCACCGACAACTTGGGGGTGGTTTGGGTGATACTTCAATGGGAATACATCCAGGTCAGACAGATAGCGAATGCCTGGGAATTCCCAAATTACGAATTCCACCCTCCTCGTCCCAAAGTCATGACCGTCGCAATCGATATACAGGGCCTCGATATGGACATATTTTTTTCCATAATCATTGGTTCTGTTGTCAGCGCTCAGGACTCGGTATGCTCGTGGTATGTCCGCATGTCCATCGACAATAATGTCCTTGGGAAAGAATGCTTCTCGCAAGATCCTGAACGTAGTGGTTCCTCTGGAAGCCCTCGATTGATATGAGACCAGCAAATATGTTGAAAGGGATCGCTTACTTGGGAAACATGTGCTCAATATCACGAATAGCCGACGCGTATTTCTCCTCGACAAGTTGCAACAGCACATTTGTGTGCTTGACATAGAGCTCTCCCTTCTTTTCAGCAAGACCTCTAATCAAGTTCCTCTAGTAGCAATTTAGCTGACTGCATGATCAACATGTTCACGCGTTCCGTTCTTACCCATCGAAACACCCCGTCGTTCGGCCACGGTAAGGAAGACTCCACATCTAGAGTTGCTCTTTCATCGCTGAGTGCCTTATATAGCACCTGAAACAACAATGGACTCTTTATATCGATGAAACTTTCGCTCGACGAGGGGTTCCACGTGTTAAACACGCGTCTTAGTACCAACACCCACTTGCCATACTCGTCGCTTGACAACCTCCTGTCTTCTTCGACAGCGCCTCTCGTGGGATCATGAGGGAGGAAGACGCGTTTGTGGAGTTTTTTGTCATATACCTAGAGCCAACATGCCTGCTTAGCATTGATACGCTCACGGAGATTGAACACGCGCCATGTACTAAAGGTGGCAGTCTCACATCGTCAATCTTGCATAGCGAAACCTCCATATCCTCCGGTGCCACAATCTGAGGGCCAGTCTCTTTTTGTGGGTCTCCTGCGGTGTTCTCTGCAGTTTGGCTAGGCTCAGGCTCAATAGGTCCAGGCTCTTTAATAAAGCCCGTGTTAGCATGTCGACCAGCCAAGTGACACTTATATAAGGATACCAATGAACTTACTCTCAGAGCCAGTGAAACATGTACACGCATTCACTGTAGCGTCCTTCTGACGAGAACCATCCCGGGCTTGTCGGATCTCTTCGTTAATGATCTCGGAGTACATGCCAGAAATTGACGATAGGACGGAGTTGAGAAGGCCTCTAGTGGACTCCTCTCCACCGAGACAAGTGACAATACTATTATCGATGGTCGACCTGGCTGTGAACGCTAGGTAATTGTCGGAGTTTGCCGCCGAAGTCTCACTGAGAGGGCACTGAAGCTCGACTGCGAACTCCATGGCTCGGTGGTTGTTACCAATTACTGGTGTACTCTGAACATTCTGCGCCACGGATTCTGTAACCGCAATGTCTCCGACAGGTTCAGTTTGAGTATTCTCGTGCACATTGAGAGCATCAATGGTATGCACTACCTGCAACTTCACTTCGTCGCCGCGTGGGGTGTTTTCAATTGCAAGGGTCGCTTCCATTTTTTTTTTCTTTCTTTTTTCTATTATAGAATTGAATCGGATTCAACTAATTCAGGGAGCACACAGAGATAATATAGAATCAAGGATGTCCTGGGAAAACCAAAGATACTGGTCATGAATAACGTTTCAAACAGTCAGGCTCTCATGATATTTATCTCCAATAACTCCGATAAACATCGATAAGATAGTATATCGGTCCCTATTGTAGCTGGCAGGCAGCTCCTAGTGGTGCCTAAGGGTTTATAGTGTGGCCACCAATAAGACGCATTCCTGCATGCCACCTGCCGCAGCTGCATCGTGGACACTGGCCAGGGAGTCAATCAAACCGAACACTCCAAGGGGAGCAACTGCAAGGGAATTTCCAGTCGCATTGTAGCCTTAGAGTCGCTATCACATCGCAATGTGTTTCCTGATCGAGCCTCATCCTATTCCAGGCAGTACTAGAGCAGCCTATCCCTTGGATACCTCACAGAGTGATGTACTTCTGAAGGGATTTAGGCACATTGAACATCATCTGCTGATTAAAGCAACCAGGTATGAGCTCAAGGGTCGCTATGAGGTATCATTACGATGTTTTTATTTTCTAGGCAATACTGTCGCCTACCAGATGGATAACAATATGCACGAATCTACCACCATTATCGTGCCTTTCCTGGTTGAACAACCACACACCTCACCTTGGCCTTAGGCAGCAACAAATAAAATCGAACTCTTTATTCCCCACATTCACAGTACATGAGAATCAGCCTCTCCGAGTATGCAGGTGACTAGTCATAGTCGAGCATTGCCGAATGCGGCTTCCATTCGGCATTTGATCAACACAGCTGGGCCAAAATAGCGAGCTTAGCGCACGTCCCTGACTAGGCAATCTTGCTTGCAGCCTTTCGTTGGCTGAATCGTACCCGTCGCGGGCTTTGGTTTATTTGTTTTGATTTATTCATTTTGATTTATTTATTTCGATTTATTTCTTTCTTTCTTTTCGGTCAGATCAATGAAGCATGGGCCACAGATGTGGCTAGTGTCAAGTTGAAGCTCACAATCACCGACCTGTGCCCTCTTAGTACTTGAAACATGGACTTTGCAGAGTTTGACTGTGTTTCATGTAATTTTAAGGTGGATATACATGTAGGTGATTGGTACACTAGATGAATAGCCTCTTTCATTCCCCGTAACAACCATGACTAACATACATCGTGTTCTAAATATATAAAAGGAGAACCAGTGAACTACGTTAACATTCAGAGGACGAATAAACCAGATCACACCAAAATAAATGGGGACAAGCAATATTTCTCTAGGGATAATATTCAGTGATGACAAAATTTCCAGCGTAAGTTACTTTTCCTGTTATGCTAACTTGTTTTTAATCAGATGAAGCGCGCCGAGCGCGACCAACCTAGACGGACGAGTTCGGCGGAAACTTCCGGCTTTCGACAGAAATTATACTGTGTAGCAGAAAGGAAATGAAATGTAAAAGAAAACCAAGAAAAAGCAATTGGAAAAGAAGAGGGAGAAGAAATGCCTCCAGTGGTTTGTAAGCTCGAGACATACATCCTCTAACCTCATAATGTCACGAATTTAGGGTAGAGGTGGTATGTACTGGTCATTGGTGAAATAAAATGTCTAATAATATGGATATATACTAACTCTTTGTCGTAATATGTATAACATGGATGTATGGAAAGTGACCTTCTTGCAGCCATGAATCATTGGAGTGATCTTCCTTCTGTCCATTTTCCCCTCTTCCAGGTGTTGGAGATGACCATAGGCAGAGGACGGATGGCCTTCGCAAGTGGGATGAATCGTAGGATCGAATGTCAGATCCCTGTGAACTCTATTCAGGATGTTTTCTTTTTCTCTTGAACTGCTCGTGGGGGTGCGATGCCTCGATCTGATCTTGCAACCCGAATCAGGGCATCCTAACCCTATGGACATGCTGAAAATATGTGGTCAGAGCACATCCATATGTTTTTTTCCCTTTTCTTACAGCAAGACGATCAACGCTGTGCACAGATACAATCCAACTGTTCTCACATGTCGGTCTACTAGTCGACAAGGTTAAGGACTTTAATTAAGAAATTAATGGCGGAAAGCCACGAGGGGCAGAAGGGGCCCGCATGTAATATCGATTGTGCCTGTCAGATTTTAGTGGCTCCTATCACACTATATTAATTTTTTTTTCTCGCGTCTTCCACCCTGGCCTCCTGATTCCCGAGAGCGACCGTGACTAATTTCCCTTCTCAGCAATGGAGGCCGATACTCCTTGGTTAGCTCGATCATAGCTGGAAGAAATTCCCACATGGCGTTATGCCAGTCAAGAGCCCCTCCGACTACGCTTGAATCAGCTTCCTGGCCGATCTGGACATGGTGACGGCAGTCGCGTGGGATGGGCCACACAAGAAGCGAAGTCGGATGGAGACCAGCCCTAGCAAGTGGATTTTATTAGTCAATGTGCGCATTCAGCTGGAGGAACTAAGCCTCGCACGCCGTCGATCACTATCTTATTGGGATGAAGCCCCACCAATGAAAGCGACATTTATCTGATCCGAAACCTAACCCTGGTTATCTGATCAAACGTGATTCAACCCAATGGCGGCCGTCATTGGGTGATGGGCTTTCTGTCTAGAGAACTTTGATCTCCATCGGGAAGCGCGTCTTGCGGTAATAATTTAACCTGACCACCATTACTTTTTGTACACCGATGGGTAGATCGTATCTCTCTAGACATGGTTACGTAGAAAAGAGTTGCGACCCCCCGGTCGTTCGTTCTGGTTGCCAGCTATCTGTCCCGTCGCACCACCCAGGAAACATCGTCGACCGCTCGAGTTCACTTCGAGGTGTCTAACCCTTTACTTTCTTCGCCATGGCGGGCCCCAATATTGTGCGAGGCCGGAACGACATGCAGTTGGCCCAGAGTATCGTCGGTGCGGATTTTAAAGACCTCAAGTACGAGGTCAGTGTGTCATCCGCGAACAACAGCCCCAATCCGGATGCGATCAGTCTAGAAAGCCCACAGAAACAACCCTTTCGGAGACCGTCCGAGGAGGTCACCCAAGGCGCACAACTGGGTATTCGAAAGGCCGAAGCAGCGGCCCTGGCCTGGAGTAAGAAGACTGCTTACCTGACCTACGCTTTGTGAGTCGTATAATGCTGGCATCTTACCGTCTGTTTGACTTTCCGTTACTAACATATGGTCGACTCGACAGAGTCTGGCTCGGTTTCTTTATGCTAGCCCTACAGTCCGCCGTCAGTACCAATGTTATCCACAACGCATTCGCCCACTTCGAGGAAGCGCCCGCCGTGAGTACATCCAGCATTGTTGCGAGTGTGGTTAGCGGGGTAGTTCGGCTTCCTGCTGCAAAGCTCCTCAATATCTGGGGGCGCCCCGAAGGCCTTTCGCTGTTCCTCGCCGTGTACCTCCTTGGGTTAATCATTCTGGCCGCTTGCAACAACCCGAGCTCCTTTGCCGTCGGCTATGTCTTATACTGGGTTGGATACGACGCCATTTTCTTGATCCTCGACGTATTCATGGCTGATACATCTGGACTACGCAATCGAGCCTTCGCATTCGGCTTCGCCAGTACACCTTTCATCTGTACGGCCTTTACAGGTCCCATCGCCGCCCAGTCCTTTGTGAATCACTCAACGTGGCGCTGGGCCTATGGAACCTTTGCCATCGCGCAGCTGTTTGTTTTTCTCCCCTTGATTGCCGTGTTCAAGTTCTATCAGCGCAAAGCTGAGAAGATGTTCATCTTTGTGCGGGAGCCGAGCGGGCGCACATGGAGGCAGTCCGTCATCTTCTGGGTGAATGAATTTGACGGTATGCATTCGCTGCTACGATTGGTGGACTTAGCTAATTATAACTTTTTATAGTGGTCGGCACCCTCCTCCTCACCGCTGCCTTCTTGTTGGTCCTCCTTCCCTTCAGCTTGCAATCCTACGGCCGAGCCGAGTATAACAGTCCGACATTCATCGTCATGCTGGTAGTCGGCATCCTTCTCTTTATCATCTTCGCTGCCTGGGAACGATACGGGACTGCAACGCCTTTCATCCAGTACGCATTGTTCAAGGACCGGAGTGTTCTTGGAGCCTGTATCGTGGCAGCCAGCCTATTCTTTAGTTACTATGCGTGGGAGCTCTACTTCTATAACTTCTGCATGGTCGTCTACGGGCTCAGCGTGAGCATGACAGGATACGTCGGACAGATCTATAATGTTGGGTCATGCTTCTGGTCAGCAGTGTTTGGAGTCGTGGTGTACGTGACGAAGCAGTTCAAATACAGCTGCTTATGTTTCGGCCTCCCCCTCGTCATGCTGGGCGCCGGTCTAATGATTCATTTCCGGTCCGCTGGTGGAAATGTTGGATACATTGTGATGTGTCAGATCTTCATCGCGTTCGGTGGCGGAACACTTGTCATCGGTCAAGACATGGCCGTTATGGCGGCTTCCGACCGTGAAGGCGTTCCAATGATGCTGTCGATGATCGGCCTATTCTCCAGCTTAGGTGGTGCGATCGGCAACGCGGTCTCGGCTGCCATTTTCTCCAATACCTTCCCATCTGCACTCCGAGATGCTCTTCCGGCCGAGAGCAAGTCGCAATACATGGATATTTACCTCGGAGGTTACCTCAAACAACTGGAATACCCGGTTGGGTCGGAGATTCGAGACGCCGTCAACCAGGCCTACGGGGCTTACATGAAATATGGGTGTATCGCAGCCGTGGCGGTCATGGCCGTCGGGCTTCCGGCTATTGCCATGTGGAGGAATTACAGGGTTGACAAGAAGCAGAACAAGGGGGCCATGATGTGATGGGCTTTCTCTTTGTGTTCTTTTTTTTGGTTTTATTTTGTGATTTTGTTTACGCTTATACCCCTATACCCCTGTGCCTTTTATCGTTGCATTCCCTTTTCTCCCGGTCTTCTTCACGTGTATATGTATCATATGGGCTGATGTGGAGGCTATTTGAAGATTTATGAATTATCCAACCATGGATTTAGACATTTAGCCACAATTTACAACTTTAATCCACTCACAAATTATTTTTCTCATACATGACTGCCATTGTAGATCCCAAATCAAGTTACACCGAGGGGTTCGTCCGAGAAAAGGTACCGACGAAGCGGAACCCGGAATTTCAATGACCTTCACACTCGAGTTGCCCCTCCATGGCAATGAAAGTGAACTACCGAGTTGACAGGCCGGGCATCGACTGCTCCGGGATCACAATTCTATCCCAACTAGGGTCGTTAAACGCGTCATTGGCGGCTTGGCGGGGATACTGAATGGTGGAAATAGGACAGCAAAGAACCCACTGGGGAAGGACATGCATCGAACCATCGGGGGGCAGACGACAGGCGACAGGCGACAGGCCAGCTAGATAGATTTTGTCTGTGCAAAAGGAAAAAAAAAAAATAAAATAAAATAGCTCATGTGGAGTGGAGTCCCAAAACGTAGGTAGTATCCGAAGCGCCAGTCAACCAGCAGTTGATCGTCTCGGCGATAAGATTGATAACTCACGTTAGGGCGAAGTCGGACCCGTTAGGCTAAAGGCACTTGTACTTTTCCGCCGATGACATGCCACTTTGTTTTATTTTTGTCCGGTTTGGTGTGGTTTAATGGCCTTTGGGTCTGTTAAGAGGGCAAATTCAATTGTCTTTTGTTTTGTTGTTCATTTTTGGCTACAACACTTACAGCAACTCTGCTAATGAAGCCCACGGCACCCGTGAAACCCGTGTTTACTTTCCTGAAAGGTCGCGTGCGAGCATCATGCATGAGGCTACCTTACCGGTGCGCTCCAGGACACAGTCGGTGTCTACTGATGTCCCTTGGTTTTTGAAATTGGATCATGAGGATGAAGTGGTTTACGAAACAACCGACCGGCCAGTGCTGAAGAGTGGTAGCTTGACTGGACTCGTGGAACAATTGACGCGCCATGACCGACTGGACCTTACCTTCAACGAGACCTTCCTGATCACCTATCCTACATTTGTATCTGCCCCGGACTTCTTCGATGCCCTCCTCCGGCGATTCCACGTCGATCCGCCGGCTCAATTGGCTCAATCGGAAATGCAGCTGTGGACCCAGCACAAACAAAAGGCAATCCGTCTCCGGGTCGTGAATATCTTGAAGACATGGCTGGAACGTTTCTGGATGGAGCCACGTGAGGAAGCGACAACGGAGTTTCTCAAAAAGATGTACTCTCAGATCAAGAATGCAGCGGATATAATGGAGACACCCACTGCCTCGCAATTGTTAAGCGCCATCGATCTGCGAATACAAGGCCAAGAAATCACGAAACGCCTTGCTACGCCCCCGAATTCCAACATTCCGAAACCGATCACTCCGAAGAATATGAAAAAGCTAAAGATATTGGACCTCGATCCGACCGAACTCGCCCGCCAGCTGACGATCATCGAATTTAACCACCACGCCCGAATCAGGCCCAATGAATGCCTCAGTCAGAAATGGAAGAGGAGGCAGTCTAACAGCACGGAGCCGTCGACGGGTGTCAATGCCATGATTCTGCATTCGAATCGACTGGCTAATTACGTGGGTGAGCTTGTGTTGGCTCAAGATGAGCTGAAGAAGAGAGTGTCGATGATCAAGCTGTTTGTGCAGGCTGCTGATGTAAGTTCTTGTTCTTTGGGTGGGTGTGTTTTGTCTAATGTTAGTTGGAAAGGTATGTCGTTCGATCAACAATTATGCTACTTTGATGTCGATTGTGTCTGGCCTTGGACAGTCACCTGTCTTTCGACTCCGGCAGACATGGGGTCTGGTCAATCCGCGTATTCGCAATTTGCTAGAGGACCTGCGGGATTTGATGTCGAGTGAGAAGAACTGGGTCAAATATCGGGAGGCGTTGCGACAGACTAATCCGCCCTGTGTTCCTTTTTTAGGTATGTATCTGCATAGGCTCCTTTATATCCCGTCACCCGTTTCCTCTTTTTAGTTTTCGTTTTATTTTCTTATAAATTATGCTTACTACTATTTTGAATGTACTCTATTGACAAGGAAATAGGAATCTATCTCACAGACCTAACCTTCATCGACGACGGCATCCCCAACTTCACCCAATCAGGCATGATCAACTTCGCCAAACGCACCAAAGTAGCTGAAGTCCTACAAGACATCCAACAGTACCAAAACATGCCTTACAATCTACAGCCCGTACCGGAGATCCAGGACTTCCTGGTTAGAAACCTTAGAGCCACAAAGGATGTGAGTGACATGTATGATCGAAGTCTTCAGTTAGAGCCGCGTATGGCGAACGAGGAGATTGTCGTGAGACGTGGCGCTCATACAGCCACGGGAAGTAATATGAGCTCGGTGATTATTGCTAGTATGGCTATGCGGTGATACTGGTGCATTTGATACTGCGTATTGCTTCGATGTGGAGGTTTACATCGTCTTGTTCTTCTTTTGTGATACCTTGTTTTTGTTTGTTTCTTTCTTTTCCTTGACCTTTTTCTTTATGATTATGAAGTTACGATAGCACGGCTTTATGGTAATGTATATAGAAAAGCATATTCAGTCTTTCGGGTCAAAGTAATGGGAGAAAACCATAGTAAGCTCACTAGTGGATTAGATTGAGTCTCGGGATGAATTAATGACGGAGTTTATAACGGACGTGAAGAACGTTTAGATCTATGTAATGGTGGAATCTTGGGACGGATTTCCCTCAGAGCTAAGACATGTCTTCATGCACTGCCTCAAGACACGGTCTCTGCCTCAGCGAGATGGCTGTCTTCCTTTTGGATGAGTTCTAGATTGTTATTGCAACCTTTAGCATTAGAAGAGTCTCTTTCTCGCTGGGGTTAGCCCCAAAAAGGCACCGCGATAAACATGAAAGAGGACACAAAAGGTACAGTTTTAAATCTCTCTTACTTCACAACATATAAAGGATACCCCAATGACTATAGTGGCTAGTTGCCGACCTGTATTGATCCACACTCTCTTGGTATATCGTATTTACATTACGTTTCCTCTTCCATTCAAACAGCATCTTGGCATAGTACAGCCTGACCAGCCTATGAGAAAGAATTAGACAAGGGCAATGCAGCATGAGAACTTCGATATAGGCTCGGCTTACAGTAGGAACTGCGCAGCATTTTGCTGCTTTCCCTGATTTGTCACAAATACTTTTGAAATCCGTCTGGTTGGATGGAGGAGTGCTTGGGGTCTTGCAGTCGAGCTCCGAAACCCCAAGTACGTCAATACTACAGCATTGCGGATTGCCATAGAGCCCGGCCGGGCAGAGAGCACCGCTGCCGTTGCTGGGACTGTTGTCGCCGTTGTTGGAGTTGCTGTCGCCGCTAAGGTCCTGGGCTAAAGCTGTTCCTAGGAGGAACGCCATAACTTGAACGATCTTCATTGCAGCCGAATCTGTGGATAGAAATAGGTTTTGAGAAAGAATTTTGCAGGATTCTGGATAAGAAGCAGAAGTTTCCGCGAGCACCGGGGAAAACTAAAGGGCAAAGAACACAGCGAACAAACTTATGCTTAAGTAGCGGGCGAGGAAGCGACCTTTATTTGAGGCGATCGTCGAATTTTGTGTTTAGACGTGTCTGCTCCAGAGGGAATGTAGATCGGTAACTATTGATCACTAGAACAATAGTTAATGCAGTAGTCGATTTCTTGGCGCTCTATACCCACTCAGAAAGATCATCTCATAAGAATGTGGTACACTACAGTTATCCTACTCTCTTTTATGCTCACTTCTCACCTATTGGGGATAGTTCGGTTTAATACACCTATCTTACTTCATTATATGCTTGGTAGCTTTCATAGATAGAATCTGAAAACATCGAGACAGACGCCGACTGATACTTTGGGTGAAAAACAAACCTAGAACTCCATTATTTAGGGTTCTATGGCCGCCCGCGAACCCTATCGCGAGCTAATACGAAGCCGAGCCAAGTCAGTCAAATTCACAAAAAGATTATCGTCCAACCAGCGCACCTTTTCCGTAGGCTACACGAATCGAGCATGAAAACATTCGTTTTAGTCTTTCTCCAATACCCAGGACGAGTTGTTGACTTCAATACGTTTTTGGATGAGGTAAATGAATGATGACGATGTTTCTGCCCAACCGATCGAGCGACCCATTTCCGATGTATTTACCGAGAATCAAGTCCGAAGAGTGCAAGATCAAATCATCAAACTGATTCAAAAGCTACGGTACTGTCAGGGTCTTCAGGAGCCTACACGTTGTGGTTAATATCGGGTGGTATTATCTGGGACGTACTGCATCTTAAGCTGACAAGATCAAGATGACTGAAGCTTGAGCGGGACAATACACGACGCTAACCGTAACAGGTTAGTATTTCTATCAATGAAGTTATGCCGGATGCATAAATGACTAACTCTGTTAATGAACTCTGGATTAAGCTGATGCTGCCCTAATTGGGGATTTTGAAGTTAGGACAAGATATGGTATGCAACCCATCTTGCATTTGTGTCTTGTATTCGCTATATGCTGTGTGATGGGCTTGATGATAGCAAGTGGTGGCGGTTTGAGTATTGGATCATAGTTGTTTTTACCCTCTACCATCTATCACTGCTCATGAGCGATGTAAGGTGAGTGTGAATGCAGAAGACACTACTTTCGAATCCATCTTGAGAGCTAGTCATAGATGACATTTCAATGCAATTGGTAGTAGCACGGATGGGTCTCTGCTATACCGTCTCTGAAGGACGAGTAGTGACTCCAATCCATTTGATTGGACACAAGGTTGATATGCGCAGGGTGACAGGAAACACACGGTGTAGTGCGTATTTGGCTGCTCTCGAATTGCTGTTAATATTCTGCCGTCATCATATCTCCTAGAGTATCCTCTCCTATTGCCCGACGTCTAAAGGATCATTGGTACAAACATGCATGCGGATAGCGCCTCACCGACCAATAACAACGAGAGTGTAACAATGCAACTGCCGACCCCACACCGGCGCTTAACCACGTCAACATCGAACAAAGCAAATACACACCCTAATTCAACCTGATCCGTAGCCCATTTATCGCATATGTACCGTATGATTCTCCTCCTAAATCCACAAGCCATATGGCACAACTCAACTATACTATCCCAATGTTCCACCTCCGGTCCACATACACTGGAGTAACAATCGATGCAGAGAAATCCTTCCTTTGCAAATGTGGCTATGCCATGAGGAGGTACACAGTCAAGGACATGGAGAGTCCCTATCGGGGAGAACAATGTATATCATTCCGTCTATTCTCATCCGACCACATCATTTCTTCATGACTGATGACGTCTAGATCTCGCCTGTAGAAGACACTCCAGAGACAAAGAGCATTGCAAGAGCTTGATATGGCTCAACGAAGCGCCTCAGGTAGAGGAACTTGTTCCGCGCCTTGCTGTCCCACAGACTCCGAAGAAACAGACCGATATAAGGGAGTTTTTGACGCCACCGGAATCGTCATCTTTGAAGAGGAAGCGGGTGAACATAGATCCCGGCAGCTTGGACGAGCTCCCGGGAGATGAGATTGAGGATAGCGGTACGTTGGCATGTTTGATTGTACGTTGGGGATTGGGGAGGATGAGAGTAACGTGTGTTTAGATTTGTCGGACGAGACTCTCGACTCGCCATCTCAGAGTAGGCAAAGGATGCTCAGAAAGGATGGTTCGACACCGGTAGCTCGTTCGCTGTTTGTACGGCAGGGGGATATGAATACTGCGCGGCATCGACCTCTTCGACGATTTGGAACTCCGCCGCATCGAGTCGTGGAGTCGAACACACCACGAAACCCTGAAATTACTAGCTCTGGGCTGTTGACTCCGGGATCAGGTGGCCGTGGGTATAGAAAACGGTGGCTCGGATTGGAAGCACCGGCCACACCAACTAAGCGGAATCATATATTTGCCTCTCCAGCTTGCGTCGTGGATGATGATATTAGTGATTCGGATTCATATGGCTGGGATGAGGAACTGACTCTTGCTATGCTGGAGAAATCAGACCAGGTAGAGCCATTGGCATAGGCTCGGGTGGGGGGGAGGGTAAGTGCATCGGGGTGAAGGGATCTCAAATTGCCATTCCTGATATCGGGTTTGAGAGAGGATTTCATTCACAAAAATTAGTGAGAGGGAAAAATGGCATGCACGTGCAACGCTCTTGGAATAGTAGTCGACATCTCCTATCGAACATTGGATAAGGCACTCCACAATCAGTGGCGCATTCTGAACTTTAATAGATGTTGCCGGTACTTACACCATAATCTATTTCGTTGTCAAATACCCATGCTGCAGATCCTTTACCATAAATCGCTTCTGTCTGTCCACCTGTACCCTGTACTATGACGAGAGTGCACACCACTGGCTGGCGCATGCCGATCGATAGTTGATGACTGCTGGTTATGTGGAGGCCAAGCGGAGAATGAGAAGCATGTACAGTCATATAAATATAGTGACGCAGCTGTGATGCGCCGCCAAATAGAGACCGGAAATCTCTTTGCCACCTCCACCGTGTGTGGCTTGATATGATAATTTTACTTTGAACCATATGATCTCGGTTGGGATACTCTTTCCTGCTTCGGTGTGGATTGGCGCTGCTGCTTGTACGATCCGAGTACTAGCATCACAATCGGCATGCGCATGTCGCCGTTATAGGACTCAAAAATGGGATAGAGGTAATATAGGCCATGCGTAACTCGTCAGTCCTGCTTATACCGTTGAGAAATGCATTGGAACTGCCATTTGCCGGTAAATCTATCAATATGCCGAATATTGCCCGTAGTGGGAAGCTTATAACATGTGACTGAAAGCTACCAGCAGTCTTGCATTTGTCCCTAGGCGAACACAGAGTCTGGCAGACGGACAATCCTGTCTTGATAAATGCTTTCCACCTATCTATCGCGATGACATCCAACGGAGACAGCTCTCACTTCCAGAGGCCCTTTGATTCCACAACCCTGCTCAACTTAGATCTCTTCAAAGTCTCAACCGACGATGCAACCAGAGATGAGAAGATCGCCCTTGCATACCATCGAGCCCGCGCGATAGCAAGAGCCTACGGTACGTTGCCTTACCTATGTTCGGGCGCCTATTAATTTGGTACGCAGCGTTCAAAATGGAAGATGTACTGTGCCTGAGCGACAGATTCTGGCAGTTTCACCAGGACATGATCCACACTCTAGATTCGGCTGCTTTCAGTTTGTTGGCCATCCAGTACAATCTCTGTGTGGGGACTCTGGCTCCCTTTCTTAGCCATAGAAAGGACCTTGAGTCTCTTATCGAACCACTACTCAACTTTGAGGTTTCGTAAGTGCCCGATCCGACAAGTGGGCCTTCATGATACGTTAACAAGTACCAGAGGACAGTTCCTTCTGACAGAGGTCGGACATGGTTTGGATGCTCAGGCCATCGAGACTGTGGCTACGTTGCTTCCTGATGGCGCCTTGGACCTTCATACACCGACTCCGGATGCAGCCAAGTAAGAAATCCCCCGATTTGCTAGCGATGACCGGTGATTTACCTTTCAGGTTCATGCCAGCGACATCGCCTATACCAGGCTTTCCCCGTGTCGGGATTGTCATCGCCAGATTGATTGTCGATGACAAAGATCATGGTGTCAGACCATTTCTCGTCTGGCTGAATGATGGTCATGAAATGTGTACAGGCATATACGCGAAGTAAATACCTTCTGAGCCCATCCAGCCTTCATTGTTTAACCCTTGATATGATATTCTAGAGTCCTCCCGGGACGAGCTGGATCCAAACCACTCGACCATTGCATCACATCCTTCAAGCACGTCCGGCTCCCACACTCAGCCCTTCTCGGATCGCTCGATGCACCACGAGACCCACGAAAGAGCTTCCGATCTGCTATTCATCGCGTCTACATTGGCACGCTATCTCTATCCACAGTTCTCATATCGGCGCTGAAAAGATCGGTTTACGTAGCGGGGAAATATAGTTTTCGTCGATATATATGGGGACCCAGTCATCGGCCCCGACCGATTATAGCATTCCGAACACAACAGCGTCCTATTGTTCATGCATTAGCTCAGATCGCTGTCTTCGATCCCTACGCACAGGAAAGCATCCGACATTACATGGACCCGAAAATCCCATATATCGTGCGTCAGGGTATTGCAGCCGCTTTCAAAGCCGTTCTCACTCGCGCAACGCAGGAAAGCCTGCATCACCTAGCTGAGCGCTGCGGTGCGCAGGGGCTGTTCGCGTATAACAACATCATTGATAATCAGATTGAAGCTCGTGGGAACTCCATTGCCGAGGGAGACACCCTGGCTCTTAGCATAAGTGGCGTATATCGTGAACAACCAGCGGGGTTAGTAGCTAACGTGTTGAACAGGGCTTACCTCCGAGTTAATCCTAGGACGATATAGCATGCCGCCGCCCCGTTATCCATTCTGTCTCCTGGCCATATTTGAAACTGGTCTGTTCCAGCATGCTCGAGATATCGTAAACTCGCGCGGAGGGGCTCGCAGAAGGGAGGAATTCAGCGCCCGTGTACTTCCCCGATGCCAGACGCTGGTTGAGGCTGTCGGTCATCGGCTGGCATACGAGGCGGCCTTGGATGCTGGTGTGGCGTCAGAATTGCTTGATCTCTATGAGGCTGGTGTGGTGCTTCAACATTCGGGGTGGTTTGTGGAGAATTTGACACTGGATACTGAAACGCAGTTTAATATGGAGATGCAAGCAATGAACGGAATACTGCCTCGGCTGAAGGAGTTGTTAGATGCAACCGGTGCGGAGCCGTATTGTACGGCGCCCATCGTGTCTGATGAATCTTGGACGGAGTTTACTCGCAGCCTTGAAGTTCATCAGGGCAATGCTCGAATGGATATCTGTGAGTATGATTCGGAGCTGGCAGAGAGCATTAGTATACTTGGGTTTCTTCCAGACAGTGGATAGGTTGGTACTTTTGTAATTAGGCTTGTGGTTACTGTTGATGGCATAGGTTTGTATCATAGTATGAAGTCAATTCATTAAGCTATCCCCACCCCTGTAGCTCGTATGTAAAGGTCTGAGTCCTCCTCGCCCTTGTTCCTGCTTTCTCCTTTGTTTCTTGCTTTCTTTCTTTCTACTGTATCTCATGACTATACTAGCCGTTAATAAACTGGAGGTATGTCTCAATCCAAGCCCATTTCCATCATACTAAAAGCAAACAAGGGATCCACGTAATCGTTCTAAAGATAGTAATATACTCTCCCATCACAGAAGAGCATCTCCAAGGGGCGCTTATATATTCAAACAGGTCGTTGATCTGCAGCCTTAATAGCCATTATATCCGTTCCCCTCAAATATCAAGAGCTACTCCGATTCCTCTAAATGACAACGATGAGATCTACGAATCTGAAACTCCACAACTATCGGGGAGACCGCGAGTCTTTCCCACGATCCCAATCTTATACTCCTGTTACGCAAAAGTCTAAGCAACCAATAGTGATCACAAACCCACAAGGCAATACTACATAGTATTACCCGTACAGGATGAGTTGTTCCGTACGACCAAGAACTGACGACTGAGTACTGACCCATGTTAAGTATACGAAGCGAGCGATGTATGATGCCGATGGATCGGAGAATGCCGATTCACCTCTACCGTTTGAGGTGAGTGGTTTAGCAAGTGAGGATGCATGTGCGGAGTTTGGCATAAGCTTGGTAAAGAGGATTTTGGATGGTGATATGGAATGTGTCTGTATCCCTCCGGCGTGAGCAGTCTCGAGCTTTTTGTGTACCTGTGTTTTCTGAAGCTATTTGAAATTATGAGGCCTAGTTCCTAGTCTCTTTGTCTTTGTATTCCTTTGTTTTCTAGGCAGTACAAATAGGGCCTCAGCACCACCTAGACAGGGAATTCGGAATCTCGTTCTTCATCTCATTTGACATTTCATCTTATTTTTCATAAACAATCTCATCTACTTCTTCCATGCCACATCCAATATCCTCTTCAAAATCAATTTGATCTATTCAAGGGCCTACCCAAGCAGAGACTTCCATAGCATCCTTTTCTTTCCTTGAGGAGCGCTGCTATGGCTTGGAGCAAATGCCATTCGTGGCATTCAAGCAGGAATGGCATTTCCAGTGGATAGCGATGGCAGTCAACGTATGAGAGCGAACTGTCGGGATTTACCTTGTGGAAAGGATACCTTAGACATATTTAGGTGGACCTTGGTCTGCTGAGGATCAGGTAAAGTTCTGTGTGCGCTAAACATGCAGTACAACATGAAGTCTCGTCCATTCATGCCACCCCACCTACTCTTTCATGCTCACAAATCACCATCACTGTTGTCAGTCCAGAACCGCATCTCGAGCTGGACCTAGGGTTCGAAATAAAATCGACGACTGAGCATAGTGATTTGACATACAACTTGGCCGCATGTGTGAGGTTCCCTTTGGTCAAGAGGCCAGCAATCCAATGCTTTCGCTGGCAACTGGAAAAGAGATCTGATATCGGTGCCCTCAGGGTTCGAAATTTGGATATACTCAAAAGGGAACTGACATCTTAAGTACCACCTCTGTAGTTCGAGGAATAGAAGAAAAGAAAGGCTAACACAGATATCAGTGGGAATGCCAGGTATTGCTGAGCAGAATACCAAGCCCTCCATGGAGACCAAGTACGACGAGACGTGACGATTGACTGTGGAATAACGGCTGTCATCATCTTGCACTTACTCGATGGCGGCGTATGCGCAGATAGTGAGCCGCCAACGGAAGGTGCGACAACGGCCTGAGATATTACCAATAGCTCACATGTGAGCAATATTACCCACGGAGCTCCTCAAAGTAAACACCATTGTTGATTCCATTCTTTCCATTCGTTCGTTGGTGTCTTAGCTTCTAATTTGGTGACCTCTCACAGTTTTGGTTTGTTGCAGTGCAGTGTCGATTTCAAGGGTTATCCCTGTAGAATACATGTCTAACGCTATACGTGCAACAGTTACAGTAGGTCCACACGCGAGATCTTCTAGTAACTTGTGGTCTATATCCAAAGTTGTTCATTATCTCTTCTGGTAGCCTTCCACACAGGGAGAGATACGCCGGTTCAGACTGTAGGCCGATATCGATACTGAAGTGGTAACCACAGGTGTAAGTAACTCAGCGACTAAGACACACATGGCCATTTGAGTAGTTGAGAGGAACATAAATTTGGAAGGAGCAACAGAGAGCGGATAGAATTAACTTGAGAAGGAAGTCATGTCCTTCAACTGATCCAGATGAGTTCACTCAGCGCTACGTAACAACAACAATTACAACTACTACTATATCAACAACAGCAACAACAACTACTACTACAATTCATATCACTACCCATTTACTCCATCATCTTTAGATTTATTCAACATCTTGCACTCTCGAACTATCAGGCCTGACGTCTCAATCAACACACTGTTCAGATCCTCTGTCGCGGGTTGTTGTGAGAGCAAGGGAACTGCTCTCAAGAAAGAGAACTCTAACAGCGAGGAATTGAGAATTGAGTCCTGGCCTGTTGTCGCCATAATGTCCCAGGACATTCCGGTCCCCCAGAACGAGGAGGGCAATACGGAGCCTCGTCGAAGACTACACATCCGTGGCCATGTAGAATCAATTGCCACCAAGACTCGAGGATTTGTTATCCGTTCTGGAGAGGATATTATCAAGGGTACTCGAACTGCTGCCCGCATTACTCATGTGCTGGGTTACCGTGCGTACGAGCGCACGTTTGACAACCTGCATGCGGCCTTCCCTAATCGAATCCGTGCCCCCGTAGGAGAGCTTCTAGTGGAAGCCCGCAAGCAGTTTAAAGTGTTTCGATTAAGGCAAGGACAACCAGACGAAGAGATTACAGAGCGAGCAAATTCGACAAGTATCATAAATACTTTCCTGCGATCCCTTGGCCTCCGACATATTGATTATGGAATGAACAACCAAGGACCTTGGGCATTAGAAGCAGAGGACATGCGTCGCATCGTAGATGAATCAGGTGAGTCGAATAGCTTCCATTTAATGCGAAGTGAACCTTGACTACTAAGCAACGCCGCAGGACAAATGCCCCAGCCCTATGGAACCGCCCGTCCATTTCTTGGGGATTACCGCGGCTGGGTAAATCGTAGGATGCAATTTGCAGTCAATGTAGTGCAGCGCGAAGCAGCACGAAGGCTCCTGGATGCTATGGATTTGGACACTGCACGAGAATTCCTGAAGATGACCCTTCCGGAGATGGATCAAACCATCCACACAGAGTTTACCGTTGGGGAAAACCGATATCGCCTTGAGTGCCATGTTGACTATGTACTGTGGTTCGGATACAAGCACCTCTGGGACACGAATTTAATAATCATCAAGCAACGGGACTACTACGAACGCCAAGGGTTGTCGCCGCTTGCAGCTATGGGTATGCTTACCCACCTATGTCTATTTACGTTTCAATGCCGACTAATATTAACAGCGTTGATTTATCACCTTCGAATGCTCAATGGTAGGTATAAGGAAACCTGGGGCCTCTATACAGACAGCATAAATTACCAGTTCTTCCATGTCGATGATCAGGGACGGGTAGGAATCCCCTATTGCCTTATGCTCGGATCCAAAGCTTATCTGCCATTACCTCCAGTACTCCAAGAGAGCCTATGTTGGGGGAGATCGACGTCTTTTTCAAGGCTTCCGGCTGTGGTTAAAAATATACCATCAAGCATATGAAAGGGCTAGAGAGATTAGAGACCGAGCCCCCGAGCCCATGACAGAGCTCCAGATAGCAAGAACTACAAAAACTATTTACGATCCCCTACACCAAGCTGTCCTAGAGACGCAAGGGGATACTTTGTAATGCCACAATGCTCCTGGCCACATCTTTGTAAGGCTGAACTTGGTTTACGTGTCTTTACAACTCTGCTGATAATTGTCGGGATCACATGGATGAACGCTATTATCGACTGAATTGCATGTCGCATTGTTCCTTTCAAGTGAAAATTAGTTTATAGCCTCAAAATGACCTTCTTTTACTACCCTTATGATAATTTCTGTATCCCTTGACCAGTGCTAAATCCCACTGTCTCCCTGTCATGTTTACTCGCTAGTCCACCTAGAGAAAGTCTAAACAGATTCAATGGGTATGTCAAATCTCACAACCGAATGTTATCATCCACTCGTATGGAGCGTCGCATTCCGAGAACGCATTCACCGTACAACAATAGTGCAGATGATGATTACACATATTGGCGTGCTATCTTGCTAAGAGGAAGCCCAGCTGTTATTGAGGTATCATGCCTTGTGGAGGGGTGAAGTTGATTTGCTGCCATTGGGTATCTGAAGCGTGATGGAATATTGTCATCCTCTATCTCCAGAGGACTCCAAGCAGTCACTTACCAAAGCAGTGGGGCTACACTAAAGCTAAGATACGCTACAAGCTTTGGCGTTTGCTCCTGTGCTAGGATGTCAATTTCAGTTGGCCACTAATGAAGAACTGGTGTCTTTGTCTTAGAGTCTAGCCACAGCTTAGGTACCATTACCCACCTCTCTTACTGGAAACCTTGTAAGGAGAAGTAGTCAAAAGTCATTGGATTATCACATGATGGAAGTAGAGGACTCTGCTTTAGGCTATGGAATGCCGGAAATGTCACTTGCTCTCCCTTACATTAGGCCGCATGTACACATTGGAGACGAGAGAAATATCCATACGAAAGATCAATATACGTTCGCTATCCAGTCAACCTATAACATATGTACAATTCATACACATGGCCACTGTTAAGCTAACCCGAGATCTGCCGGGCACAACCCCTTAACCAGAGCAATATCCGACCTTGCTCGGCTCGCAGTCACCCTCACATCCATCATACAAAACACAGGGGTGATCAGCATCAGTGCAAACATTGACCAGGGTCGCAGTGTCTCCAAAGCTCTGGTTAATACCAACAATCTCACCACCGTTGCGAGCAGTGGTACCCTCGACATAGACGTTCCGCTTGCACTGACTAGAGCAGTTTCCGCAAGACCGGTACACCTTGCCGTAGTCTTCGGCGTAGAAGTTGATAATCTATGATCATCAGTGTCTGTTTCAGTGGGGTATATATATAGTAAGGATAAGGTCAACTTACGTTCACAGTACCACAGCCATTGTGCTGGATGACCTTGTCGTCGGCGTGGTAGGCTCCACCGCCGATAATCCAGGTCTCGTCTCCTGCTTTATCGTTTTTCTAGGGAGATAGTTAGTGGTGAGCCAGAAAGTAGGGTAGGCCTGGAACATACGATGCTGATGGCATCCTCGCAGACGTCCTCAAACCAGACAAATTCAAGGGTACAGGGACCGTCGCAGTGAACACCCTCGGATTGGTCGGCACCGATGATAACGTTCTTCAAGGTAGCGCCCGAGTGGAGGTAGAAGACGGCATCTTTCCAGTCTCCTTCGTTTTGGCCACCGCAGGCACCAGAACCGCGATCGTACTTGGCCCATCCGGCGTCGAAAACCTCACCGGCTGCGATCTCAATCACGGCACTGTTGGAGTGATGGGCTGTGGGCGTGGGAACACCCCCCTCGTAGCCCAGACAGGCCAACGCCACGGGGAGGAATGCGGGGAGAAAAGCAATGCGAGAGAACATGACTGACCACAGCTGATGACTGGAGTTTGGGTCTCTGGGAAAATTGAAAAAGCGCATACGAAGGAACCCGAGCTTTATATACCCATGCTCTTGTCTCTCTCATTCTTGGGGTCTATCCCCATCCTGGCAATTCGCCGGTGGCCAGACAGAAAACCTGATAGAAGAGAGTCATTTGGTAAACACCCTTGTCTCAACTTGAAGCCACCCGGTCCAATATCAACGAGCAAGTCAAATACGTTCCTCCAATCAAAGACTTACATACACAAAGCCAGTTCTTGGGATTAATATCCAAGTCACTGAAACCAGCAATCTCCGGAGGCAGACTAATCCTGCCCAGACTCTTGGCGGCGGAGCACTACCGCTTCGAATCCTCCACTTTCTGCACGAATTGCATTGCCGAAGCTCGGTACTGCCGGAATTAACCCAGCGCTAGACGATAGATTGTGGCTGTGTAGAATACTCATGCATTCTGACTGGTACTTGCCTGTTCGACTCCGTAGCCGAGTGGGAGCTGCTCGTGGAATAACTCCACTAATGGGGTCTGTATGTTGGATGTTACCTGTATGATCAGTAATCTTGTTTGCTCTGTTGCTGTCCCTGGACGAGGTTCAGGGCAAATGGTGGATACCATGTTCTTCAGAGTCGAAACCGCTACATATTCCACGGAGATAAATGCCCATTTCACGTTGCGTACGGTAGAGTTGTTATGACCACGCAGAAACCTCTTCCATTTCGTCTGAAAGTTCTTGTCAGATGAACGGTCATGCACGGGCTATATTCTTGTACAATCTCAAGTATGAGCGGTATTCTCCTACTTGATTGTGGAAAGAAACCGTCAAAGCTCATTAACGTGTTGTACACCGTCCTGGTGTTCAAACTAGACTACGAGTTATTTTCCATGTGGGGCAGTGAATATTTTATCTCAATGAAGGATTGGTGTAGGGGTATCACATTCCATTTCAGTGTGAAAGATCCATGCTTGATCCTTCGTTTGTTTTAATTTTAGCCCTTCATCCAGACGGGGTGAAGATTTGTCCAGTTCTACATTATTCCCGTTCACAAGTTGCGAAACTAAGTATATACACTTGGTGTATTCTTGGGAAAGACCATGTACGGTCTAGACCGGATACTAAGACCCTTGAAGTCCTGTTCATTTTAGTCGCTGAAAGATTCGGTCTAGGACCAATTAGTATTCCAATGCTTTGGCCCCTAGATATAGTTTCCTTTCTTGGCGTTCCATATTCGTCAAGGAATTGCAATGTTAGCTATAGTAGCCCCGATTCATAGTTCAGAATGATAGGATAGTCGAACTGTTTTCGCGCGGATCATGAAGTGACTCGATGAATGAAAAATGGTCTCTGGGATATGTCGTGTCCTTGGCATGGAGATACTGTTTCTCTCATAACTGCATGATGTTGGTGTTCATAATTGGAACAGTTATCCACAAACCTCGAATGTGGCTACAGTTTGCCCAGGAGACCTTCAAATACCAGTTTATGGTCATAAAAGACTGCAGTCCTATGTGTATAATGGTTTTCTAGCACTATCACAACGAGCACCGCAATACTCTGAGATGACTGGTGACAAAGTGCATATTCTACACTGTATGGATACTACACAAAGTATAAAAGTCAAACCAAGAGCGACTCATATCCCCTACATACTCCTATACCCAATGAACATTTCTAGAGCCCTGGAATCCATGGGTGTTAAAAGGAACCAGGGCTTGATACGTTATTTTTGCTTATATAACTAGTTTGTAAGGTTCAGAGTATACAATCGGCCGGATGGTGTAGTTGGTTATCACGTATCGTTAACACCGATAAGGTCCTGGGATCGAGCCCCAGTCTGGTCATTGATTTTTTGCGAAAATTTATTTTGCTCTCGGAATGGAACTGTGGATACCTTCCTTTTGCCAAGACTTTATCATCCGAGGTCGCTGGTAGGGTTTTGTTAGGAGTTGTCAGGGAGCTTCAGTTGGGGTTAAGGTACAGAGGATTTACCGAGACTCAAGACAATGGTATTTCTTTATGAAGATATCATGTTCTAGGGTTCTGGTTATAGGTTTCGTCCACAAGGGAACCATAAGTACTCTGCCCACACACTAATATATATTCTCACCACTCTTGTCTCATGATCTCATTCTAAGAACATATATATATCCAACCAGGCTAGGCTGAGTCTTATGAGTACCAATCACCATTCTGAATAACGCATCCCCTTTCCAGTTCCTTAAAAACCGGCTCCCTTCAGGATATTGCTTCCCAAATGAGCGTCCCCAAACAATAACGTAGAGAATGAGAATATGGCACCGATGGTGTCGATACATAGCTGGATATGTATTACGTCATTACATTTTCACCAGAGCCCTGCACCGATGCACGCATCGCATAGATCGGAAGCTCTCAGGACAGCTGGTGTGCACTTGAACCCAGAGATACTGCACGGCTGTGTTTACTATGAAGTGTAGGTCTTGCTTCTTCACTACGCAAAATCTCATTTATTATTTTGCAATTTCATTGAAGTGAACCCTAGTATAGACTAGTGAACTACAGCGATCCGGATCTACTCCAATCACCAAATGCGAAGTCGTGCCTATATGCATATATATATATATCTTTGTATCTAATAAATACTAATGTATTAAGTACAGCGAAAAGATCGAATACAGCGTCTGCAACACAATCACCAAATCAAGACGAACGCGCAAGACGAGCTCTGCCCAGCTGAAGTTCACGACAGATATCATGCCGGACGACCCGTTTAGCAACCCTTGCACTCCTTGACGTAGAGGTCGGCAGCGCGGTAGGTGGAGCTGTGGCGACCGTACCAGTAGACGGTCTTGACGGGGTTGTCACCGTAGCCCTCAACGGCGAAATAAGCGTCACCACCGTGGGCGAAGAGACCCTTCTCATTAACGCCGAAGTCGATGGTGCTGGCGCCCTCGGGGACAGCACCGGAGTGAGGACGAGTGAGACCGACGGGAGCGGTGTCCTTCTCGACGACGTACAGGTTCTGCCAGCCGGTAGGGGTCTGGTCCTTGGCAGTGTAGGAGACGGCGCCGGTATCCGGCGTGGCGTGGACTAGATGATGAGGTTAGTCAACCGTTGGTGATATCGATGGCGTGCGATGGGGGCTTTACAGATGGCGATGTCCTTGTTGGCGTCGGTGCCGTTGCCGCCGTAGTAGAGGTACTCTGCAAAATGTTAGAGAACTAGTAGATATGTTGTCAAGGAAAGAGTAACGTACCTCCATCGGTCAGGACGGTGAGGCCACCCTCAGCAACGAGGGTGAAGGCAGCGGGGAGAGAAGCAGCGCTAACGGCGCTGAGGAGACCGGCAACAGCAGCAATGGAGAACTTCATTGTGACGGTGGTGAGAAAGAAAGTAGAATAGGCTTTGCAGGTAGATTGGACTGGAATTTGTTAGATGAGTGATCTCGATGGAAGACGTGAATTGGCCTCGTTATATATCTTGAGCATGCTATTTTGGGCGAGACATGTTTTACCCTAGAAGCAAGTTAACATCACCATCTTTCAGCATATTGCCTCGGTGGCCCTCTGTTTCTGATCACTAGTGTCCGATTGGTAGTTAATCCTAGTGCTATATAAACTTGTTTCAGAGTCCCTCATTCTCTGACGATCATTACCCCATTATTCTCCATCACCAATCCCTCATGCCATTGATCTCTTGCCTGGGGAGAGCCCGACGAACGCTATATTGCTCTCAACATATTATTTTATGAGACTTTATGAAAAACATTCCCCCACTCATATGAGTTGTTTGTCTTAGTTATTGAGCCCTGAGAGTTGTATAGGGTCTGGGTCAAGAAAGCATCCCTTAAATGCGGAGCCACGGCGGGGTCCACAGTGAGGTCATATAATATGGCTTCATATAATCCCCAAGTTATGCATCTCTGATGCCATAGCCCTTTTTTTTTTTTTTTAAAAAAAAGAAGTAGTATAGGCAATGTTTTTAGATGAATAGACAGGTATACTACACTTACAAGAGAAGAAAATACCGCCCTTACCCTATTTCAGACACTTTTGCTCTGGTAGAGTTCTCCTGTAGATGTGAAGCCTCGGTATTTAAGCGATGCTTTTTTACCGGGTGTCTTTCCCAATTATCCGCTGATTAACACTAGTGGAGCCCACTAGACATCTATAGTGCCAGCGAGACACGGGAAACCGTTGTCTTCCAGAGCCAATATTGGGCAATGTTCTACCAAGTAAAAGATGTAGCGTGTGTAACTAGTACGATCATCAGGGCTATATTGAACTTACGCGGAACAGTACCGCTAGAACTTTGCTGAAGAGAGCACAGTGATCAGCGGTTTTAGTCTGGCTCCTCCCTAAATGTCTGTTTGAAGGGTTAGCTATACACTAGCTAGTATGAGAACTATAATAATTTATGTAAAATATTGCCTCAGGGTTCAAGTCCTCGATAATGTGAATACCCCAACCATACGATGATTCTTCACTATCATAGAAGACAATGGAAGTATCTGGGCGCGTTGATAGTAGACATGCGAGCGGTTTCGATCGATATTCATAGCTGAGATATCGCGTCCGGCTGGTCGCTGGATGAGATAAAACTACTTCGGAAATTCCACAGCGAAATCTACGCTTCGTAATATCAACGACTCGCCTGGACAAAGTCGATCTTGGATGACTTGGCGAGAGAGGTCAGCCATGAACGGCCACATCATGTCTCAAGATACGCGTGCTTCAATTGCACGAAGGCACCCGCATGGGAGAAGCAATGTGCCGTGTGAGCCGCGACTAGTATTTTATAAACACCTCCTGCAGTGACTCAGAAGGCGAAGAACTCCGGAACGGATCCAGAAGGTAGGATTAACCTTGAATAGTTGCATGTTTCCTCGTTCGAGATGTGGAGCCCTGGCTATTGCTTCATAAAGTGCTGCCTTATCCCTGAAGAGTCCCTGCAGCAATCCCTGACTATCTAATTCTGTGGACTTAACCGGTGGCGGAATATGTAACAATATGTCTTGAACTACTAGAATCCTGCAGTGCAAATTTCAACTTATCGAGAGCCTCGCTGTCGACATCGGGGAAGTCCGCGTACAACTAGGCTCAGCATTTTCGATGATTCACATTTAGCAGTATTCTACAGGGCTAAAGGTCCACTTGCGTACGTACGCTTCTACTCAAGTCATCAGTGGCCAAGTTCTAACTTCGGACGCATGTCCATACACTTGATAATAGATGAATTAGCGGATGCTTTGTAACCACCGAACACGCAAGTGACGAATAGAGGTCGAGCGCTCCGGGCGTACGTATACAGATCCCAGGCTGTAGGACACCGTTTACTCATATGAGAGTTCGTATAACAGCTACTGAAATTTTGTTGGGGGGATGTCCACATCCCCGAGTGATACTGTGCAAATTGTATGGGCGGCTAAATGCTGCTCGTGCACACATCTCAATGCTGTCCAGCTTTTGACCTGATAGTAAATGGTTAATTAGTCCGTTGATTTACGATGATTAATGAACAATACTACTGCATCTGTTTTAAATAGCCTAGCACAGCCACGATCAGTGTACTGAGATTCAGTCCCTCACAAAGTCATACCAACTTTGTATCTAACTAACAAAACATACAAGCAAGAATAACAAATTAGCGGCTGAGGGAGTGGAGTGACCAAAGAAGCAAATTAATATCGTTAAACCACAGCTTCCAAAGCTCACACATTCCCAGAGACATTATATATCATGAAGTACGCTGCATATTCACCAGGCCCACCATACTCCGAGTCATTCTGAATAACTCTATCGACTTCCTGGAATCTAAGGCGCGCGTAAATCCCGCGCCCTGCTTTGAACGCCAAGGTAAAAACGGGGACTCCAGCCTGTTCAGCATATTTCATTCCACTTGCAACAAGTGCCGTGCCGATTCCTTTCCCCTTGTTCTCTGGGTGAACGGCCAGATAGTCAAGCCCTACCCATCCATTAGCTATCTCTCTTTGTGTCGCTAAAGTTCTACGATGCACACTTACTGATGAACGGCTTCTCCGCTAAGATGCGGTCCATCACAACATGGTTCTTATCATCGAGACTATCCATATCCTCTCTCGGATTCCACCAGGCCGATTCAGCCAATTCCTGGTACCGCTTTTTCTCACCTTCACTAACATCCGGTACCTGTGCCTCGGCCCACGCCGGACTGCCATCCTCTGTAGTGTAGTGCCCGGACGGAAGTATCCAACGCGCGTACCCAACGACAGCACCCGTAACGGGGTCTACAGCCTTCTGATGTCGTACTTTTTCGCGGTCGCGCAGAAGATTACGCGGCTGTCGCTTTGCCGATTGTTCGATGATAAACTCCCGTTTCATATCTTTCGGCCACAGAATAACCCAGTTCGGATCCTCCCAGAAGGCGGCCATGTTGTTCCGCGCTAGAGCGGCGGCATCATTAACGGAGCAGGATTCTATTCTCCAAGTTGTCATTGTTCTCTATCTAAGAATCAAGCGGTGTTTCGTTTGGACGTCCAAAGTGAGGAATTTCTCAGGGAAATTACGGTCTTGGCGACGACTTTAGTGCGGATGTTTCGCGTGGCTTATGTTAAAAAGGGTTGTGCTTATTACAGCCCCTAGTCCTTATAAGGCGCAGATCAGTACTGGCCAGGTGTACTTTAGCACCCCTGCGAGGCGGATAGATGAATATCTCCCGGATGGTTAATTGCGAAGTGCAACGCACTGATATTGGTTCGTCTTTGCTGAGCCCTCGTGGCTGCCTAATGAATGATTGCCGATCGTCGGTTTATCTATAGTGATCATCGGTAGCATGTGCTTCGGTTTGCCCTAAGAGTCACCTTTTGAGCTAGGCATCGGTAGATAGATTAGCCGATATATTTTATCAGTTGGACCTTTTATGCGTATACACTTAACGCAGTTAGTCTCTATAGTTTCAGTATGTTAAACGGAGGAATGTGTATATGCTTGTGCTTATTGGCCCTGGATTATCAAACTTGATTATAAGTGAACACACCCATAAGCTAAACTCCAGTTAATGACACACAACCTGACTACTAAACACATCTACCGATTAACACATCTGCAGATGTTGATTAAAAGAATATCATTTTCGCTACTATACTATCTCTTGATACATATTCTAAACCACTATATAGATCGTGACTAATGCCTGAAGCTAGTACGAGGGATCAATGCTAGATTGTAAAGACCTAAAAGCTAAAGGAGTGACTACAACAAACAGCAGGCGCTTACTGTAATAACCAAAAAGAAAAAGCACACAAGTAGACGACAGAAAACGTGTACAACGGTCGCGTACATGTAAAAAATAAGGGCTCAGCGAGCAGCACCCAGGGATCATTAGGGCCCCTCAGTGTTCACACAATACATTCCTCGACCACCATAGTTTAACAGTTGTAAACCAACATGAAGCCGATATCCGCACCATTACCAACCGAGTTCTGAAAGTTGACGCTTCCAGCTGAGGTCTGCCATTCACTCAACTGCACCAGCCAGCTCATGGCGGTAGAGCAAGTGTTAGAGGCCAATACAGTGTGGGTCGACTTTGTGGTGGGTCCCTTGGGGAAGATGTACGTCGCGACCATTTCTCGCTTGTGTGGCGGATTGTTGTAAGTGGGAGCAGAACTGCCATCGCCGGGGTCCGCAGACCAGATGTCTGCTTGGGTGTCACTCGGGGCGATTTGACCTTCGCTGAGTGGAGGAAGTTCGATTTCCAGTCGGCAGCCGGTGGCACCGGCGGGGATGTTGCGGAAGGCCAGCACGGAGATCTTGTTGTCGATCAGAGGATAGCCGCTGCGCTGGAGGGTGAATTGCTGGCCCGAGTAGGGGGTGTCGGGGTTTGCGGCGTCGAGGGTGTTGATAGTGGAGGGAGCTAGAGTGGTGCAGGCCCGAGGTACAAGCTCGGTTGGGGTTGGGACAGCGGTTGCTGTGGAGAATAGAAGAGCGATGAAGGCAATGGACTTGATCATTTTGAAGTACGCAAAGAATGAACGAAGCTTTTGGAGTTTGAGCTTTGAAGCAATCTTGTCAAATTACGTTGGGTTGCTTTGGTCAGGTTGAAGAAGCAGGATGGCCCCCGCTTATTTATGTTCATTCCTCTCCATACGGATCTGTCTATAAACAGCTACGTCAAGCCTGTCTGTAAATTCCCTCATGTGGCTTCTCATATTATACGGAATGCTATCCAATCAATATCCTCTTTAACCATGGTGGCTGAGACATCGATGCCCATCAGTAGTAAACCAACATAGAACCAGTAACATTGGCCAAAAATAAGTGCTGGCGTATACGAGTCACTCGAAGTTACGAGGCGGACTAACCGAAGAAAGAACCATGAGCTCATACACGTCGACTAGAGAGGATAGCTCGCATAAAGCTGCATGAAACGCCCGATCTAGCCACTGCTATGTCGTAGTTGAGAATGTCAACATACAAGACAGAAGTATCCACGGCATGGTGTAGATGTGTCACGTTACACAGATGCACATTTAATCCAATGCACATTTAATCCAATACTTTGGGAGGACTCTTGGCATTCCTGCGGCTCAGCAATCTATCGGCTCCCTTGCATCGTGACGTCGTATAGGGTTCGGGGGCACGTATATTAGCCGCAGGTGGTGGTACTAGCTATAATAAGCTATTGTAGAATTAGCTTACATTCGTATAACGTGACCACTTCAGCTATCATATCGCTGATCCACGTAGAGAGGACGTAGCGGGGAAGACGCTTGCCTTGATGTCAGTTTTGATGGTCAGCTAGGCTAGTTTTGACCTTATGGTCCAAAAGCTTATATGGCAACTTCAGACTATGATTGATTAACGTAAGTGGACTCTAGCTGTACCAGTGCCTGTGGTGTCAAGGAATGTATTATCGATCGTCGCGGAATACTCTGCTACTTACGCGGCATTTGCGGACGACACAAGACAGGGTAGTCGTGGTTTCCCACCACTTGCTATCGGCGTCCCATATCCAAAATGGAACAGCCCCGTTGGTGATTAAAGCAAACTGGATTTAATCATAGCCAGGCCAAGGAAGCCTAATCTCACTGCTGAGCATAGTACACGATGCCTGTTGCCTATGGGGGCTGAAAATGAAACATCCGCAATCAACGTCCACGAAAGTGTCGTATTAATTTTACTTTCACCCAGAGTCAGAAATCTATAGAGCATCGGGAATACCATATTTTCTAGCTGTGGCTAAGAGACATCTCATTCGGTGAACTAATTCGCCCCAGTAAATCCCCTATCCTAGTCCCAACAAGCCCGATGGACCCTAAGCCACCACAGAGCGGTCTAGAATGAGCATGTCCTAGTTCAAGTACGATAGGGCTTCTTGAAAATCCATTCATGAACCGGTAGACACTCTATTCCCTTTCTAATAAAGTTTCGTTCACTAATGAAATCACGCCCAGAAGGCTGACCAGTTTCCTCATAGGATTCACTCCTGACGAATAGAGTTCCACACAGCCGAATCATTAGCAGCATGCTACCTACCAAGGTGCATGGGCTGACATATGCAGTTTTCATGCTCGGTAACATACAGGGTAGGTTGTGCAGATGTTAGTGGCGTAGCCAACGCCCAAGCCAGGGCCGTTCCGCGTTTTAATAACATATTTGCGGCTATGGTGATATATTCAAATTAGCTCATATTGCATACGTTTATTCCAAATTCCGGTACATAAGAAACATACTAGGACATCAATACGCACTAGGTCTATTCTCAGAGATATACTCGCAAGGATGTGATGCCACAACGTTCATCAATAGACCTAGATATAACTAGAAAGCTAGTATAGTAAACAATTGACTCACCAACAGATGCTTACGTGTGCTAACCTGATTACTTCATACTCAGTGGAACAGATGCCATTCAACGTAGCTGCCTTCGCGCAACCCAGGTGAAATTGAAACACAACGGTCCTCATTTTCAAGGGTAGCCCACCACTCCTCTCACAAAGCCCTCTATGACTTGCTGTATTACAGGCGTCATCTGCGGAAGGCCCTCAACGATCTCACAGACGCCTCATGCGTAACAGCAAGTACTTATGAGCGTGACAAAGAACCCGCTCCTGTTGGCATGTCCCTGCTCCATTATCATACTACGTAATACGTCTCTTAGCCCACCATGAATGGTCAGTATTACTGCAGGAGGAAAAGGACCAGACTAAATATGAATTGTATGCCACCGTAAGGTGCGACTACGACAGCAGTGGTAACACTGTATGGAGATAGGACCAACATGTAAACGCTTTAAGCTATGATCGAAGATATGGTACTACGCGTGAACTCCTGGGTGGCAGAATAACATGCTCGGGTGCCCTTGGTGGTTTGTGGAGCATAGCCCGATCGCTTTTGGCAGAGTATCGTTCTCCTTGCTTACGACTTTGACTAATGAATCCGATCTTTTGTCGTTATTTACCTGGTTATGACCAGGCTAGATATCTTAGAATGGATGCATTTCTAAAAGCAAGTGCTAGGGTTCACTTAGGGTTCAATACTGGCCAGGTGAGCACAGTGATGGATCGACCAAAAGTTGAAGCCCCAGTCAGCTGATGCTGATTTAGTGATAATCCCAAACTACACTTTGACCATTCCATATAACCCTCCTGGATTCGAAAGCATGACCATGCTGTAATGCCTCACCTGTGTGTGCAACATCTGTTATGGTGGCACTGGACTTTACTAATTATATCGATATCACGACACCATACATTGTCGCCATAAGTGCTACTACATTTTAACTGGACGCGAAAAATAATACCATTCATGTTACATAGCAGCTATCCCTCAAAAATTCCAACGGTACACATTGTGCAACTTCAAAGAGAACATGGGCATCATCAAAGCCCATCTAGTGGTCGAAAGACCTTCATCCAACGCTAAAGCTAACATTAGCAATGTCCCGTAAGCTTGGTCAAAAAAGAGCCTACCTTATCATACGGCTTCGTAGAGTCCACAAATCTCAAATCAGTTGCTAATCGAATCCGTCTTTCGGGATCTTTGTTCTTGCAACTAGCGTGGACCATCCAGGGATTATGGAAGATAACATCCCCAACCTCATACTCCCCAATCAGCCACTTTCGATTAACCTTCTGTCCGTACTCAACCGTATCTCGACTCAAGAAACCACCGTCATTCATATTCTTATTGAAAGCAGACACACGTTCTTCATCAGTTAGGTTACCAGCGTTTCGTCTAAAGTCTTCTTCCGTCTTCTGTCCAATATCAGTCGAACCTTGGAGATACATCAACCCACCACCTTCAAGAGAGATATCCCCAATAGGCACCCACGCTGTAAGACTAGTCGGTGGCCCGGCACGGAGATACATCTGATCGAAGTGGACGGGTGTGAGTTCACTATCTGGAACAAATGCTCTCAATAGTGTCCGTTGTAACATGGTAATGTGCTCCCATCCTGCGAACCGCCGGATAAATGCTCTGAGCTCTTCTATCTTACAGAAATCGAGGTAGAATTGAGCTTCATGTGCGCTGATCATGAGCTCTAGGTATCTTTCCGATTCTTCGTCATCCTTGAGTCCGAAAAGCCGGCGGAGGTTCCCTGGTGGGAGGTACTTGCGGCTGTCCTTTTCGCTGAAGATTCCTTCGACGGTGTCCGTGCCGGGCTTGAGGAGGCCGGATGGGGACATATACTCAAAGTATTCGCGGCGGCATTTGAGGACGGACTTTTTGGGGAGAAGAGCTTTTACCTATGTTGAGTCGATAGTGTGTTAGAATGGTTAAAGTTGGACTATGGCTAGAATAGACTTACCAGAAGATAGCCATCACGGTTAAATCGCTCCCGCATGACTTCCAGCGGGGTATCCTTCGAAGTTGGCTGCAAATAGCCAATTCTTTCTGGGTCCATAGGACCAAAATTGGACTCTAAGCTGAGGTTCTTCGGGTCTGTGGGATAGTATTTGCCGTATATATCGTCTTTGGGGAGAGCTTGCTGCTGCTCTGTGGTGGATGCAGAGGTTAAGACCTCAGATTCAACAATCGTAGCCATTTGGAGGTGTCTCTGTAGTGATCTATTGAAGCAATGGGAATTGATAGCTAGCCTAAATCTACAAAACAACTGACCTAGGTGTAGAGAATATGTCGTTCTTATAACTTGAGCATGTCAAAGAAGACCCCACGCTCAACCAATCAGATGCCGTTCCCGTCTATAGCCGAACTACAGCCGTGCGCCAGTTTCTATAGCCGATGGACCAGAATCATTTCTTCCCCGCACTCATTTTCCACATCACTATGAACTACTGAGGTCGAATCATCAAGCTTAATTATGACGAAAAGTAAAGGGGAACGTCTCTACCGAGCTTGCATCCGCTGCAGGCAGCGGAAAACGAAATGTGATCTGTAAGTGTCCCATAAGGCATGCCACCTTAAGATTGCCGCCTAACGGAGTTAGACAATACACCAACGAATATAATTATTATCCCTGTTCAAAGTGCTTTTCCGAGGGACATAGATGTGTTATTGCAACTTCGCGACGAGGTGGTGATTACTCTCGGTTTCGTGTCCGCAAATCCCAGAAACAGAGAGTGGAGGAGCTTCGAGAATGCGATCGCTCGGAGCACACCATTGAACCCAGAGGTGTAGATTCGGCCAATACAGAGACTGCGGTAGCAGACCACAATCTTGGGGGTATTCAAAATCCGCTCGAGGCTCTTCAGATTCTCGCACAGACGGCTTCAACAGAAAGAAATGCGGAAAAGAGAAAAAAGTCAATGTCTCAAGTCCACACTAATCAGATGTCTGCGAGAGAAGAGAGTAATGCCCATGGTGGCCCTTTAACTCATTCACCAAAGGACTCTCCGAGTCTCCTCACCAGTGAACTTATTCAGAGTGGCATCGTGGATATTCTATTGCTGGAGCCTTTGCTTCAATAGTACGTAGTACATCCAACAGCGCCCACTCCAGACTAACGTTTTGACCAGCTATATCCAAAACTTCCATCCATATCTTCCAATTGTGCCCGGCCATCTTTTGCCTCTAGATAATATCACTCAATCGTGGGCAAAGGAGACATTTCTTTTAACGGCTGTATTGACCATCGCAACAACGGACCGAGTGGGACTAGAAGGGTTGCATGCAAGAATATCGCAGTACATGGAAAAGCTAATCCTGCGAGTGGTGTTAGGTACTGTCAGTGTTCGGCATGTTGGCTCCGTGGAAGGACTGCTGCTCTTGGCCGAGTGGGTTCCACATATCAGTGCCGAGGAATGCGCAAGGGATGCTGCAGCCAACAACGGTTCATCGCACCAAGTTCGAGTGACTGCAGAAGATAGTGTTTCATGGAATCTCATTGGGCTGGCGGTCCGCCAAGCTTATTTGCTACATCTGGAAAGGTACTCCTTCCGAGGTGAATCCAAGGATGAGGATAAGTTGGACTATCATCGCAATAGACTGGCATGGATTTGTAAGAAGGATCTCCATATTCCATTATTCCAAGCTAACATATCTAGTTACGTACCTTGCCGATCGTCAGATTTCTATACAGATGGGACAAGCATTCTGGTGTCGCGGACCTGGATTATCTACTCGGTTCACGATCGAAGACTACCCCTATCTACGACCCCAAAAGGCAAATGGGGTGGATTATGCAAGTTTTGTCCAGGCTCAAGTTGAGTTAACTACTATTTTTGGGAATATCCATGATATCCTGTACGCATCTAAAACTCGCACTGTACAGCTTATGCTCATGGGCGACTACACCAAATATCTCGATGATAGCTCCAAGGCACTAGCCATGTGGAAAGAGGCCTGGGTCAATGTCGATCTACCTCCTCACCTAACGGGTCTCCTGTGTCTCCAGTTCGAGTATCTTCGTCTTTACATCAACGCGTTTGCTTTCCAGGCGGTTCTTTACCGAACACCCAAAGGTTCTGCTGGATCTGATAGTGGAAAGACCTCGTACTTCCCCTATAGCGTCATGGCGAGCGCTGATGGTAGACATATCTATATTGCTATTGATGCAGCCAAAAGCGTGCTCAAGTATCTTATGGACCGGTTGAACCCCACAAAGCACCTTAGATATATTCCTATCCGGTTCTATCTGTACGTCTAATGCATCTACTGCTACCGTGAGATAATGCTAATCAGTCTATAGATACGAAATACATGCTTCAGTCTTCCTCTTTAAGGCGCTGACTGTTGGGGCTTTAAGTTTGGAGGAACAACAGACCTGTACGACACTAGTTCGCCAATTCATCGCCATGCTCAAAAGTGCCGCTACAAGCACATCACACATCGCCTCCAGATACAGCAAGTTGCTCACAGGTCTGTGGTTCCAGGGACAAACCACACCTGAGATAGGAGACGAGTTTGTTCAGTCGAGGTACTCGGCGCAACACCCGCTGCCGAGCCCCATAGACCTCGACGAATTTACAAATACGTCCGCGACGGATAGTACAGGCCCTTTCCAGGTTGAGTTCTCCACCCAACAGGTATTATCGTTCCTGGAGCCAACTGAAGGTTTGGAATGCCCTGACACTTTCTTATCCAACTTACCGTTTCTTCGCGGCGGATTCCCTGACTTAGATAACCATGGCGTGGGGCAGCTTTTGATGGATTTGTAATTGATAGTACTTTATTTGATAATCATGGGAACACGGAATAGTTACTAATGGTAATAGTAGCAATGATGGAATTGATATCTATAGCCGACGCTAATTCCCCGCAAAATCGTGCGTGGCCGTGCCTACCCCGGATTCTATTTCAGGAATAGTGTGACCCCGCATCATCAGTACTTGCTTTCTCTACTCATCGTTGGGAATGCGGAGAGTTCATTCTGTCCAAGCTATCCCAATGTTCATTTGGCTGGCTAGTCAGAGAAACGAGGCAAACTTTCACAATGGCCGTCTACAGCCGTACTCTTGGCGTAGATATACATACCGCGTCTCCATTGATACTTAAAGGGGCCTCCAGTTATCAAAGATTCTATAGCATTAGAACTCTATAAGATAGAGGCCTATCTTTCAAATGACACTCCTTCAGAGAATTATTCGCAATGATACCGTCAAGTCGGATCCCCCGGAGATATACAATTTCCGGGTAGTCCTAATCAGCCTTTCGGTGTGCCCAACATCCCCTTTGTGTAGTATATGCCCATAGAAACTGATGGCATCTAGGCATGTGGAGCGTCTATGCTTTTTGGGTTTGATATGGGTGTCATTGGAGGTGTTCTTACCATGAACTCCTTCAAAGAGTGAGTCCTTCTGCCCGATGTAACCACCTGCACAAGGCTAACCGAATGAAAGACAGTATGAGCTAGTAGGAAAAGAAGACACTGTTCTAGCAAACCTCGAGTCGAACATCGTTTCGGTCATTCAGGCAGGGTCTTTTCTGGGTGCACTCGTGTCCACATACGTTGCAAATGCCATTGGACGACGCTTATCACTAATACTCTCGGCATTGATACTGTTCGTCGGTGTTGCTTTGCAAGCTGGCGCTAGTGGCATCATTGGCGTCTTGTATGCAGGACGGTAAGTGAATTCGTTTATTGAAAGTTTCTCATTAACTAAGATGGACATGGTCTATAGCTTCATCGGGGGTGTCTCCATCGGCATAGCATCTTCTGTGTGTCCAATATATATTGCGGAAAACGCACCACGAGGCATCCGTGGGTTACTCACGGGGTTCTATCAATTAACTCTAGTTTTCGGTCTCACGGTAGGTTTAGATTTTATGATATAGATCTCGATGTTTTCGATCAGTTGGATATATCTAACAAGGGTATACTACAGCTAGCGTTCTGGATCAACTACGGCTGTGAACGTCACTTAACGGGAAAGGAGCAATTCATCATTCCTCTTTCACTTCAAGCATTTCCCGCCGTGATCCTTCTGGTCGGTATGCTTCTTGCAAACGAGTCACCTCGGTACCTCGCGATGAAGCGACCGGAGAGAGCACCACGCGTCCTCGCCACACTCCGGGGGTTACCCGAAGACCATCCATATGTGATAGAGGAGTTGAACAACCTGCGGCTTCAACTGGAAGAGGAGTCCCAGCACTCGGAATCATCGACCTGGTCTCTGTTAAAAGAATCGTTTTCGAAGAAGTCCTACCGCCGGCGATCAATCCTATGCATTACCCTCATGATGTGGAGCAACATGACGGGGACCAATGCCATGACATACTATTCGCCCACCATCTTCGCCAGTGTCGGCCTATCATCCTCGTCGGTGGGTCTGTTTGCGACGGGGATATACGGCATCGTCAAGTTTATAGCCTGTGGCATCTTTATCGTTTTCGTATCGGATACACTCGGACGCAGAAGATCGTTGTTATGGACAGGGATTGTTCAGGTATGCAATGTCGTGTCATGTTGTCGAACAATCTATTTATAGCCGGGCATAGGGCATCATGCTATTTTATGTCGGGTTTTACGTCCGATTTGATACGATATCGGAAAACGCCCCCATCACACCTCAAGGATACATCGCCCTAATCGCCATATATCTCTTTGCCGCCGTATATCAATTTGGATGGGGGCCAGTGGTATGGTCTTATTGCGCAGTAAGTCTTACGCGTCTCCCTGTAGTATATGCTTCTGCTAAAAGACGGGGCTAGGAAATTCCCCCGGCACGCCTTCGGGCCCTCAACATGGGCATGGCTACAGCCTCGCAGTGGTTCTTTAATTTTGTTGTTGCCAAATCCACGCCGACGATGTTTGCGACATTGGGGAAAAATGGGTACGGGACTTATTTTGTGTATGGGAGCTTTTGTTTCGTGATGGTTATATATACATGGTTCTTTGTGCCGGAAACTAAAGGTATGGTTATGGTTGCGTTGACTTACTTTTAAAACTCAGAAAAAAACGGGACTAATCATGGACGATCTTATAATTAGGGCTATCGTTGGAATTTATGGACGAGCTTTTTGAGCGGGATACCGTGCGTGGCAAGTTTATGCCGACGCGCGATGTTCATTACTTGGCCGGTAAGGCGCCAGAGTAAGATGTTTGTGTACTTTTAGGGCACGTGTATCCTTGCTTGAATTTGGTAGACAAGAATACGGAGGTAGTCTAAATATCAATTCAGTTGAACGAGCTCGGCGCAAAGTAGTAGGTATTCTTCAGTAGTCGCACCATAGGGCCACAAAAATCAAATTTGATTTCCAGGTGATTTTTTCCACTCAACTATGGAATATTCTCGAGGCATGATAGAACGTAACAATATCTATGGGAAATGATACAAAGACGATCCTCTGAGGATAAAAACCCCGGGCGGACCTTTGATGAATATACCGAAGAGAACCAGTTATATCAAGGGGTCTAGCTCCCGGTTCATGAGTGACTGGCCATCTACATTTACTTGCTGATGAAACACTGTATGAAGCCCCGGCGGTTCTCGGCGCCATCCGCGTTAAAGGTACACAGTAATCATGCAACGTGGTAGGCTAGAAAGCTACCTAGCAGGTTCAAATAAGTAAGTGAACTTAGGTGTACCGGATCAGGTACTTTACGGAGTGCACTACGTAGCAGTCTTAGTAGCTCATTACAGGCTCAGTGGCTCAATCTTGCACTCATGGACTTCATCCACAGGCCACACCTCACGGCAGTGCAAGCGCATATTCTTCTTCGAGTCCAAGAATAGGACATTGTGAAAGTGGTGCTTAGTATATATCGCTATCGAGTCTTCCGGGTTAGGGCAGTACACCCCGCACCATCGACTGGGGTTAGCTCACGTGCACTCATCGCGGCGGCTATTGAGTCACAACAATGGCCACAGTTATTTATTCAGCTCATTTCGCACTGTCCTATCTATCCTATCAAGATAATCCAACTGTGACAGTGATGGCAACCCTTACCGTCGCCTCGAGGGCAAATCCTGCTCTCACTCTCCCTGCTGTTTTGGCTGCAGCATACGCGAGGGGCCACGGGATTCCACTGGACGTGACTTACGAGAATGTAGACTTATTAACTAGTGGCCCCGTGGAGCTCGTTACTCTTAATGGACGCCCCCTCGCTGGAGATGATATTCTCGACTACTTCCATGATATTCTGCCTGGTTGTCAAACGAACCAGCGCGAGGTAGGCCCCTGTTTACGGAAGTAATTGTGCAGAAATTGTCATAGCATTCATCTGATCGCTTGACACAGATCAGTAAGTGGATTAAATGAAGTTCTCAACTGACTATCGTTGACATCTTGTCTTTACGAACCGCTATCACTGGACTCGAATCACACATGACCCTTCGCTCGTATATAGTCGGGTACTCTATCACCCTGGCAGACGTCGCTATTTGGGGTGCACTCCGTGGAAACAGGGTAATTGTGGGACTTCGGCGAAAGAGTCCCAACGTAAATCGGTGGTTTAACTTTGTCGAGAGTCGCAGCCCATGGGTAATTAAGGCGGTAGACGAGTTCAACAGCCAGACGCAAGTGAAGAAGGCATCAGGCGCGAACTACAATATCGGGTTAAAGAATGTCGAAAATGGCATTGTGTGTCGGTTTCCTCCAGAGCCTTCTGGATACCTACACATTGGACACGCCAAAGCAGCGCTCTTGAATGATTACTTTGCTCATCAGCACGGAAATGCCAGAGGTCTCCTAATCTGCCGCTTCGATGACACGAACCCCTCCAAGGAAAGCCAGGAATTCATGGACGCAATCATCCATGACCTCTCTCTTCTTGGTATCTCGCCAGATCGCGTTACGTACTCCAGCGACTATTTTCGACAGATGTACGAGGCGTGTAGGGAGATGATCCAGTCGAGGAAGGCCTACGCAGACAACACCACCAAAGAAGTCATGCAGGACCAAAGAATGAAAGGCATTCCCAGCACGTGTCGCAACATGAGTATAGAAGAAAGCCTTTTCCGCTTCGAGGAAATGAAATCTGGTTCTCCACAAGGCCTCAAATGGTGTATCCGGGCGAAGATATCTACCGACAATCCAAACAAAGCTCTCCGAGACCCGGTTATCTACCGTTGTAACCACGTATCCCATCATCGGACTGGGACATCATGGAAGATATACCCCACCTATGACTATACCCCACCTATGACTTCTGTGCTCCATTTCTAGACTCAATCGAGCAAGTAACACACGCCCTACGAACAAATGAATATCGCGACCGAAATGCACAGTATCGTTGGATGCAGGAGGCACTCGGTCTCCGGAAAGTCGATATCTGGGACTTTTCCAGGCTGAGTTTCGTCCGGACAGTCCTATCCAAGCGGAAACTTACTGCAATTGTTGACAGCGGTGTTGTCTGGGGCTGGGATGATCCGCGAATGCCAACTGTTCGTGGCATTCGCAGGAGGGGCTGTACCATTGCGGCTCTTCGGGAGTTCATATTGGAGCAGGGCCCGAGTCAGAATATTGTCAATATGGATTGGACGAGATTCTGGGCTATGAACAAGAAGCATATTGATCCTGTTGCCGCGCGCTACACTGCGATACCTAAGGTGGAGGCTGTAACTGCTCTCGTTGACGGGATTGAGATGTCGATGTCTGCTGAAAAGCTAAGACATAAGAACCGTTCTTTAGGGACAAAAACTGTCGTTTTTAACAAAGAGATCCTGATCGGCCAAGCCGATGCCCGTCTATTCGAGGAGAACGAGAGGATCACCTTGATGAACTGGGGCAACGCTGTTATCGACAAGATCGGTACAAGCTCACAGACCGGGAAAATATCTTCTTTACGACTGAGACTAGACCTGACATCGGATGTCAAAACGACCGACAAGAAAATTACATGGTTAGCCAAAGAAGCAGGAAACTTGATCCCGGCTAAGTTGTACACCTTCAACCATTTGCTTATGAAAGATAAGCTTGAGAAAGATGACGACCTGACGTCTTGCCTAACAATTCCAAGCGAACGCTGCACAGAGGCTTGGGCGGATTGTAATGTCTCACGGCTTGCTGAGGATGACATTATTCAGTTCGATCGGATAGGGTATTTTAGGGTAGATAGGGCGTATCGTGGTGGTGATGCGGTGGTTTTATTTAATATTCCTACGGGGAAGGGAACTTAGGTCAGTAACTGTTCATTTTCTGTGGAAATGGGGCTCAAAGAGAATTTAAACCTCTCCTTTGCAGATTGTGGCCTGATAACATATTTCGTCGGTCATGATGAGCTTCCAGTTGGTACTTATGTGCCCAGATTCATACAGCCATGATGGTATCTATCTTCCTCTCTCTACATCGCTTATTGCGGCGGACTAAGGTAGCTCCAGCTTAGCTAGAAAGTGGAGAAGCTCACAGTGGCTCAATTGTGGAACTTCCCTATCATGGCAAGATAGGACAATGACACAACTCGCCAAAGTGCATGAAGACCACCGCCGACAGATCTACGCCTCCGTAGTTAGATCATTTAACCTCAGAGTAAACTAGAGGACATATCTAGCATCGTTCCGTGACCTGTGTATCTTGATTTTAGAGATACCCATATCAATATGGCCTTCTCATATTGGATCATCTATCTTTGGGAAAAGGGACACAGACGGTGATTATGTGACAGCAAGTGAAGAACCCACCCGGGCGTATTCAACCCTAATCCGACCACTTCACACAAATTACTACAAGAGGGTCCTTGGTGTACTTCGGAAGGTTCCCAGGAAAGGAGAAATACTGCATCACCATAGTCTGATAGTAATCGATTATCTTCCTCCCCTCGTATGCAATGCAAATTCAGAATATCTAATCTAACTGATCCTCTTCTGTCAAATCCCGTAAACTCTCCAATATCATCGCAGGCCGCACAATTGTACCAGAATTACCACATACTATCATACGCATGATAGGATGTCATTACAATGTACTCCCCACACCTGGTCCGACGCTACAGACAAAGCTTTATTTCCTCGGAGATGAGGCGACTACATGCATGGCAAATCACAGACGCTAATGCACGGCGCTAGTATGAGGCCTTTAGTAGGGATCAGGGATCTGGTTAAATAGTGGAGAACCTACCCGAGCTTGGGGGGCTTGGCCTAGGCTTATACTAGTCCCGTGGATAAAGGCGTGATTAGCGTATATTTGCTTTCGTGGTAAGAACCCATCCTTAATCAGTTTGCATTTAGCTTCTGATCAATCCAGAGGGTATGTGATTATTTGACTCTTGTGGGTGCGGCTGGAATCGCTGGCTTGAGCTGGTGTATTAATTCGTATATAAAGGGAAGTTCGCATTCGTATACAAATGTTGAGAATTATTATATAGTCTATTGTAATCTATTCTAGCAAATGCTGAGGTAAAGTGCAAGGTATGTCTATCACTCTATCATAGGAAATATTCACGCTGTGCCAGGCAAGAATGTAAGGATCCGTACAAAGACAGGGAAAATATCCAAGTCCTGAAAGAAAAGGAAAAAGAAAACAAAGGAGGGCAAGCGGAGGGTAAAGTAATTCTATATGCAATCCTTAAAAATTGAATAGAAACAAGGGAAGGGAAATGGAAGCAGTACTACACTGCGTTTGGAAAGTAGGGCCTGTACTTCACGGAGAAAAGCCACTTTCTCCAGTGTGTATATACAAGCATTCTCGTGCACGGGAACTGGTAATGAAGAAGGTAATGATGCGTATAAGAAGCATTGATAAACTTGACGAAGTAGCGGAACATCTATTCAGCCTTCTTCGAAGCCTTGGTCCTCAGCTTCATCAAGGCGAAAACCAAAGCGTATCCACTGATCGCGAAGATAACGCAAATACCGGCGTCTCTCCAGCCGTAGTAATAGTGGTTGATATTGAGGGTAGTCAGGAAGTCACTACCACTGCGGTACTCGCAGACCCTGCACCCTGAGGTCGCATCGGGGTTGGTCAAGTTGATTCTCCACCCGCTGCCGGCCATATAGTCGGCAAGATAATCGCCGCAGGTGCCATTAACTGGGTCAAAGACCGCAAATTCGTCCTCGTTGCAAGTCACCTTGGCACCCCAGATGCCGAATACCAACATGCCGGAGGTCACGTAGTTGAACGGGTTCAGGTAGTACATCCAGTATCTCCAGAATACGGTTAATTGGGTGTAGGGCACGAAGATGCCACACATCAACGTGAGTGTACTGATGATGAGAGGGTTGACAAGCGCGGCAAAGGTCGGATTTGGCGCGTAGGCTGCAACGAACTGGCCGATACCGGTATAGATGAATTCATAGATGAGCATGATAAAGAACGTGGCTCCGGATCGGTTAGAGTCCCAAGGCAGTCTCACACAGTAATACCAGCAGGCAAAATAGAGAACGGCACAGACGCAAAGATAAGGAAATTCGGACACAATCAATCCGGTAACGAAGGCAACCCATGAGTACATCTTAGACTTCTTTTCACGAGCATCGTAGATATCACGGCGTTGTATGAACAACGGCTGAAGTTGGTTAATAACACCAGGTGCAACGAATACAAAGTTAAAGATTGTGAACATCTTCAATTGTAGAGCTGACACACTGGGGCCAGTGTGCCAGAAGGAAAATCCGTTGAGCAGCGCCGAAATAATGTGTAATGAGAACTTGTTATTAACGTAGTTGGTGTTCCGGAACATGGCAACATTCATGCGATGCGTAACAATCTTGACTTGGTCCCACAAGGGCATCGAGAACTCATAGCCATCGTCATGAGTTCCAGGGGGTTTCGCAGCGGCGTCAGCAATTAAATGATCAAGCTCGACCATCATACGTTCGTGTTCAGGGGACTCAAGCCAGATCTGGTGCCAGTCTTTATCTTTCACCTCTTCGATACCTCCAGTCACCACATCAATCATAAACTCAGCAGGGTTCGCCTCAATTGGACAACAAGCACCGTACTTGCCAAAGTATTGTTTGATTGCTGCACCGTTGTCACCAATATCGCCGAAGTACACGGTCTTTCCGCCCCTGGCAAGGAGGAGTAGAGTATCGAATTGAGCGAAAAGCTGGGCTGAAGGCTGATGAATTGTCACGAGCACAGCTTGACCGACGTCTGCAAGTTTCCGAAGGAACCTGACTGTGTTGTAGGCCGATTGTCCATCCAAACCAGATGTAGGTTCGTCCAAGAAGATTAGGATACTAGGCTTCGATACCAGCTCCACTCCGATAGTAACCCGCTTTCTCTGTTCAACACTAAGTCCATTGCCGACTGTTCCAATCAGAGTATCTGCCAGATCGTGAAGCTCAAGTAGGTCAATAATTGTCTCTACGTACTTGAGCTTTTCTTCCCTAGGGGTATCTCTAGATTGCCTTAGTAGTGCAGAAAATTCCAATGCCTCTCGGACGGTTGCGAATGGCTCATGGACATCCAATTGCTCGCAGTAGCCTGCCATTCTTTGGAATGAAACAGGCAGCTCACGGCCATCAACCAGAACTGAACCCTTGATTGTGCCTTCGGTTTTGCGCTGAGCAAGAACGTCAAGCAATGTCGTTTTGCCTGCACCGGAAGACCCCATCAAGGCACCTAACATACCAGGCTTAACCCATCCATGGATATTGTCCAGTAGAACCCTTTCGCCAGTGGGGGTATTAACCGTGTATGTAAGGTTTTTCCATGTGAATATAGACGTATTGTGTGTCAGATTCCCCTCATCAACAGAGGTCAGCGCATCACCAGAGCCCTTCTCGCGCGCGGGATCTTTCTCCCTCTGCGCCTCTGCATCCAGATGGGCACGGTGGGCCTTGAGCTTCTCCCGAGGTATAAGGAGAGACGCCCCAGCCCCGGCCCCACCCTTCCAGAAAGAAGTACAAATAATTGTCACCACGGCGAAGAATCCCCACCATCCCCAGAGGACGCCATAGTTGCGCCACATTTGCGAATGCTTATAATGGAGGGAAAGGAGGTACTGATCGCCAGTGACGTAATTGGCACCACGAAGAGCACCTCCCACACCTGTACAGGCCTTATTCGTAGAGCTGACATTTTCGTATCCCGGTCCACTGGGCACAAGGTTATTCCCGACACAGGGGATAGTTTGCCCGTGGAATTCGTTCGATAGCGCTGCTTGGAACGCGTAGGCAAATGGGTTCGTATAGTACAACTCAAGGAACCAGTTCTTGATGTGTCCTTTGGGGATCATGTAACCGGCATACATGACAATGCCCTTGACAGCGGTTCCCGAGATCTTCGACGCAGCCTCGAAAGTACTAAAGCCAGCGCCAATACATCGGAACAGGGCTGTAATGCACAAGGTGGTGGTAAATAGAATGGCCCAGAAGGTGAAGAAGGCGGCTGCAGTATGTTTCAAACCCGTCATCCAGTAAATCACAATGGCGAATAGCGTGCATTGAACCAGAAGAACGGGAAGATCAGCGGTAATCTGCGCAAGGCAGAAGGCGGACGGGTGATACATGGCGAAGGACTTGTGCTTAACCAGCACAGGACGGCCCTTAAATGATTCGGTGACTTCGGACATGGCAACGATACAGTTGTACAAGAGGGCAAAGAAGACGGCACCACCCTTTGTGAATAAACCAGCGGTTGTGTCAGGGGAGTTGTAGAAGCAGGATCCAGCGATGAGAGCCATAACGACCGATAGTACCTGTTTTATGAGGAAGGTAGACTTCTCACCCCACAGAATCTGATATTGGCGAATCGTACAAGCGATGAGCTGATCCCAAAAGCCAACGGTGAGCGTGCTACTATTGGGAAGGTGCTTTGCCTTTTCCCAGGCCACGGACTCCTTGAAGTCTTCCGTCCGCTGACGGGCAGCGTCAGAACGAGGATAGTCATACTCCCTCGTCATAGTCTGGTACAACGTGGATCGCTGGTATTCTGCCAGAATCGCCTCAGCATTCTTTGGGAATCGGTTCTCAAATCCGGGTCGGATCTTTCGCTCGGTCGGGACAGTCACACCGGTCAAATAGTCACCTGAAAGTTCGATCAGTATAGAGCCAAGACATACAGTTTCTGAGGAAAATGACCCGCATACCAACATTGGCGCCGTCGGAGTACACAAAGCCCAGATCCTCCATGAAGGGTTTGGCAGAGGCAGCTGGGCCATAGTAGATCTGTTTTCCCTCGTCCAGCACTAAAACCTTATCGAAAAGGTTGTAGATACCGTTTCCAGCCTGGTAGAGGGTCACGATAGTGGAAAGACCCATCACATTGGTCATTGCTCTCAGGGCTTTCGCCCACTCCAAGGCTGTGCTTGCATCAAGGCCTCTAGTGCTGTTGTCCCAGGTGAAAACAGAGCCATTCGTGGCCATGCATTCGATGATAGAAACTCTTTTTCTCTCACCACCTGAAACACCGCGGACGAATTCATTGCCGACCTTTGTGTCGGCAGTGTGTGCAATCTTCATGGATTCTAGTAGAAACTGTTTTGTCTCGGCAACATAATCGTTAACTGATTTGGCCTCAGCGGGAAGATGCGCCGGGACCTTGAGTTTAGTTGCAAAATCCATTGTTTGGCCAACGGTTAGACGAGGATAAAACAGCTCTTCCTCGGTATTCATGACAATCTGACCTCGATAATGAGCTGCTTCCTCCGAATTCATGCTTCCAAAAGACACATCACCGTTTACAGAGTGGTATCCCTCGCGTCGGTTGGCAAGCATCTTAAGCAGTGTAGTGCAGCCCGACCCCGGCCGACCCAAAACCAGCAACATTTCGCCGGGTTTAACACAACCATGGCTATCCTGCAAGATTGCCTTGAGAGGTGGCTTCCGGCGCCAGTCCTGAATGAGCTGAATGATATTATACTGAGTCAACTGGTTTTCCTTGACTGCTGCCTCGGCTGCCAGAACTTCAACAGTGAGGTTCTGCCATGTTACGCCCAGCTCACGCTTTTTGTAGCCTGCCGCTTCTGACCGTTCTTTGTTCCGAATGACCTGGTCTGTCATACTCCATTCCGCATCTCTACCGGGAGGAGGGGTGATATGTGGGCTACCGTGGACGGCAAGGGTTTCGGCACTGGTGGCTTCACGAACGTTGTTTTCTGGGACACCCAGGGTTGGCTTTTCGCTATATGCTTCGAACTCTTCGCCAGACTGGTCTCCATATTCGGTCGGTGCTGTTGAGGCTGGAGGGGCCTCATCGTGAAGATGGTATTCCATCTTGCACGTGCGGTTGTTGATGATAGCAACGGTGGTATGAGAAAGTTTGGCTCATGCACGCAGATGAGGACGGCGGGATATTGGCATTGAGTTGATGTTGGTATAGTCTATGCTCTGAACTCTTCTCAAAAGGGAGTAGCGAAAAGTGGGAGAGGCTATGTATATGTATAATTCCTAAAATATAGAACAGATCCGTCAAAAGTGGGAATGCTTGGGGGAGTGCGCCTTTGTCAACACGCTAGAACAGTCCCACCAAACATATTCTTGTGATTATCGTGTTCCCACATAGTCCCAACTGGGTAAAAGACATGCTCAGGCCGGCTACCCGGAGAGAGAGGCTGGTGAATGATAAAAAGCCAAGACGTAGCAGTCCCTAACAGTCCGCAGAATATAACGCATATCTGCCAAAGTGGATCTGAGGGTATCTCTTCCGCAAAAGGCTGCGGCCTGATTTGCGAGTTTGTGCTCCATATAGTTCGTAGTCCAGATATTCGACATTCTAGAATCTCGTTATTCGTGGCCAAGTACCCCACTGTGTTTGAGATAACTACTACAAATCTATATCTCGTCGAGTATGGATGCGGGAAACATCCCGATCGAGCCGATCTGCCACATTAGATTTCGTGAGCCACATAGCTGGGTCCTGGAGCCACATGGGACTTATACCATGCGGGGCTACCCATTTCTTGCTAATGTACGGAGTACGGAGTAATGTTTCTGTTTCATATTCTCGAACGAGATAAAGAACTCCACAATGTGGCGCCCTGCCGCGGTTGATCGGCCTAGTCTTGGCTGCCGATATTTTTCGGCCTCCCGACTCGGCAATGCCCGCGTGGAGCTCTTCGCCTATTAAACTGTATCGTCATCTACTTTTCAAACAAGAATTCTTTCACAAGGTAATTTGGTCAATAAACCCTCAAAATACACATGGCAAAATGTACAGCTAGTTAAGATAGCATACTCCACCTCGCGCACAGCACCCTCGCACTGGAAGAATACAACTATTCACTGCCAGTTGGCCATAAAAGCACAAGATATCAGTCGAGTTTTGAATCATGGTCTAATCTAGAACGATACATGAAGTATATTATTTGCAATGCGTTAGTAATGCTCTCTAGTTTGTCGCTGCTGCGTCACTATGTTCGAACAGAGATCTAAAATTGAAACACGGATAACTACAAGTGGAAAAAGGCGATAGCCCACATCAAGGCCTATTTTATTGTAAAACATATGTTCATTCATGACCGGGGTCAAACATAATAGCACAAAGCCTGAACAAATATAAACCTTGGTCTGCGATTAGTCAAAGTAAAGTGATTTGGTGGAAATATATCAAGTGCGCTCCGTAACCTAGCTAAATATACATAATCATAACCCATAGATATTGGGCACGCTTGGCGCAAACGCATCCTCAAATGACGTAGTCATGTAGTCGTAACCCAATAGGAAATCAGTACTACTGAAGTCAAAAGGATTATCTAGCCAATGCTGTGATGCCTGCGATGGCATAATATTTCCCCCGTCTGCCATAGATATATGGGGCGTAAATAACCCGGCTGGCGTTTGCGGCACTGATGATTCGGTTTTGAAGTTTGGGATTTGTTCTGGCAAACTTGCAGTTGGCAGTGCAAGTGAATCCTGTCCAACAAAATCTTCCGATATGATAGATGGAAAACGTATCGTTTGCGTGGTCTCAGACGTAGTAACGATTGATTCCGGACTTGCCCTGTACTCTGTATTCTGTGCATTATCCATCTCATTTTCTAACGGACGATGTTCTGGCTGTCCAAGCACTCCCAAATGGCAGAGTATGTCGTGGGTTAGCGGATGGCCATGATCTTCGCATCGTAAAGGTGCTCCAGGCCATCCTTCACCTTGTTCTATATGTCGATATAGTTTCTGTAGTGCATATACTAGCCATTTTTGCTGTTCTTCTAGCATCTCGGCATATCTGTATTGCGAAAGGCTCGTTAGCTACGGAGGTCACAGACAACACAAGACAACATCCTTCAATCTGATACACACTCACCCGCTAGGATACACTTTTTCACGGCCCGATTTCCTCTCTCCATAGTTACAGCCGGTCTTGTCCAGTGTACAACGGCCACAGGGGCTTTCCCCATCGCACTGTGAAGGTCAGCACGTTGCGAAACGGCGCACAATGGGCTTTCCATCATGCTTACCTTAGCTTTCTTTGACCTACATCGGTCGCATGCCTTACATACACGCTTGCGAGGATGATTATCGGAAGCGGGCTCTTGCGCAGACGACGTTGACGCTTGGCGTTTGTTCATTTTGATCCTGGGGCAATAGTGATTCGGCCTTACATCTTCAGAGTGATGCTTATCGGACAAGCTAGTTTGATAATTCGTGGATAGGGATGAATAGGCGGCCATTAGTCATATGTGCAATATTTATGCACGCCGTTGGGTAAGTCTGCTTCCGGGCCCGCAGAGAGCCACATTGTATGTGGGGATTTCCCAATATTAGAATATCTAATTGGCCGAATACCGCCACTTCGCAAGTGCAGAAAACCTTCATGGTGGAGCCATGAGGGCCTCGGTGTTCTGGCCGGATTACTTGATCATCCTATCAATCATCCGTACTCCGTAACCTGTACGTTGCGAGTGTCTCCCACCACGAGCTATGAGGCATTTCCGTGCAGAGAAAAGGGGATTGGTCTCCCAAGTTGGACGAAGTTTTTTCGGAAAGCTCTCCGAGTGTTGATCGTGGAGCCGATCTTACGTCTTGTCAGGGTCTTCATGGTCATTCTTCGTAGGTGCAATCACTCCTTTTCCCTTATTTTCTCCCCCTTTTCTTTTTGAAAGCCGCATTTTGCTTTGTAGAAGGCTAATTGTGGCATCCAATCCGCCCAGAGCCACACAGTGAATGAGTTGGAAATAGGTCGATCCTGAACCAAAGCCAATCTAAGTGGGAGTTATATGTTCATTGTGTACTGTATAGAATGTTTCCTGAATTTCTCTGAATAGAGCTAGAGTCCTTTTCATCTTTACCAGCTTATATGATTAATTACTTGCGTTTGTGCAAGGACTTTCTTTGCAGGGGGGTAAATTGGGCTGAAGAGACATTGGTATATATCTATCTTCATGATAGTCTCCAACTATGACAACGTTGATTTGGTACACCTCCAGGAAAGAGAGTACGTGGAACTACTATATCCATCGTGTAGATTTCGCTATGCTAACCTGAGCTTAATTGATATTCTAGGAATCTAGGGTGCTTTATGGAGTACCTTAAGGTCAATTGTCAATATGCCGACTCCGCGGGAACTCGGCACCGTTCCGTGGAAGATCCTCTAAATGTCATCGACAAGCGCTCAGAGGCGGTTAACTGCGGAAAAGGGTTCATTCTGTAATCAAACCGAACATTCCAATTCTCGAATAAAAACAAAACAGACAAACCTTTGCAAATAGAATCCGCCCGGTTGGTTGGTGACGTTGAGATCGGGCCGAGAACCGGCACAAGATCCCGAACATTGCAACATCGGCATTCCAGAAGATGATTGATTACCTTTATTGGTTCATAAACCTTGCCGAGGTCCGTGGCGCGCACACTAAGAAATCAATAATGGTATCTTAGGAAACTTGCATATGTTGCTTTTAATACCCAACTGCTCCGTACCTCTACCAACTATTACTCACACTTTAGTTGTAGCCTGCTAGGAAATATTTCAGCCCTAAGGGGCTATCGCAAGTCGATAGTGACAGCATGATGATTAACTACGTAGTAGCAGAGTAAAAATTGCTGACTAAAAATAATCTTTATCCGGAAAAGACTCCGAGTTACCCGCATCTCATTCTAACATTCAAGATATCTTCCTTGGTTTGCTTATTATAAGTTTTATTCTCTAAGCGGGTAGGCTACTGGCTTCATGGAAACAGGATTATGGCCCAGCGAGTATCCTGCCCACAATGCAATAAAACATTTTCCAAAAGAGAACATCTAAATCGACACCGACTGTCCCGTAAGCTTTTCTTTGTCCCAGGTGGATTGCCGGTATTGAAACCATGGAAGACAGGGGCTAAATACAAGACGAACTATTCCAACTCTAGATACGGGAGAACGGCCTTTTCAATGTCAGATCTGCTCCAAGCCATTTTCTAGGAGGTGAAGGTGCCCGAAGCTTTGGGGAGATGGTCGGATGGATGGCTAACGGTTGTAAATAGAGATGTCCTCCTTCGTCATCAACGAGGCCATTTTGAATTGGCGTCATCGCCATCGAATGCAAATGTGGCTCGCTTAAACAGAAAGAGAGCTTTGCGCGATGAATTGGCTGAGGTGTCTGGCTATGAGACGAGTGAAGAAGCCCCAAGTTATGCCGCGGCTGAGGTATGTTAATCATAGCTATTTGTTTATTACCCGAATAATGTGGCTATAACTAATATGGCACAACAGACGGGGGAAAACATTGCTGGTGCCGGATCGCGATCAAGTCCATTGGCCTTGTCGCCATCGGATCATGCATACGAGCCCAACAGAGGATTATCGCATGATTTACCTGTAAGACCGCAGACAGTTGGCTGGGATGGAGGTCCCACAAAGATGATTCCTTCTTTAACTGCACGTAGCCTGTCTCCATCGCACGTGCATACCGATGGGAGGGGTGGTTACGGCTCGTATCCAACAGCTGACCAGACGTTACTCCCGGTCACCGACCAAGTTCACTTGTCAACTGGAACGATATCAGAATTCAATCGCAGCCCACTGATATTTGGTGACATATACTCTGGGACTGCCTTTCTTGATATCTTGTTGGGTCTCCCAGGTGGCCAGGCGACAGAAACGACAAGTGCCAACACCGAAGAATTAGCTCTACCTTGGGCCGAGAACGGAACGTCGGATCGGTTGACTATTAGCCCCCAAGTTGAAGCCGGACCAAGGAGCTATCCTGCTCATATCCGTCAGAATGTGAAGAAGGTCCAAAACTTCTGGTCAATACCGCAACGCCTCACTGTCGAGACGCAGATCTGGTACGAAATTATATCGGGGTCATCAGCGAATATATTCTCAAGACATGACTATGGGACATGCACAGAATCTTCGCAACAGCCACAGCACGCAGGACATGCTGAGATCTGCTTAAACCATGAAATTAGGTCACAGCTTCAAAATTTGAAGCGAGGTCTGCTCAAGAGACAATGCCGCTGTTCTAGCAGTGATGGCCAAATCACTGACACATGTGATGAACATTACTTTTGTGAGAATTTTAATGGCATCTTTGAACAAGGCCTTTACCTTTATTTAGATAAATATCAACCTACCTATCCTATATTGCACGTACCTACTTTCAAGCCGCAGACCGTCCACACACTTCTGCTGTTTACTATGTGCATTATCGGCTTGTCATTTGTCAAGACAGAGGAGGCAGTGCGGTTTATTTATCACATATACCCGGTATACTTGGATTTCACCTTTTGAGCTTCCAACATGCAACTAACTCGAGCCTCGGTGTCCCCTTAGGCACTCTTAGATGAAGTCTATAAACGCGTTATATCTACGACTCCCAGTGCCTCCAATCCATCAGTGATGCTAAGTCACCTTACATTAGCACATCACATGTTATTCCTACTCGTCGTGACTGAGGTTTGTTATAATGTCCCACGATGTCTGGTCTGTTTCCACGTCTAAGGACTTCTCACAGGGGAATATCTGTCCAACTAAGTCGCAGATGCTGTACGGATACACTCTAACGGTATTTTCTTTCTTTCTTCAGTTCGGACTGTGCTTCCTAGTACATATAGCTGATAACAATCTAGGCAGCCCAAAATCTCGGCCTATTTTATTTAGACGTTGGACAAATTTCAGCCTCTCTCTTCTCAACTACCACCGACGACCATATCCGATGGAAATTATGGAGTCGAATCGAGTCAATAAAAAAGTAGTACTGCCTTCCACATATCTATCATGAACTCGTCTAAATATGTCTTCAGCTTAATCATCGGTCTTATCCTCTACGACTCATCGTTGGCTGGAATCTTCTCAATGAGCCCCGTCATCTCAACAAGCACATTCCACGTCGCCCTTCCATGCGACTTCGCACTCTACCGTGCCCAATCCACACACAACTGGATGGCCTTAATTCAGAACGGCTTCAATATCACCACCCCAACAATAAAACTATCACACACCGACTTCCACCTCCCAACCCTCCCCAGCCAAGTCCACATCTCATGCCTCTACGGAATAATGTCCGCCATTCTCGTCCGCCTGACAGCAAACTACCACCGTCTGATCATCGGCTCCGACCTCAGCCAAGCAGATTGGCATCAACACATACCCTGGCGAATATACAACCTCGATAAACGCGCAACTTCAATAACTAATGTAGTTATACATTTCATCCAGCTTTATGATACTATCCTGGCCAACTCAAACCCAAATTGCATCGTTATCTGGCATAATCTATGTCTCCTCTTAACAGCCGATATCCGTCTCCATGAACGTGCTGCCGGCCGAGAAGGCCCCGAGGCGATGCAAGCAGCCCGACGGGCCATCAGTCTTTGGGCAAAGACCCCCGCTGCACGTCGAGCGTGTCTACATGCCGCCCAGATATTCCATACCCTTTCGAACTGGAAGCCGATGGATGGTATGGGATTCCAGCCTGCGCGGTGTCTGTTGAATTCTGCGCTTGTTCTTGCTTTGTATACATTGGTTAGTCCGACTAGGGCTACGGAGACTAGGCACACTGATGTTTTCGATCTTGCCACGGCAGACATTGACTGGAAGGTTGTCGGTGATGAGGGCATGACTGATAGTGTCTCTGGGGAAGGTCAACGTGAACAGTTGAGGGCCGATGATCCTGCTGTCAACTTTATTCGTTTTGGGGGGCCGGTTGTTCTCTGTGGGAAAGCGTATTTCGGGGGCGCTAGTTATGCGCGGAGGCTTTTGTTGGATTTTGCGAGTCTTTTGGATGAGGTGGGGAGGCATTGGATGGCGAAATATCCGAGGCTTTTGTATATGATTCATGATACTATGGTGGATGTGGATATTGGGGGTGAGATGAGGGAGAGAACTGCTTGAATTGGGTCCTGATTGGGAAGTTTAGTAGAGTATATGCTGTTTCGTCCGGTGAACTATTTCAGTATAAAACTATATTAGAGGAGCAATTATCTGAACTAAGACTCTGGTTGACTCGTGCTAGCTGTAATACTTTTACATCTTGTAGACTTGGAATTTTATGACATGCAATAACAACACGCTCGGAAAGATCTCTTCGAATCACATACATCAGAACGCTCATTTAAGTCCTTAACATGGGCCGCACTTTAGTGTAGAGAAGGGGCAGTAGCGCCGTAAGCTGTGATGCTCCACCCCGACTCCAACGCCTTAACCAATGCTTAATAACCTTAATTGGCCGTGACCGTTCGCTCTCCCATGACTCGTCATCAGAGCTCTCTTCGCCGACGTCTGACTCCTGTTTGCCGCTGACACAAGCCTCAAATTCCACTCTATTGTAAGGGATTCGCCAATAGGCATGGTTCATGCAGGTCAATGTTGTATTCCAGAGTGGAATAGCCTGGGCGATGATTTTCTCGATGATATGGTAGAGGTGTGCATTCTGCTGCGGGTGAAGATTGTTGATATAAGATACTATGGCGCATGACCCGTGATCGAGGAGATCCACGTCGCAAGGCAACCACTGAAACCCCCAGCTATAATGTTTAAAGCTGTCCGATGTGAGGTCGTCTTCGGCAGGAACAGGGAGAACTGTTTCTTGTCCGATGATATCGAGGCAACCCTCACGTTTAATCAAAGAGCCAGAGATAGCTCTTGTTCGGCCAAAGACGACTGGGAAAAGGGATGGATGTACAAGGTCTACAATCCTGTCATCGGAACCTGGATGATAATCCTTTTCTGTAAGACTATGTTCCAGCGTTCGCACGCCATCTTTCAATGCGTTCTGTAGTTCCTCTGAGATTGCAGTGTCCGACTTGACGACTCCAGGATCGAAGACGACTACAAAACTAGTAGTGGAATAGTTCTCCGCTTTCCATTTCACCTCATCTATGATCCAGTCTATCATGTTAGGGGTGATGTCTTTGTCACTATCAACTATCTCGCTGCGCCATTTGGCAGTGGTTTCCTTGTCAAAGACCTAAAAGACTGTCAGTCTATTTCGTAGTCACTCCACCAATAGTTACCCTACCTTCCGGTCCCACTCAGGCTCGTCCGTGATAGCATTTATGACTATCATGATGAGGATTTCTCGATATGTACACATTCGTCTGTCACAAGAATCAGCAACACGATGTGTTTTCGGAGCGGTCCTACTTTACCCAGGAAGCTCAATGTCATCCTGTCGCAGAACATGCGGGAAGCTGCATTCTGGGAAGGCATAGTAGCAATCTAACGGTCGACCAAAGCCGAGAAGCTCTGCTTTAGTCATTTTCGTGTTGCTTTGTAACCGGTATCGTAGACTATGAACTGCCACTATGCTCCATATCCCGGAGACATGGTAGGTAGCCAAATGGAGCCTCGGGAACGGTAACCGCGCGACAGTAGTGGGTGCGTATTGAATCATGTTCCAAAGTGGTTGAACTTGCGCTAGTAATATTGGCCTCAGGCAAGGTAAAAAGTTTGAGAGTGATCCCTACTACTCATATTTCTCTATAGTAAAGCCTTCACTTTGCCGGAGGTCATTGTTACTAGCACGAGTTCGATTGCCTCAGCAACACAGCCTACATGAAGCACTCAGCATTCACCACTGTCAAAATGCTCAGGCTAAGCACTTCCCTGTGACGTCGAACCCAGGATATCACGGATGCTATGTGTTCTTGATGAGACTTCTGCTGCTGCATATCCTCATACACGTTTTAAGTTGAGAGTCATCTCATACACACTTTCCTAGCTTGTTGCTATATAAACAGCCCTTTGGACAATAGATCTTGTTGCACACTATCCTGGCACTCTGTGGGTCGCCAAAACCCCCCGGTAGTGGATGCTCTAGACTGGAATCCAACAGTGTGGAAGATTTGCCAATATTTAAAGCAGTTTCAGAGTCGCATTTTGTCCTTTATGCAATACTTTGGTACTTCTGATGGTAGTCTCAGGCTAGAGCTTGCAGAGAAGAGGAGAATAGTGATGTTGGGTGAGTCCTTCAGAAAAAGAAAAGAAGAAGAAGCAGCGCACGACTGTATTCTTCATATAGCCCATTCCACAGATACTGACTCAGAATACAAGTAGTTTGTCTCACGTATTCTCCCCAGTAAGACAAGCTCGTAGATGGTCTGGCTCTGGTATGAAAAATATTTCCCAGTACCACCACCGTCTTCCTTAGTTACGCCAATCGCATAGATATCCTTCCCCGAGCGTCGTTCTTTGTTCACGAGGCGGACGATCTCCAGGGCCTGGGAGATAGGAAAACTTCCCTCCTCAAGGATTGGTATGGATAGGAAATCCTGCAGCCAGTTTTGAATCCACAGACCAACGTCCAAGTCGGAAGATCGAAGTATGCAGGCAACCAATAGGTTTGACATACCAATCGTGTAGACGTTTCGTGTGGCACACTCCGCCTTACTGAGACCGGCTACTATACGAAGGAGTATTCGCATCCAGAATCTGATAGTTTCATCATTGATTGGTACTGTCTGATCATCGGATGCGTATTGCTGGAGACCATTTAGAAAACACGCTGATTGCATAATTCGTGCAACAACGTAATAGGCGTAGTTCATGGCGAATGGGTGACGACGAAATCGGAGGGGCCGTATGTGCCCATTACTAGGTTGGGCTTCATCGAGACCAGGAAATGACTCCGTTGGAAGCTCGAATGGTGTCAGCTGCGAATGCCATTCGCACAGTTTCTTTTCTTCTGCCCTCAAAAGGGCAATGCAGCCATCCATTGAGCTTGACATGCTGTCCATGGTAAGTACATGACTGTCCCGCCAGAGAGATAGTACTGCAGCGGTATTGATTCGATGTGACTCGGACATGATTGATGTAATGATGGCTCGTCGGGCTTTCAATGAATATAGGGCTGAAGTTATCTCCGACGGAGCAGACAATGATGCCTGATAGCGCTGAAAATGCAGTGTACTAAAGTACATCCTCAGCCACCAACTTTGATACTTTGACTGTAGCCATGCTGCAATCAGATTTCTTCCGAGCTCGTCCGACGAAAGGCACGAAAGATGCAAATGGATGAATTCCCCGATACCATCAAGATGGCAATGGAGGGCTCTGAAATTTCCCAGCACTGACTCCATATAGCAGAACAGAGCCAAAGTCGCTAATATCTGTGTCGGGCTTGAACAGATCTTACTCCCATATAGTGTACGGGCGATTTCTCTAACTGCGGCACCATAATATTCTTGGCTATAGAGTAGGTGATTTTTGTTTGGTTTGAATAACGTTCCGTTGCCCTTAATTGCTTGCCTTTCTGGTAGTGAGCGACTCAAATTGCAAGCAGATAATGCTAGGAGGGAATTCTTAAGTGGCTGGTATTCATTGGCTAGTGCGCTGATGTCGTGAGAGAGTAGGCGTAGGGCTCTAACACATCTTTCGTCCCAATGTGCAATATATATTTGCTCTTTCTCAGACCGGTTTAACTGTATCAGGCTATTCGTCCATACCAGACCTGGCGATAGGCTATGCTTGACGGTCCTCACTACCAAGTCGCCCGAGACATGAGATGTGCTTGTAGTATGGGAAGTGTTATTCCCGTTATCATTATTGTTCACTTGCCGGCGAGTATTTGATGGCATTTTAGGTGACACTTGTACATTGCGAAACTGGAAACCGAGCTCATATTTCTCACAGACCCGACCCAACCGCGTGCATGCAGTACATGACGGTTGTTTCTCATCGCACTATGAACAATCAGTTTAGTAGCTCCAACAGTGGGGTCAGAGCATCATGAACTTTTACTCGGCGTTGACGACATAATTTGCATCCTGAGCGGGTACGAATGATGTTAGTTTTCTTTGGTCTTGGAGGTGCCGGCTTATACATGATTGTAGTTGTGGTTAACTTAAGATTTAGTCTGGTGAGATTAAGATTGACGAACGTTATGGAACGCTGTTCACCTGACCCCACTCAACCCCAACTTTCCCCAAGAACTTCTACCTGCCAGATACACCCGTTTCTTGCAAGAAAAGCAGTCGATTGCTTTTCAGCTGTATCACCGGATGGCATAATGTGGGAGTAATACGAGGCTCTGAGACGTCCGGCAAAACTATCAGCCGGGTTCCTGCGAAAGCTGCGTTGGAAAATTGGCTGTGGGAGCGTGGGATGAATTCGAGCTCCTTCAGGCCTGAGGGTGCCAGTGCGTTCGTATATCAAATCTTGGCCTTGGCTGAGATGTGCTACTTGCGATTTGAATGGCGCCAACCTGGAGTGGCAGCTGAACGACTCGGTTAGCGTCTTATTGCTGGGTTTTTCAGTCGTTCTCCTTATACTCACGATACACTCTCAAGCTCTGGTAGGGAGCCAGAATAACGGCGTTCTATACATACTCCAACTCGCGTCCGTGTCGATGATTGGCTCAAGCATAATCCCCGTACTCCAAATACCCAGAGCAAAGACAAGACAAACCATTTCATAAGAAATCTCGCTTATCGGGACAGACAACACGAGTAGTGGAGTCGATCCACCTTCCTAATGAGGTGCGCGGGAGCGACGACATCCGGGCCTCAGTCTATAATAATTTAAACCAAGACATGCGAGCGGAGATAAAAAGGACAAGTTTCCCTCCCTCCCTCCTGCTCTCACACTAACTGGAAGAATTTATGAAATGGTATCTACATGCTACTATCGACCTTCACTCGTAGAATACAGCAACTAACATGGCTCACCAGGATAAAACAGAGCTTCTCTATCTAAACGACGCCTCGCTACGAGAGTGGACAACTACAGTCCTCTCCTGTCAGCCGATATCGCAATTAACAGAAAGCGAAAAGAATCTGGCAAAGACAGTTGCGCCAGAAAGCTTCGCTCTCATCACCCGTGAAACGGTGTTCTACCCACAAGGCGGAGGCCAGCCCAGCGATACAGGCGTGATTACTCTCGCAGACACAAGTAACGGCTCTACCTTCAAGGTTCTACTTGTCCGGAAAACCTTGGATGGCACTGTTATCCACCTGGGGGAGTTCACCGATCAGCTCTGTTTTACGGACGGCCAGTTAGTCTCACAGGCCATTGACTGGGCAAAACGCGACTACCACTCTCGACTCCATACAGCAGGCCATATCATCGGTCTGGCTATGCGGCTTTTAGCCCCTGTGCTTGGGGAAAGGAAGAAGGTCAAGGCGAATCATGCGCCGGGGCAGGCCTGTATGGAGTTCGAGGGCTTGCTTTATACTGAGCATAAGTCGGTTATTGAGGATAAAGTGAACGAATTGGTAGGTATGAACCTTCCTGTTACTACGGAGTGGTGGGATGAAGATCGCATTCAAAATGCCGACCTAAATATGGTGGAGGGCTTGCAGCTGGGGAAGAATGGGCAGGCAAGGATCGCCTTGATTGGAGATATTGACGCCAATCCGTGTGGTGGAACGCATGTAGAACATACTGGTTTGACCGGGTTTATCACCATTCGGAAGATTGCGAGACAAAAGGGGGTCAGCAAGCTTTCTTATGAGGTGCCTGTTTCGATGTGAAAATTCTATTCTTTAGCTTAATAAAGCTTAGATTATAACGTGGCTTTATGTACTCTCACAGTACTCTGCTTTCAACCGTTGGTAAACGTGTTATAGGGGTGTCCGATGAATTATGGAGGTCTAGTTCAAAGGCACTGAGAGGAGCAAGTAGACTTGCTTTGGGAAGACAAGTGTGCCATCATTGAAGACGAGGCTTGGCCAGTGAGGTTGGCGAGGAAGTGGGCTCACCAAATCTTGCTGTTGAACGTATCGATCAGGAACGATCGATACTATCTCGAGCCAAAGAGAGATCACACTATGCATCGGAGAGTCAATGTGGATCTTTCCGAGCGGTGCATGCGTGACGGGTTCATCGTATGACTGGTTGCTAGTGAGCAATGGTAGTAGAAAGAAAGAAAGGATTACAACTTGTTAGATTGTTGAGTTCGAGGCATGACCAAATGCCTACGGTCTTTTGGTCAAGTGGCACAACGGTCAACACAACTTTATATTATCAATTTCTCTATTATTCTAAATTAACTATGAGCTTAGTCCCCGGATAGGAGTTTGAATTGCCACCAAAGCATCTACCTCACACTCTAAACACAACTCCCCTGCCTTTCTATTTAGTTCCACGGATACAGTTTTCCATCATGAAGCAAGCCAGCGAAGCTTTCTTTCGGTAGGAGAAAACAAAAGGTGTAGCCATTAGCCTGGATGATGGCAATGGGAACCTCTGATGGTAGGCAGCGGGAATAACGTAGAGGATAACAGATGCTGATTGAACCTCGAGCACAAGTACTGGACTCGCTCCTATCAGCCTGCTGCAGCAGAGAGGCAGATATCAGCAAACCCAGGGGCTAGCGTCGTAACTTGATTCGATTCCTCATCGCAGGATATATCAGCCACATCCACTGGCCTTCACAACCTGTTATGCAAGATGTGCAGGGCCCTGACGGTTTTCAGAACTGTTATACCCTGGAATCAAAATTACTGTATCCCGAGCATAATGTGAAAGTCAGTTCATTCACAAACCCTGTTCACGTGTGACACTTGCCAGTGGGATTGCTTTGGAGGGACTGGGGTGATTAGAGTGTTGGGGGCGATTGCTATTTCGTCAAAGTCCAAGTATTTCTATCACCAGATCACGTATTATAGCCATACCCCGCATTAAGTAGCTTTAAATTATTGTCTGCACGAGCTATAACACTTTGGACCTAGGATGAATTGAATTCCGACTATGAAAATGATTATTGTGTCTAATAATGGATTTTCTCCATTCGCTAGACTAGAACTAGGGAAGTGATTATTTTGGGATCGGAGATCGAATTCGTGGTGAAATGAAACAAGAACAGGTTGCAGCAAGTGTGTTCTTGTCAGAGCGCCATTAATCAATTTAATTAATCAATTTACTAACCTAGTCGATATGGGCGGCATATTCTCCTATGCTATCCATGTCTATCGCCCTCCAAACAAAATAATCCACAGGACCAAATGTAACCACACTTGTTATCCATAACCCCCAGAACGACAACGCCCCATCCCATGCAAAAGGCCCATCATGCACGAAATGCGCCCCGAAGGGAACGAGGAGCCATGCTGGAAAAACCAGTGATGTATATGCCACCCAGCGCGGGAATAGAACAGTGGAAGACGCGGAGAATGATGAGCACGATATAGTCCACGCAACAGCCAAAAACTGCAAAGCAAGCGGGCCTGCACAAAACCCCCAACAGAACCAGGCAAGATCATGAGCCAGCTGTGTGATCGCTGGATCCCGGTCTGATCGATATCCTGCCGCAGCAAAGAACATGGCAATCAGGCTAAAAACAATGCCCAGCGCGGACGAGTTCACGAGTTGTAGGATTAGTGGCGTACCCGGGACGTTCGGCATCCGCGACAGTTGGTTGTGGATTGCTATTCCGTAGAGTGGCCAGAATATGCCAACGAAGGAGATAAGGTATGTGCCTGCTTTGATCCCGCGGGCGTGGAAGGTGAAGTGGGTGGCTATCTCTTGCGGGGGGAGAGAGGGGGAAATAGGCGGGATGAAGTCGGCGAGGATGAAGAAGATGAGGTAGAGGAGCTGGGAGAGCGGGCCACAGAGAAAGAGGAGGCGGTTGAGTATTCGGTTTGAGGGATAGGACGTTGTTGCCCTTTTGAGCTGGTGGTTAGAAGTTTTGTCCATGGCAGGTAGAGAAGCCTGGTTGGTAGAAAACGGGCTTTCTGTATTCTTCTGTCCCCTTGACACACACATATATATATATAATATTTCGTCAGTAACTAGCAGGCTATGCAGCGTGGCGTAGATATATACATATCTTTCTCTCTAGTGAAGGTCTTATTATGTGCCCTAATTCTGCAGCCCCACGTATTACACGTCATTGTACAGAGTGCAGCTGAACGGACTGGTAACCAGGATTATATTACCGGTATTGAGCACAATCGGTCTCAGCACACAGGCCAGCATAAGACTGTTACATTGCATGATGCATTTTTTGTGGAGCGTGCACTGCCCTCGACAGACCATCCAACTACGTGAAATTTTCATTGTTATCAAGACGCAGCTTCTGCAGAATCAAATGAAGAACCGGGCTCTCCACCTCGAAATCTTCTTCCAGCTCCCGCAACTTGTCCAGGAGTTCCTTCTTTACCTCCCGAATCAAAGTATACGTCTTATCAAGAGCCCCATGCGCCTCCATCTCCGCAATTATAAACCCCTTCATCTCTACCGGTAGTTCCTCCCACGGAGGACGATGAAACAAAAGAGACTTTACTTCGGCGCTCATAGACTCGGGACACCGCATGTAATAGATGAGCGGTAGCGAGACCTTACCCTCGTCAAGATCTTTGCAGAAGCCTTTTTCTCTGGAGTACTAAGGCAGTTCCCGTCAGTCCGTTGGTAATAGTCAGGCGCAACAGGGGGAAGCGGTGACGAACCTCCGCTGAAATGAGATTTTGGTAGTCATCTCGAATTTGAAAGTATCGACCAAGCAGATTGACAATATCCATCAACCGGGCTGACTTACTGGGGACTGTCAGTGATCGGTAGAATGATGAGTTTTAGGGAATTACCGTGAAAGGTCCGACTGAGCCTGCATCAGCCGAACGCACATTCTAAATAACCCACCAGTTTCGGAGATGCATAAAGATGAGTATAACCATTACCCTCTGATTAAAAAGGGATATACAAATGATTATTCACCATTCCCATGGACTCCTCGACGCTAGGAATTGACTGGTTGTGTTTCCAGTATAGATCAAGCGACTGACCAAGGTGCAAATTTTTCAGTTCATCTGTCGTTCATTTATTTATTGCCAATACAACTAAGCATGACGCAGAGCGTGACATACCCACAAACAAACCCATAACGTTGGGATTATGCAACTCAAGCACTCCAGCAAAGGCTGTAACCATCGAGTACACGGCCGAGTTGATCATCTGTGGCACCCCATAGAGCATATGCGTTGCGGGCTTGCCCCGACGAAGCTTCGAATTATCTTCGATATCGTCGAACCTGCTCATACAGAGTACGGTGAAGTTTTAGATCTCGTAGGTTACAGTAGAGTAAGGGAATTCCATACATGAGACTTGAGTTGTGCAGTATCGTTATGATGGTTTTTACTGTACTTAATGCAGGCTCGGGCTGATCCCCTCGATGAAGGTCTCGCGGACTTTCTTCGATGGTAGAGCGGGGTTCCGCGTTTCGACGCAGTGGAAAGAGAGTAACTCATGACTATTGTGGAACACGAAGCCACCCGTATGCCTCTGTGAATTTTATGTATATACCACAAACACGCGTCTGACTTTGATGATCTCATGGGTTTGTCGACAAAAGTATAATCATAGTGAAGGTCGCGCTTGGCCTTTTCTCTCGCTTGCGGCGGAATCCGCCATAATGCCTCATTTCGCTGAATTACTGGCTTCGACATACGCTCAGACCATGAATATAACCTAATTACTCCGGTTAAATCCTGGCACAGGGGGGGAGGGGTTGTGAGAAAGCTCCAAGTCGCCACTCAACCAACGCGCTGTATGCAAGACCTCGATATCGAATGACTTGGCAGTCTTCAATCAAGAAACGACAGGGCACGGACGGCGTGATTGCTCACAGAGAACGCCAGTCGGCCGGAGCGCCACGGTTCAATGACCAAGGGACTGATCTTGGACGGCCACGTTTAAACCAAATTCTGCAAGATATGTCCCTCATTCTGCACGACGAAGGGCCTAGCGGAACACGTGGAGCCATGTCCTTTGCTGCCCGCGGATTTTTGCATGGAGTCTATGTTGAATGATGTCAGTAGCCCAGGCCGGAGGTGATGAGGGGGGACGCCACTGATAAGCGAACCCCTGCGCAACAACTTCCTAAACCAATCATACTCCATGATTTATTGCACAGACCGTGTCATGCGAGATACCCAAAATTTTAACCGTGAAGCGAGCGTGGCAAGCCTGCAGATATCGGTGCTCTTACCACCTATCAACTCATCCACCAAGATAAACATATCATCCCTAGTCGTGTGCTGGCTCATGATGAAAGCACCCCTACAGATCATGGTCATGGTAGTGGTTTGCAGAAGGAGTAAATCCACGCTAGGCAACGCCGACCCTGGCTGAGAAGGTCAATGCTGCGCATGGTTTAATGCTTGAACCAAGCCGTGTATAAGAGAAAAATACGTTCTAATCAATGATGAGTTAATTGATGGCCATTTGCCTATTTTGGACTAGACTGAATATAGTAAAACGTCTTTCAAATCAAACCAACTTCAACTTCAACAGTGGTAAAGAGATATCAGCCCTCCAACCTTGCCGCAGCCCCTCCATACCTCGACATCGTAATCGACCCCATGACATTCCCCACAGACATCATCAATACTGCATCAACAAACTTCCACTCCTCATGACTCAACCCCCCTGAAGCCGCCATTCTCTCCAGCTCAAAGTCAATCTGTCGCTCAGCCTCAAGTTGATATGTGTATCCGAGCGCCTTTGCGGCATCGTCAGTAGGCAGCGACAGCAGCCGTTTAATCACCATTACCCCGTTCGACTGCTCAAATTGGGGGAACATTCCGGCGAGATAGTGGCTTTTTTCTTTGTCGAATGAGGCAATGTTGTTCTGACCGAGGGTTTGGTCGCCGATGAGACGGAGGAAGTGCGTGAGCTTTGGGCTGTGAATGTCGACGCTTGAGCCGATGGACAGTTTGATCATGGCGTACGTTGGTCTGTACGCCACTACGTCACTTCCACTCATTCTGATGAACAAAAAATGGGGCAACATACCCCATTCCTCCATCTTCATAGCGAAAATCGTAGTAATCGCTCATGGTCTCGTACAATCTGGAGGGTGGTTTGGCGCGGGATATATACGTAACCAAGGTATCAATGGTCTCTTGTCCTCCATTCCCAACGATGCGATCACATTCGAGCATTTTTTCAAGTGAGCTCCAGATCCTTTCCTGCAGCCGTGTTTTGGGGGTTAGATCCTTGTTGTTGTGCGGTGGCATGAGGGATTGCAGAAATGAGGGGTCCTAGTAATCAGCATATATAGTCTAGAGAGTAGGGTTCAACGTACATAATCGTCTCCGAAAATCTCGTAGGCCTCTAATTGTTGTTATTCGCCTAAATCCTTGCGTTTAAAATAGGTAGTACCCACCATCAAACACCAAACTGAGGGCTAGCGCCTCACCAGCCAAAATCGTTCTCTCCATATTCCCCAACGGATACAACAACGGCACATACCGAATCGTTTTCTCCTTTCCATCCTTCAGCTCATTCATTGCAACATCTGCCACGGTGAATTTGGCACCAGGGGGCGTGTTCTGTGCTGTGGGATCCTCCGCAAAAGCCCTGAGAAGAGAGTGATATCTCTCCTGCACCTCACGCCAATATCTGTTCTGTCGAACAAAGCCGTATCCAGTGTGCCAGGGCATGCCGGCCTGTCTAGGGAAGAGGTCGATAGAGTGTATGTCATGCAGGATGTTTGCTTCGGCGTCATTCACTTCTGCTGTCTGACATCGTGCGCGGGAGGCTTTTGTGTGAAGGTAAGCGTTCAGCTTTAGTGGAGGCGGGTGGGCGTATGGTGCCTTGTCGCCGATGTGGTCGAAGCAGTAATTGAAGGGATGGAGGGCATAGCGGTCCCCTTTCGCACAGAGCTTTTCTAATAATTCTTTGTTAGATGAGATGATATCATATGGGCAGAGAGTTATACCATGCATCTGTTCAGACCGACTTACTGCAACGGTTGCACCCATTGCGATAGGAACAAAGCTGGTATGAAAGTGTATAAAGATTGAGTCAAGTCAAGCAAACTAATTCATTCTTTGGTCTCGAGCTGCTAATATACGCCTACTGCGCTACCGAGCCCCACTTTGCATAAAGCAGGTTTTTTGAAGTCGAAGTCTGAGCGTCTATTCAGAGAGTAGCTTTATCTAGTAAGGGGCAAATGATCCACCGATACTAAATTCATGAATAACCTGTTGGCTGAGCATAAGTAGCACGCGCGGTTTACTAGCCCACTCTCCCCTCCCCGTCTCTCTATTTCTCTGCCTTACAAAACAACCTAGCCGAGCAAGGCCCCTCAGAGTCTGCCAGACAAAGGCTCATTAGCCAAGTACAATCTCGCAAACATCGACTGGACATTCTGCCCCACCAGGATTCGAGGGAGGGCCAGCTTTCTCGGCCACCTTTCTAACCCAGCAAGTCCCATTCATTACATATCGTTCTATCTCCCCCAAACCAGGCATACCTCGTATGCAATTGGAATTGTCTTTCTGGTAGAAACCAGGAATTATTCCGGTATCATAAACCACATCCACAGTTTTCCAAAACGCTCTGCGGATGGGCCAAATAGTAGTTGCGTATACAGTCTCGTTGCACCTAGTATGAGATCTCAGGAGGGATGAATTCTGGTCTCAACGCCCGGTTTATGATGTGCGCCGGGAGTCGGTCCATACCATCGCGACGCAACTCATAAAAATTAACGCAGTGCCACACCATGCGTTCTGCTGCAACGCCGATGGCTCCCCAGCCGCGGGGTCAGAATCGTCACAGGATATAAATTTCGAACGCGGGCCATCATCGTCGGATCTAAACCTTCTATTCATTTGAGTAAACTTCGTCTCCAGATCGAGCAATGGAAACCCACAGAGTTTATTGGTGGAGGAGAAATTGCGTGCGGGGTGCTCATTCCGATTTGGAGGGACGATGCGCCGCTTCACGCCAACCCAAGATCAAGATCAAGCATGGCCGCTGCTAATTTAGAAGAATCGCGCTCGGTGCTTTCACTACACCTTCTTCTACATTCTTGAGTAAATAAAAATTATTCGAATTATTGTATGTTCTAATAGCTTTTTTTAAGTGTGTGCCATTAATGTATAAAAAGTACCCCTGGTATATATTTGAAACTGAGTAATGAAATACAGTTCTCACTTAGATAATTATTTAATTTATACTAGAGTGGCGCGGGTTCGGCTTCTTCCTTCCATCCCCGCACCCGACCCAGAGCCAGGGTTCGGGTCGGGTTCAGCGAGGAACCCGTGCCACTCTAATGACTACCAAAGTAGAAAGCTAAGCTGAAGAAACTACTTAGAGTTTGTATAAAAGGCCCTAACTCACCTCCTAAGACTGTAGCATAGTTTATTAAAGACTATAGACTAGCTTTAACTGAAAGCTACTATTATTAGGCAGGAAACCATGGAACTACACATCATATATATAAGAACACTTAAAACGAAAAAGGACTCGACCAGGTAGATTCCTATAGTATTAGGCGCTTCATTTCAGGCAGCTCAGGAGCTTATACAAAGTAGAAATTCTACTAATGAAGCTATATCTATTTCTTAGTAAATATATCCCCTGCGGTAGAAAACAAGCGCGTACACACTCTACCAAAGTGTTCTAGCTGCGGTATTCTAGACCATAAAATTATTCATTGTCCCAATCGTTAGGCTATTTAAATCTTCTACAAGAAATGCAGACTTTTCGGTATTTTGAATAGCTTCATTTCTAGGAAGCGTGAAAAATCCCGTGGGTTGAGCGGAACGCTAACCGATTTATTACGTGATAGTTGATGTATTTACAATTCTCGCAGGCTGTAAGCCCCCTTGGCCGTTTTATGCATGTCACCCTAACAGATACCCATCGACGTAGATGGTTTGTTAACAGGCCAGTTGTGAGTTAGGAGTACAGCCGGCGTAATCGTGATCTAACTAGCACTCTGTCCTACATTGGACTTTTTACCCCTCATCACCATCGATCAGTATCCTTTGAATACTATATGAAAAGCCAAAAGATTCTTCTTCAACTAGATAAAGTCGTATCGAACTATACAATCACCATAAGCCTGTATAATGTGCCTCATCCCCATCCCGATCGTCAAATACCTATGCGACCATCGCATAAGGGATGACCCGCGCCGCCCATTCCCATGCCCTCCAGCTCGGAAAACAGATCCACCAACCATCTGCAACAAACCTATAGAAGAGGAAGTGGTCCGAAGCCGCATAAGGCAACCCTGTGATGACTGCATTGATGCAGGGATGTGGATTGAACACCCTGGAACCCGCAGAGACTCTTGGGGAAGAGCATTGACGTGGATCAAAACCCCAGGGCTTTGAAAGTATGGTGGGACTTATGTTCTCCTGGGTCTAGGATCGGCCCCTCGTTCTGTAGCTTGCTAACTTGGAGTCGACAGGAGGGAAATCATTCTATGGGAATGCGGCAAGCTTAAGATGATACTTCTTAACTTTACAGAGAATGACCACGTACGCACGAACACACGAGAATGTCGATGGAGATCAATTATATTACGATATATGGTTTGCCAAGGAAGTAATGAATGATGTCCTGGTCACTGAATTCTTCAGCGAGCGCTGTCTTTACTCGGTATTCTACTTTTATATCAGGCCTATATATGGATGTCACCCCTAGCCATTGGGATGGAAAGGGGAGCTTGTTGTAAATTCGACAGGAAGCCAACGAATATCCTGAGCGATTCTTTTATATTGTACTTGAACTACCTTGGGTCACTTATGATATGCTATACTATGTTATATTGCTCAAATTCATAGTAAAAAGGTCCTGAGAAATGTTCCTGAATAACGGTGTTGGCCAGGAGGCTATGGAGGGCAACGGTAAAGAGACCAGATTTCGTAAGCTTACTAGATACTCGCTGGGAATTATGCCTTGAGTTCCGATCTCGCACTCATCCCTTGAGGCTCTATACCCAAAATCGCAAGTAAGCTATGCTAGTACTGTTTTCCTACCAGATCGACAGAACGACCTTAGTCCAGCCTTTCTCGAGCAAGAATACAGATTCTAAAGAAAGAAGAGAGAAAAGAAAAACTGGGAATGCAACACACACACATAACAGCCACGATTCAATGGTAATCCTCGTGTCTAGACAAAGTAACAGAAAAGGAAATTGGTCTTCCTACCAGCTGAAAGGCTTATACGTCAGCTATCACAATTTGTTCTATAATCAGGCGTACAGCCAACAGCCCCAAAGAAGCATGAATGGCCCCTTACATACCAAAGCCTCAGGGTCCAGGGTGGTTAGGAAGGTGTCAAATATTACGCCCCCAAGTTCCACATACCGAATTCTTTCTAAGGCAACAACTTTCAACAATCGCCATCAGCTGAATGAGACTCCTGCACCAATTGTAGAGGTGTTTCCTTTTTATGCATGTTGGCTTACCTAGTTCATGCAGCTTACCTCAAGTGACAGTAAGCGCTAACGTTCTGGGCTGAGACGGTGTGACCCGCGCTGCATCAGGGATGTAACATCCTTACTATTAGAACCGGGTGCTTGGCGATCGACACTCCTGCATCGTTAGTTCGTCAGCTCCAACACACTTCCCCGCATACGTCGAGGTACACTCCGAAGAATCATGAGTCCCACCAGTTGGTAGATTATTCGCTAGTGATCCCAAGGCACCCATAAATCAGCCGAGTATCACTTCCTTGTACAGTATCGTAGGGGCTGCTTACACGCATTCACTGCTGTTATTGCTTCTTTTTTTCGGAGCTACGCGCGTCCTCTCCGTAACCGGTCATTGTGGAATACAGTGCATCCTCAGTGAGGCTGGATCTGATGGAGTACCCCACAATAAGCAAGTACGGAACCTTCGGACCCTGATCGGCACGGTTGGGTACTTTCTCTGCTATCATGTAGATGGGGGCGTGAACCCAATGGGGATAATGACTTGCCAACAACATGTCTGAGATGCAGAAGGCGTTTCTCTTTCCTTGGCTTTGAGGCAGTGAGTGATTGTGACTTGTGATCCTTGATGACAATGTATTATTCATAGGGACTCTCTGGCGCGAGAAACTGACATATAAAGGGGGGCATTGGACTCGAGGAAACAGGAGACAACTCTTGCTTAGAACCAACACAATCTCTTCTTTATCCAAAACCTACATCGGTATTCCGTTTGAATCCCATCTCAATCGTATCTTCAACTGTTCCGGAGCAATATGAAGATCTCTGCTACATTCCTCTATACCTTCCTTGCCATCACCACCCTGGGTGTCGCGAGCCCCACGGGCAACAACGCCGTCGCCGCCGAAAATGTCACGCCTGCTTACGCTGAAGCCGAATCTTTCTTCGAGAAGCGTAAGGGCTGTAGCGGCGAAAGGAAAGATTCCGACGTCTGTGGCGGAAAGAAGCTCGCAGAACAACACTCGTTTCATAACTGGTACAATCGCCCTTATCCCATGAAGCATTTGAAGTACTTTGCTAATGTAACCCGACAGTAAGAGTAAAAATAAGGGCAAATGCTGCGCCAAGAATTCAGACGGGACAGGAGGGATCGACGTGAACAAGGGAGGTGGTGAAAATTGTGGCTATTGCTTCAGTGGCAAATGCTCGGGCTGATTAACCTCAGCATAAGGACGTCTCGCATGGCACCGGAAAGAGGATGTCCAGGAATTCATTATGTGGAGTGTCTTTGAATTTGTGCTCTAGTTGGTGGTAGACGGTCAATGTTTAACTCTACCAAACTCAAGTCTCCCCATCTGTGTCCCTAGTAAAACAATCCATTTGAAACAGTGTCCACATGGCTAAGCCTCGTACACCCGCGCCTTGTACGTACTATGAGTTGTATTCGTTACCAGTTTGGGCTTTGAAAGCCGCCACCACCATTTTAGAAAATTCATCATGATCCTGAAGGTATAATTCTTCCAAATTTGGTGCATGCTCCACGATTAGACGTGCGAGCATCTGGGCGTCCACGGTCAAGGAAGATGGCCTTGAATTCGTAGAAGCCGTCAGAAGATGGATCACTCTATACAGGCCATAGGGGAATATGCTTACTGTGATTCTCGCTCTCCGGTCACTGTTGCACCAAGTTCAAACTGTCGTAACTGTGGAAAGAGCGGTCGCTCGATGGTTGACCAGCCGTGCAAGTCATATGAGCCAAATATCTCACAGGATTCAAGGTGACGACAATGCGTTCCCAGTGAAGTGATTGCTACTGTTGACAAGTTGCACTGAGCTTGGAATACCAAATGTTGAAGCTCTCCCAGATTCCCAAAAAGCTGTATGAACTCTTGGTCTGTTAATGTGGGGAATGCTGGGGGGTCCTCTAATGAAGATATACACAGTCTGCGTAAATTCTTCAATCTTTTGAGCGCAAGTAAGTCTGTAGCTGGCCAAATTGCCTCCCGGCAAAAGACGATCTCCAGTTCAGTAAGATTTATCAGTGGCCTGACAAGTGGCAAAGGGCTCAGCTCGTTGTCTTCGACGGTAAGTAGAAGGTTGGTAGCAGATTTTATGGCTGCAGTAAGTGGTTCAACTGCTTTCGACTCCAGTTGAACTGTGAGACGTCGGATGGACCTGAAAGGGGCCTCTGCCCCTTGAAAGGCCTTCTGAATCATCTCATAGGTGATGGTCTGCCCCAATTCTAGGTCCTCAAGGCCATGACGACGGGCAAGGTAGGTGAGCATCTGGTCGTCGACGAAGTCGTCCATGAAAGATGGAAGACATATTGATCTCAGGGATCTGCAACAGTCAAAGAACTTTACCAAACGTTCTGTGTTTATCCCATCGAATGCATAATCGATCAGAATGCTCTGCAGCCGTGGACAACGCGTTTCCAGTAGGCCAAGTAAGTCTTCAGCCGGCTCAGACCCATAAAATCTGAATTCCTCCAAGCTCGGCTGTATGTATTGACCAAGCCATAACTTTTCTCCGTCTTTTGGGCCAAAATAGTCGATTGTCAGACGCCTAAGCCTTGGGAACTCTAAGGTACGAAAACGGGAATGCTGTCCTCCGTCATTTGGACCCCCAAAGTCTAGTTCACGGACCTGGCGCGCGTAGAATTGGCGGTGGTTATCTTGGCTCGAGGCCAAGGCTGCCACCGGCGGCTTCTGCCAAAGGACACTGATGGCTTCCGTAGCCCAGGACTTGTTCACCAAGGCTGCCGATCGCAGAGTGGTGTAATCATCACTAAGGTACTCCATAACTCGGCGCAACAGCTCCGGTAGAAGCGGCCCACTGAAAAACACCGGATTGATTTCGACGTCTAACATATCCTCTAGACGCACTCATTAGCAATTTTCTAAATAGCATTTTGAGACAAAAAGAATAATGAAAGTAAATAGGCAGGGTAGGATAATGGTGTCCATCGACCTACCATTGGCTGCATCCCTCTCCATAACGACTGATGGTTTGATGTTAAGTCGCCAGATAGAAACGATTTACCTAGTGTTCTGACTCCGGGCTTCACTTGGCGAGAAATTTCCAAAGGAGTTCCAGGGTTGCGGATTCCGTGTGTAATAGGAAATAATGAGATATACATACAGAGAGCTGAAGAAGAGTGAACGTAAGAAATGCGACCTTGAAAGGCCAAAGTGCGGGACAAATCATCAGCTGACATAAGTTGCTTTTTTTGTTATGATCGCCATTGGGGCGAGAAAAGAAACAAAGAGCTATACAAGAGATATTTGATAGCTTTCCCGGCCCAATATATAATCCGAGTCAATCGGTAGATGCAATACGTAATTTTATTTTTTGTCCATGCTACTGCCCGTCCTATCTTGTCCTCTATTTCCAGGGTTTAAACCAAGTAAACTACAGTAACATAGTGACTCACCGGAAATAGTTCTGGGATTTCCCCAAAAAGAACCAGCTTATGTTCTGAGAGGTATTTATCTTCTGGTTGTTCATAGAAACACCTGTGTATAATATGCGGAGGCCTATATGAGAAACCCGCATGATATCAAAATTAACATCCTAGTTTCAGCAGCCAATCCCTTCTATTATGATGAACCTTACTGTCCTGACGTTCCTGTCCGTAATTTATGCTACACTAAGCCGTCGAACGGTCAATATCGCTAGGCTTGCAGGAGTTATCAAGTCTTTCTAGTTGTCGCTCGATTCAATATAGGGTTGTCGGAGAAGCACGTGACTAATAAATATAGATATCCAAGGAGAAGGATGTTGAAGAGCAACGAAAAGGTAAAGGGAAGATCGCTAGGCGAACTGAAAACTCTTGAAATTATATCACCTCACTCTTTCCTTGCCCACTCACTTCTATACTGGAGAGTATCTTCCAATGCACCAGCTCTCAGTTGACAGCTTAACGTCAGTTGTCCTCAAGTGACAGATCGTAGAAGGTGTCTTTGACTTTCTCGCCGAGCTCACACCTCATTTAAGTACTGCTTGGGCGTACGGGAAGACCTACTTCTACATGCTATGGCCATATGTATTGGGATGGCATAAAATAGAGGATTACTTCTACTCCTGCTCTCACTGATTTGTAAGGGTCAGGAGCATAGTGAATATATCTAATGGTAGTCGAATGAGTTCCGCATAGCCACCACTATTGTCGGCCCATTGTTCAGCGCCAGAAGCGAAAAGCATTGAAAACGCGAGCGTCTCTCAACCTTTTATAATAAAATGTCCAACACATGAGTATGGGTGGGATTCAAACCGAAGTTGTTTCACAGGTTGTACATGTACAGTGTACCCTAGCCAATAGTACCTTGTCACTCTGAGTTTAAATTAGCTTGAGCCTCAAAGTATCCACAGCTGTATAAGGCGAGGACATTTATTGTCAATCGGTCGACCTCCTCGGATATAGACTGCGGTTCAGGTCTGTCGGGTCGGGTCGGTTAGAATCTCCAAGGGTTCAACTATTCAACTACGGCACGGATATTTTTTGGTCGGCTAGCGTACCGAACCGAGGGTTACCAACTCCCGTCCGTAAAGCAGGCGGCCTTCACATCGGCAACTCTAGTGTCTCGAATTTCTATTGCCCTTCTTGCTCGGGGAAACCGTCAATCATTACGATACGTGCTCAGAAATTCAAGTATGACAATAATTAGGTTCCGACTATGATATGGTCAGTGGTAAGCAATAGGAACGGGCAGTCGGCCACCGAAACTGATGTCTGGACAGCACGGAATGTACCATACAATGGTCATACAGTTGATATGAATATATAACACCTGTACGTATGTATCCATTCAGTCGCGTGGGGAGATAGACTTGAAAGTTATATGTACTCAACTGCTTGGGATAGCCTTCTGGGCCCATGGATTTGAGACGGTTATGAAGTTTTATCGCTTTTCGAAGATGGAAGAAGATATTGTGCGAGTATAGAGGGATGAAGTTGGATGAAGTCGAGCTGAGTGGCTTGATATGACCGTTTCAATTACAAAAGGTGAAGTTAGGCTCAAATCAAAGTGAAATTTGTATATAATTGGTGTTTCCAGATTCTACTAAAAGTGGAAAGCCAAAAAAAGAGATATGGGCGATCTGAGTTCACGCGAGTATAACTGGAATACACTATCAGTGTAGAAGAGCATGTATGCACAGGAACATATGATACTTACTTTCCCAGTTCCAGTCTTCCATAACCCTTAGCCAGTGCAGCTCACCCTTAATAGTGTAGCTGATAAACCCAGCCCTTGTGACAGGATCTGTCCCTTTCTGGAGTGCAGCCGAATCCGGAAAGTCGGATGACCTTGGACCTGACCGAGTCTCTCCACAAGACGAGTCCCCCCGGTCCCTCGTGAATCATAGTGCTTTCGATATTGCTCTGGGAAACACGAAGTGAATCGTACAGCGTCGAGGTATCCATTGCGCGACGGCTTATTATGGGAAAAGGTCGGTGGGCTTTGATCAGATCACGTAGGCCATGGCGTGTTTCAAATTCATCCCTCCTTCGCCACACTTCAATTGTCATATCTCTACATCGATCTGGTACTGTCGTCATCAAGCGTCGGGACATGAGCTCCCAGCGCAGACGAACCCACTCCCGATCGTCGTCGTCGAATGTCTCACAACCCGCTATCATCAACGGAAATATTTGCGCATTTATTGTCCGAGACGACGGCGGTGTCGTGGCAAGAAAGACGAGAGTTTTCTGTGCTAACTTCGACATCGAACATGAGGCGGGAAGCTCTGGAACTGCTTGCCGAAGGAGCAGAAGCCAGCGCCTCGGTATGCCTCTGCGGTCTGTATCAAGTCAGAAATATTTGAGCTCGGGTTTTCCGAGTCTACAGGTGAAACCCAGCCTTCGATAGCCATCTTTATTTCAATGGCTTTGGAGATGATCGCAGGAGAATTGCGATTCTCTGGCCGGCCGCGGACGCAACGAACAAGCTCCACCAAGCGGCCAATTGATGGAAAGAGTGCAGTACCACAGCCCATGAGGGGGTCAATCTCCTTTTCATCGATATGAGGTAGTATAGAAGTGTATGTGACTGTAGGCTCGGGTACCGTGGCATTTGTAGGTTCGGTGCATGTCAAGCGAGCAATGACGTACCTGTATAACCAGGTATTGACAAGGAATTTCAGACATTCCAGTTACTATTTACTGGTTCTGAAGCAAAACGCTTCTGGACAGCCTGTTGAATGAGTGCTCTGGCGTCGTTGAGATGAGTGACCCCCGTTGCTGGTGTGTGACAGTTCCAGGACTCAGCGAAGGCAAGGGCGAACCTGGTGGCAATTTCAGCCTCCAAGGGCATACTGCCGTTGTTGTCCATGCTAATGAGGAGAGCTTGGACGCTGAGATTGAAGTGTTTCATGCTGAGTAGATTAAGTTGCTCTTGGCTCTTGCTTAGGTGTGCACAAGTCATTGCGGCTAGAGCGTGGTGGAGCGCAGGACAATCACGCGCCATAGGCCAGACAAGCGCTTGCCATAGGTCCACGCTATCGCCGTCCCTGATAGACAGTATACTCGACGTATACCCCACGAAGAAACGTCTGATCATTATCTGGCTACCGCCAGGAAACTGTAGCTGTTGAGTGAGGGTATTCATTTCATTGTAGTCGGAACTATCGGGTCCAAATATATCAGAATAGAAGCCCCCGCCCGACCGAATGTCATGTTGCCAGTGAGGCTCCTCAATATCAACTCCTTGGAATCTCTCATCTCTCCTGATAATCTCTTCATGGCTTTGAATGGCCCTGCATAGGTCATCGTCGCTTGCTGAAGCGTCTCCGGTTGTTTCCAAGCCCAAGTCATGAAGCCCTGTTAATTCGTGGTTAGCTGGATTCACTGCAACCGCAAATGAGAAACAGTCAAGGTTGGGAGGCTCCGTAGATGTCCCGGTAGAGGAACTGTACATCCTATGCACGATTGACTGCTCTTGTTCCGAGAGTCCAAGAGGAGAGTCACCGGCTATGTGCCCCGTCTCAACCGCTGTGCTGTCTGCTGCGGCCGTCTCAAGTAGTGCAGTTATGGGTGGGTAAATTATGTTAGCCAAGGGGGGCCAGGAATCGTCTAAGCTAGCTTGCGTGATCGGAGAGTTAACAGGCGCATCGCTCTTTTCCCGGAGCGAACGATAGGATGATTTGGCCGACCGACGCTCGTTCATCTTCCGAGTACCTGTTGGAGCTTTAGCGATGCCTTTGGAAATAGGTAATGGACGCATTCTATACAGTACCATCACCTGCTATGCGCTCATTGTTAATCTTTTCCACAGCTCTCCATTTGAGAAAGTTCGGATAGCCGCCACATGTAGTTCCTTGAAGAGAGCATTGTTGACAGGACGGCCTTGTCTCGTCGCATTTTACCCGCCTCGCTTTACATGTTATACATCCTAAACTTACGCCGTCAGCCGTAGTTTCAGTTTATGATCACAGAGCGGAGTAAGGCACCATTGCGACTCCTCGTCTGTTTTTGTCTTGGCGTTGTTTTCATTCTTATAGGTATGCCTGTGCGCTGAGAGCGATGGGGCCGCCTTTGTCAGTTGCGCGGCGTGGAATCAACCTGGCGGGAAAAGGTTAAGGATGACTTGAGCAAGGCCGAGGGAGGGATCGATCATGTGCCTTGATAAGACCTAACTTAGGACAATTCTAGTGGGCTTATCTCACACATCTTCCTACATGATCAAACACTAATCCCCAAATAGCAGCGACGGTCCTCTGACAGAACCTTTTTATGGCCTATAGGAACCAGGTCGCAAAAGTCTAGACTTCCCGTGCAGTAGAGAATATGATCATTTCCATTAGTTCGCCCAGACTGGCAGCAAATTTACTCATGACAGCGCTCTCTCCCTGTTATACACCGATAACCATGGTGGACACCCTGTCTCCGCATAGATGCGGGTCTTTTCCCCACATAGCTCCCTCTCTCCGCACCTGACTCAGGATTCAGAAGCGGCTGGTTTGCTCTCTTGCACATGACTTAACTAGCGGGTTCGATAAAGTAGGGAGGGGGAGATGTTAAAGAGAAGCAAGCAATGTAGATTCTATAAAGGCTAACTAACAGGCTCAGTTTAGACTACTCATTACTCTAACTATCCTCAACGATGGTGTCAAAGACCGGACAGCGCTAATTCTCATAGTCAAACATCTCGGCCAGCATGGACTCTATGTACTCCTGTTGCTCGCTGAGCCAAGCTCTGGCACCCTCAACATCAAAGCGCCCCCCCTTGACTTCGACCCTTCTGTATCAGCTCCCGTTGCCGGTCGACACGGGCCTTTAGGTTGCGCATTCTGTACTCGGCGTAATCATGATACAGCGGGTCTTGGCGGCTGATACCACGAACAGTTGTGAGAACAGTATCATCTCTCGCAAATGGTGACTTGGCCGGAAAGGTGTAATAATGGAAATGCGCTCTCCGCCTCCAAACGATTTCAGTGCCATGTGTTCGATATAACGGCCCTGCATGACCACGGCCGTTCCCTAGCATTGTTAGCAAACTCTCTATGAGGGCATCAGGATAGTTGTAACTTACCATCGCGGGCCCGCGCGTTTTCATGGTACGTCCATCACCTGTACGGATAACAGTCTCCCCACCGACCATATCTCTACAGTCAGACAGCATAGTCACGCAAACAAAGGGGAAGCTGTCCCTGTGCCATGAGAAAGCCTCGCTATCTCCGTCTTCACCATCTTCTCAAGCTCGGCTTGTGTGGGTTTTTTCTCGTTGAAAGAGATGTTGCAATGGCCAACCTCGTAATTGAATACAGGAACTAAAATCGATTCCGGCAATAGCTGAGACAGCTTCAAGAAGCTCTGGGCTACGATAGGCCTTGTGGATAAATGGGGCGAATCTGCATATACTGTTAACAAGGTATCGTACCATCAGCCAAGAACCGGCGATGACTTACTTTGCATTATAGCCTCTAACCATGTTTGATGCGAAACTGGAAGAAATCTGGCAATTCTCGAGCATCGCCTCGCTGAACATCTCTGCTCTCATCTGCTTGACAGCATCTTCAGTCCACAAACTGAATGGCTCTGAGACTGCAGTATCAGAGATACCAATACCCTCGAGTCCAATATCTGCCATCGTCAAAATCTTCTTCGGGGGGATGATGTTTAGGTGACGAGCCGGGTCAAATTCCCGTTTCTCAACATTCCGGGCTGATAGGACGAGTAATTCTGGGAGCTTCTTAGTTGCCGGTGTGTACTTTTTGTTGGTCGGACCCACGACTACATGTTTCTTGAGGACTGGCGTGGTAGCCGTGGGGGCGACTGCAACCGCTGAGGGTATTTTGTCTCGTGGGTTTTTGAAAGGTTGTTGTTGAAAGAGATTTGGATACTTGTGAACGAGGAAATTTGCTTGCTCTCTGGGGTCCTCGCTGTGCAGTTCTATCGACAGGTATTTATAACTGGAAACTAGGAGAGGCCCAAAGGTCAGGCAGCGGCAATGTGTACTAACAAACAACAGCACACCCTCGATAGCATCCTGAAATGCCCATGTTCGGCGATCATGACATTTCCTGAACAGCAGTGAAAATTGCTCAAAGCAGTAATTTGCAATCTCTTATGAGGACAATACTTCGCCGTTTCTAACGAGATCAAGTCTTGCCTTGCCCAGCCCAAACTATAAATTGCCTAAATAGGCATTAATGGAGCCAAATGCTCTAGCCCGATGCGGTAACCAGATTACCCAATGAGGAATAACTGTTCCCGATAGGTCCACTGCATACCAAGCAGGAAGTTAAACACATGATACTTCAAACCCATCCTATCCTGCAAGGTACTTGCTCAAGCTATCAGATGATTGCATCAGCCTGAATTACTTGCTATAGTTTCCTATCTAGGTATCATGGACCTCTACCTTTTCTTGCGCTTAGCGTGACATGTATGTCGTATCATCTAACATCTTTCTACAAGTTATGATTGGTATAGTCACAATTGCAATGATCCTAATTACGTTTAGATATCGCTGTACAGATTTTACTATGTTGATTTATTTCGCTTTCAATACCACATTAGCATAGACACTGCCACCTTTGTGGACTCCCCCCTGGCGTGGAAGTTCCCAGAACCGAGTTTTGTTTCCTTGGATGGCCCTTACATGTTAGAACCTCGTTGGATGACTGTTTCAACGGTTTCTTATACCCGTTGTGATTGTATGCTCGTGCGGTAGAGCTTACCTTCATCGGAGTACCAAAGATGGGGTTTTATTGTGCAGTCTGATAGTTCGTAAATCAGATATCAATGAGATATCATGGATGTGTGGAACTAGATCCGCAGGAATGAAGGCGTAAGATGTACCATCCTTAAGAAATACTCTCCCTCTTGCTAGATAGCTCTTGTGCGTGTACATGTCAAAAGCAAAAGTATAAGCAGTATCTAAGATGATTAAGAACAATATGAGAGTCTACAGTGAAAACTATTATCGAGAGGCAAAGTAATTCACATTAGACCAGTAAACAACCCAACCAACTGTTGTGTGCAAGTTGTCACCGACAGCAATTATCACAAGGTCTATACTAGCTAACAACACGCAGTTGGCTCTCTAAGCTTCCTCACCTCTGAACTTTCATTGAAGCGTCTTCTTGATATTATATCTTCTTCTTAAATCGCCCAATTACAAAAGATCTCTTCCTGTAAACAGCACCCATTTATCCCTCTAAGCTTTCTTACTTCTTACACATCATTGCGATATCTCCTAGGACTTTATCTTCACCCTACTACATCACATCTTCTTCTCATCCACCCGCTCATCAAAGCATTCGCTGAGATGCCTCCACGAGTTCGTCCCCTTATTGACGGTAGCGTCAAGCCATTCTTTCTTTGGTGCATGCATTGCCAAAGACGCTGCGCCGGAAAGTACACGCAGACCACTGATCGTCCATTCGAAATTGACTGTCACTTCAGCGGCAAAGGGGGTATTCTTTGTCACCGGTGTTCGGGCGATAGCACGGCATGCGAATCAGTATGTTGTTTTCGTAATATCGTTATCTAATTCTGCCTGCCATATTGACTTAAGCAGGTAGCACCAGGTATGTTAGGAAATGGATGGGATTATTCTCACATTCTTCGATGGGCTGCTGGCTTTTGGGACATGTGTGAGGACGATGAGGATGAAAACGAGTGGCCAGAGAAAGTTCGTATAAGCGTCGCCAGTGCTCTGAAGAATTTAAACAGCGCGTTCAACACCACGGAAAGGCTTCATCGGCGTGCACATGCACTGATATCCGACGATCATGTACGTTTGGGTTACGCGTTACTTTCACGTTTACTCTAACCCTTCGCCAGGAGGTTATGGCGACTTACCGTGCTTTCGTCGAGCAACGCCGCCGACTACTCGACCAGCTGTCTGTTCCCGACGAATATGAAGATGAGAAAGAGTGGGACAGTTATGAGTCGTCGAGGCTCCTGCGTCTCTTGCCTGGGGACCCTGGGTATATTTTATGGATGGTGGCACTTCGGGTATTTAGGCGGGCAATCGAAGATGCTATCAACAATCATGTTGTCCTTCTTGGTTTAGACGAGGCTAAGATATGCGAAATGGGGGACAGAATCCTGGGGTTGTTCCCGGTTGAGTGCGAGGAAGTTTAAGGACAGCGTCGCTATTCATTAGGAGTCGGCCAGACACACATACATACCATTAGGTCGCTCATTGATTGTACTATTTAGTGATTCCAAAGAGAATCTCTACATCATTGGAGAATGACTTTTATCCCTGCATGTTCTAAGGCGGCAGCTTCAGTAGGGAAATAATCATCAGAATTTGAAATCAATGACAAACCCGTAATCTCCAAGGCCTCTGCGTTTATGTATATCTAAGACACTCTTTAATGGAAAAGGTTATGTGTACAACATCCAGGAGATCTTGCATGAGATATGGTTGTCATTAAGATCCTCTATTTACTTTCCGTCTTTAGAGACACGGGATGGTATGGTTTATAGTACAATGTTGTATAATACATATATGGACCGAATCATATAACTCCAAGCTGCCTGAAATGCGTTGCGACAACGCATTCCCCCGATTTTACAGACCTCACCGCCATTCCCCTACTCGTTCAAATTTCTTGACCACGCGTGTAGCTTCCATAATAACAAGCATGCGGGATAGGTCGACGGACGTAATCTTAGCCTCCACAACGCTCAGAATATCCACATTAGATATTTCAGGAGGAGTAACAATTTGACACCGTACTCCTAGGGATGTTATGACACCTGAATACCCTTGTGCGAATTGTGATCCGACCAGGGCAGTAGCGTTATACGGTTTGTGAACCAGGCAGCTGAAGGTCTCGGGTAGGCGGCATTCGCCGAAATAGAACGCCCGGAAGAGGAGCATACATGCCCAAAATTGTTTCGATGCCGAGTCGATATCCCTTATACGACTACGCTTCCAACGAGATTGCGAGATGAAGTTGTCCACGGCCATGTGAGAGAAAGGGAGGACGGACTCATCGGCGGTAGCGTCAAAGCGGCGACCGTGCTCATGCTCGAAGCGTAGTGCAGCCTCGATCTGATAATGGGCCATGAGATCGGTGTATCGTCGCAGAGGACTCGTGGACTTCACATAGGTATCAAGTCCCAGGGGCACGTGGTGAACGGGGCTGGATGAAGAAATGCCTTTTGGGGCCGCCAACTGCAGCCATGTCTGCCCCCCGTAGTCGGACATGTTGCTGTTGGTCAGTTTCGGGTATTCAGGATGGTAGAATGTTCCATCGAACACAGCGGGGATGTTACGTTCAGCCAGCCACTTGCCGGAAACATAACATGCTAAATTCATCAGGGTTGAAATAAGATTGCGTTTCGTTAGATCCGGCACTTCGTGCGGATCAACGTTTCGTGGGCGAAGTTGGATAATAGGATCCCCTAGTATATACCGTCCTTCCGTCAATTGCATATTGTATGGTTTGAACGGTGCGTTGCCAACAGTGACTGAGACAGGAGTATCCAGCGACGACGGCCACTCCATTGCGCCGTTCCTTCGTCGGTGTTCCCGAAACGCGAGCATCAACTTTCTCAATGTGTGAAAGGTCCCTTCATCCTCTGAAGATAATTCTTCCTGTATATTATTGCGAGTGTGCTCACTGGAGTACTCCCCTCCTACCGTCAACGGTTCCAGGACCCCCTGTGATTCGGGCTCAAATAAGCTGCGTAATTTATCATGCGTGATGTAGATAACGTTTCTGGCTATGCCATTGACAATGTTGGTGTCCAATATCTCGCCCTGCAGATTCATCTTGGCACTGAATGTCAATGTCGGACGGCCAGACGCGAGACTGAAATGCTCCTGCGTTAAAGTGTTTGGAAGCATGGGGTATGTACGCTCTGGAGCATAAACGGTCTGGACACGAGAGGCCGCATATTCCATGATCGTAGCATCAGGGTTAACAAATGCAGATGGATTAGCGACATGGACACGGATCCAGAAAGTGTCCTCTGACCCCGGTATGCGCTCCAGAGAGACACCATCATCAATCTCCTGTGCACCAGGGTCATCGACACAGTAAATGGGAAGGTCACCGAAGTCCGTCCGCATACTCTCCATTTTGTCTATGGTCTCTTCTGAGTTGAACTCTTCACAGGCCCGTTGTACATCCTCCCACATTCTGTCTGACTGGAGGGATATACCATGTCCTGGAAGTGCCAAATTTTGATCCAGTAATCGTAAATTCTCCCATGGGGCCACAACTCCCAATTCTTGCAAGAAAAGAGCAGCCGTGCCTGCATTTGTGTCCAGAGCACTATACATTCCTGTGGCGCGCATGATGTGCGACCCAGCCGAGCGAAGAATTCCAGATGTCATTCGTCGGGGAGGAATACACCAAAGCTGAAGAAATTCGATGATCATACGATCAGTGTAACTAAATTTCTCCGTCAAGACCTCACGGTAAACCAAAGGCTTTCCATCTTGGCCAGGCTGATATCGCTGGGCTGTTGGACCGACACAAGCCAATATTGTTGGCGACCGAACTTTTCGACTGAGCCTTATAAGACGCTGGGCTTTCTGGATGAATTGCTGGATAGGATGGTCTTTCGGACTAGGCACCTCATTTCCTGTAACCGCACGAATGAGATACTCTTGGTGTTCATGCACCCATGTAACAACTGTGTCAAGTATATTGGCGACTCGCCTCGGTTGAATGAAGTAGTGGTCGGTGAAGATGGAGCTCCGATCATTCTCGATGAGAAAGGAATTTCGACGAATGGCCCGATGTATGGCAAACAAGATCTTATCATCGACATGGTCGCTTGTAATATCGAGCGCTTTGCAAGCCAGCTCCTCGAGTGTCAACTCAAGTTTCTCTTCCTCGTCCGCCACTATTTCATGTATGTTGTCCAACCGGTAGGCATTCGCTTGGTAGAACTGATGGACCTGTTCGTTAAAATCATTGATCATCCGCAAAACAGGGGCACCTGTGGGCCTCGGCACCCCTCCTTCTATAGCTGATTGCATCTCCAAGCTGAGCTGTGCAAGGGCGTCTGGGAAATGGGGTAGCAAGGGGGCAACCAGTTCTCGCGGGACGAACCCCTTTATGACGAAATCGAGATCCTTTGCGAAAGCAATGCGCCATTTTCCTCGATCAGTGTAGAATTGCTGTTGCTTACAGACAGACCGAACGTAAACAGCAAGATTCAGAATACCTTCGGCACTTTCAGGAACCAGTCAGTACGTTTAAAACAGCAGCGGGCAATGAGGGCATACGAGGACAGCGCCACTAAATCTCCCGGCTCCAGAAAGTCATGCATCCCTTCCCCTTCTTCGGCAATATTTTGAAAGTCCGAAACATCTTCGTCTGTCTCTCGCAGGGCATCGCTACCTGCATCATGCGCTTCCCGGTAGTCGTTTAGCATGTTTCCAACCCAAGGCGCCGAAGCATCCAATGTATTCGACGTCCCAGGCCCCCGGACAGGGTCCAGAGGGTTCGGATGGCTCTCCTGCCATTTTCTTAGATATTCCCGGATATCTTTATTCTCCTCGAACTCGGATTTAAGGCGGATGTCTTCAATAGAAGTGGAAGATCTCAGGAGGTCTTGCGGGGGGCTCTAAAGCTGGTTAGAGATGCCACGACTACATAGAAATTGAGTATACCACACCTTTACTTCACTAAAGCATCTGCTTGACCCATCACAGCGGCGTAATGGGAATCGATTGCGTGGAGGGAGCGAACGAAAGTGAGAAACAACTCCGGAGATCGAAGTCGCCGAATGGTTCCGGTTGATTATATTCACGTCAGCCACACTCTGCGACACTCGACTCCTCAGTAGAGTTAGAGACATCATGGAGCATTATAATGCCCAAGTCTGAAGTAGAACCTCTCAATCAAGGCCGAAGAGACGTGGCGAACAACATTGTCATAGCAATTCCAGCGCCGCAAAGCCTGCTGGATAATCCTGGCAGAATAGCTTTCACCGCTCAGGCGGTGAGTTCATGAATATTTCCGCGGTCAATTCCTAGTTCGGTTTAGCGTCCAGAACTCATATGATTAGCCTGTTTACTCCTCTTACTCTCTTGCTCCCTCTATCATTTTCCACTACTGCCGTCTAGTCTTCTACTTTCTTGAGTTACGTGGCTGGCTAGCGCTTTTATCTCGGTATATTTATGTGAAGGTGGGAAATTGCGAGATACCAAGCAATCAATCACTTATGTTTGATGAAAGTCTCGACCAGCAAACGGACTGTTCTAAATCAGTCCCAGTTGCGGGACATGATTTGTCGGCAATTTTATCCACTACCCTTGTCGATAGAGCTTTAAGCAGCTTGGCTTTACTCCGTACAGGGGAAGGAATCAACGGATGCCTGGGATTTTGGACCCAATCTATTTCTGGCAATTCATCTGCTGACGGAGATTTCTTTTCCGAATCCGCTGCGGTATAGCCGTGACGGCATAATCCAACCGCACTACCGTAACCCAGAGCCACGAATTGCTGACAATTTCTTCTCTTCGCCTTGTTTACTGCTTTGGGAAGATAAGCATGGTTCGAGTTCACTGCGGTTTTGCCACACTCAAACTATGGATACTTGCTTGGCATTCTACCGGCTCCTCGGCCCCTGGATAGACCCTAAACTCGTTTCTCCGCTGTCTCCACGTCTACACACAAAATTATACGGTTACAATGCAAACCCTCGGCTATCTTGCGATTGTAGAAGACCGTGTCTATCATTTTTGCATGTGAAATGTGATAGTCGAGTTGTTCATCGTTTGGATCCCATTCGGCGACTGCCAAGCATTCAACTCTCCTCACGGAGTGTCGATCAGGCGAAACCTTGCAATATATCCATGAATTAAGTCCGCTAAATCGAACTAACCTTATAATCTAGTTTAAGTCTCCTAGGGCCTGTTCATCATTTCCTGAATTGTACAGCCGAGTCCTCCCAAAGCCTCATCTGTCAATGTCCCAATGATCGCTCTGACACCAGTCATGCAATGGCTTATTTCCCCGCATGATGTTCAAAGAATGACCTCGCAAGTGCCGTTGCTATTCAGACTCGCTTAAGCGGTCAAAGTTGTGCTATGCATTTAGCGTGATGATTTTCCTAAAAACATTCCTCGAACGTGTCCATGCTTGCGGAGATTGATGCGCACTGATGAT